AAAATTACAGAATTAAGTCAAAAAAGATTAAATTTAAAATATTTTAATAAATAACTTGAAAACAATTTATGTATGTGTGTGTAATATGTGAGTTTGTGTAGGCTTACCAGCCTTCCATCTCATCAAAATCATCTTCAAAATGTAGAGTATCCTCCATATTCTTGTCTGAATCACTTGTTTCTTTATCAATTTGTAATTTATCGGAAACTTCAGAATAAAGTGGTTTATCATCAAGTTGAAAACCAATGTAGTCTTCCTCTTTTTCATCAACAAACTCCAATAATTCTAGAGGATAGAATCGATCTTCGCAACGGCGCGGGAAGTGTTCAATTACACATTGTAGATAAGGATATTGCAGACGAATCCGATGCCGTGAATAGAAATGTGCTGCAACAGAAACATTGAAAGGACGAGACAAAGCCCCGTAGGCCATAGTACAATGTGCTCCTTTGTAAGTAAGACCGTTAATAGTGAAAGTCTTGCGAAATCCGTTCCTATCTGAGTAGAGGGTGCGCACTTTTCTTCCTTTAAGTTTTGATACGAGTAATGCTCGCTTTGATGGGTGATGTATCTGATCACGCAATGATTTAGGGTGACAGTGTAAAATTTTAGCGCATTCATCGATAAGGAAGAGCATTTTGAAGATTTAGAAATGAAATGAGATAATTTGAAAAATTTTCAGCTTTTATACTCCTTGAACTTATCTCTCGTAATTTAAAATATTAAAAAATGGCTTTTTATAAAATAGAAATATTTATTAAAAATATTATTATATAGTCCCTTTTAGAAAATTTAATTTAGTGAAAAAGTCCCTTTTTATTATTTGAATTTACTGTTTTATATTTATGAGCGTTCAAAAATATTACCTTAATGAGCGATGGGTAGCGACAGTCGCTACTGCTACCAGTCAAAGGAAATGGATAAAAGAAGTGGTTATTAATTTATTTCAAAACAAGTCGTATTGACCTGATTTTATTTTTCAAATTCTTTTGTAAAGCAAACTTTGCTAATTATTCTTTATATTTTATTATTTGTAACTGGATTTTTTTATCTATAATTTTTATTTTCTAATATTTTTGTATTAATTTAGCAAAAATGAGCGATATTGACGAAATTAAAGCCGAATTGCGCTCAATTCGATATTCTTTGCGTAATTTTCACGTAGACGTCGACATGGTTATGCGACGATTGGGAATCACACTTCTGCGTGTTGGTGATATTGAAAATTGGGCAGAACGGGAGGTCTTGCTTTTTTAAATTTTCTTATTAAGGTCTATTTTCAGCATAACTTCCCACACCCCTTGTTTCCGTTGAGAGAAGAAGCGGCTGAATTGTTAGCTCGTATAAGAGCTCGTGCAGTTGGGCTCGTGCAGCGTATAAGAGCTCGTGCAGATGGACAATCAGAAGAGAATGGTTCTAATTTAAATTTTAACTCTAGAATAAAAATCATTTTTAAACAGAAAATGTACGATCAGAAAGGTGCATTCATTGTGGAAGCGATCAATTAAATTCACCAAGATGTTACGAACTAAAGTCAGAAGAGGAAATTTAAATTTTGAAAAATTTTTTAAAATTGAAATATGTTAAAAATTTTTTAAAGATAAAATTTTAAAGTAAAAAATCTTAAATTTTTATTAAATCATATGCTCCCTAGGTATTTGCCCTTTTTACTTTATCCTTTCCTTTCCCTCTCGAATAGGATAATTAATTATCGTTGTTCTTTTGGCACTCGTGTTTTTTAGTGTGAGTAAAAAATCTTGATTTATCTTTGATTTATAAATATTTAAAAATTTGGAAGAACTGCCATCTGTTGTATAATTTATGTTTTTATATTATAATGGCATACTTCAAGAAACATTTCTCGCTCTTATTCATTATAAAATTCAAAATAAATATATTCCTTCCACCTTATAAATGAATATGAAAAATATTAAAAGTGATTTGATTTTTTATAAAAATCAAAATATTTTCATCAAACGACAAATAATCCTACTTCAACGTAGAGAGCGCTTATACAAAGCGCTTTTGATTAAGAAAAATATTTTGTTGAAGAAGGCCAATCATAATAAGATCGTAAAGAAGAAAGAAGCTGAGAAGAATTGTATCAAAGACGGTATGTTCTTTTAATATATTGTATTTTAAGAAAATATTTTTAAATTTTTATGAGGGGTGTAAGATCCATAAGAAAAAATATTTAGTGGCACTTGCTGTTTCAGTTTAAGTCCTTTATGGGTAAAACCTGTTTTGAGGCCCTTTCGATTAGTCTAGATATATCATTCGACAGAGCTCGACGAACAGTCGAAAAAGAGCTCGCGGTCTCAACTAAGAATGAGATACATACACCAGAAATTAAAAAAAACAATAGGGAGACAAAGCAAAAATTTCCCCAATTATCTTCAATTAAATAATTTAAGAGGAAATTCAAATCATACATGCTAATATTAAACCTTTGGTGTTCGATCCAAAGAAGGTAAAGGTTGAAAAAGAGGACTAGAAGATTATCCTCGAAATTTCAAAAGAATGGAAAATAAAGAAATTTTTGATTTGTTAATTTAAAAAAAATGATTTAAGTATTTTAATAATTTTCTGTTAACAATGTTAATCATATGCCTTGTTATTAATTACTTAATTGATAAAAAATTAAAAGAAAAAACATTTTATTAAAAAAATTTTTAAATAATACAGTCTTGAATTTTATAAATAAATTTAAACAAATTTTTATTAAATTTAAAATTTTTTTTATTCATATCGTCCTTCAATGCCATAAGCCATCACTCATCCCCAAAACAGTTGAAGAACACATTTGCACATTCATGATTTGTCCGATCGAACTACAATTTATTGTATTAAGGAACATTTTTATATTAAATCAATCCCCATTATAGATTCATCCAGGTATCCAGACTGGTCCCCAGTATCCGATAGATCGGTCCTGAGTATCCAACTTGGTCCACGGTATCCGATATACCGGTCCCGAGTATCCAACCTGGTCCACGGTATCCGATAGATCAGTCCCGAGTATCCAGTTTGGTCCCCAGTATCCGAAGAATTGGTCCCAAGTATCCAATCTGGTCCCCGGTATCCGATAGATCGGTCCCTGGTATCCAGTTTGGTCCATGGTATCCAGTATGGTCCCCAGTATCCGATAGATCAGTCCCGAGTATCCAGTTTGGTCCCCAGTATCCGAGGAATCGGTCCCAAGTATCCAGTCTGGTCCCCGGTATCCGATAGATCGGTCCCGAGTATCCAGTCTGGTCCCCGGTATCCAATAAGACGGTCCCAGGTATACAAACTGGTCCCCGGTATCCGATAGATCGGTCCCGAGTATCCAGTCTGGTCCCCGGTATCCGATAGATCGGTCCCGAGTATCCAGTATGGTCCCCGGTATCCGATAGATCGGTCCTGATTATCCAGTCTGGTCCCCAGTATCCGATAGAATCACTCCCAGGTTTCCAGTTTGGTCCCCATTTTGGATCCCCCTGATATTTTAAACTTATCTTTATATGTCATCCATCGAACACAAAATCCATAACCATAATCTGCTGGCTAAATAATAAAAATATTCAAATTATTTTAAAGAGTTTATTACCCATTAGTAAATTGAGCAGTTCCAGTAATTTGTTGAACAGGACCCGATTCTGATATTGTTCCAACTCCTCCCAAAATAACATTAAGTAGAGAACGATTCGTCTATAAATAATAGAAAGATAAAAAAGGCCAAAAGTCAAATCAGTTGTACCTAGATAAGCACACATTTCTGCCAAAAATGTTGGGGCAGTAGAAGTACAAGAACAAGAACTTGGTGCAAGCTAAAAATTCAAAAAAAATTTTTTTAATCAGACCCAATAAAATACTACCTTATTCGAACATTTGGTGCAACCGTTTCACAGTAACGAGCATATGAATTCGCAGAAAGCAGGTCTTCTGTAGGGTCTTCTAATTCTGTGTAAGCATCCACATAATAAATTAAAATTAAAAAATTTTAATTTATTAATCTTTAAAATTTCCATACCCCAAAAAAAAAATTTCCATACCCTAAATTTCCATACAACATCAGAAATAGGAAAAAAAAATTTTAATAAGAAATATATAGTTGCTTAGATTTGGTTAAAATAAAGAAGGGTTTGGCTTGGGTTGTGTGGAGTGTAAAAAACAATCAATGCAACAGTGTCTGGTTTTGTTGCAAAATTAAAAGAGAGAGAGAGACAAGGTTAAGAAACACAATCGGTCAGACAGGGTGATGAGTGGACAGTGTGGGGAGTGGGGTGAGGAGTGGGGTTTTCCTTTACTACTAGTATTGTCAATGCCCTTGAAAAATAATATTTGGGAAGAAAAAGAAAAAACAACTCAATATAGTAGTTGGAAAGAGAAATTTTTAACCCCCCCTTTCTCCTACCCCTCCCCCGAGAACTAATTGCTAATCTGAAAAATCCTCCCTTACCTATCCCTACCAGCTCAATAGGTTGTTAATTGCTCGCACGGACCCCACTACACACCAAAACTGTTAAAAGATTGCGGTTAGGGTAAGGGTCAACAACTTAAAAAATCCCCTCCCCACCACACACCAATACTGTCAAAAGATTGCGGTTAAATGGGAAGGGTCAACAAATTACTCCTTAAAAACCCCCTTCCTCCTACCCCTCCCCAACCACTAATTTGAAAATCCTCCCCCCTCCTACCACCCACTCACTCAATAGGATTAGGATAGCTCGCGCGGACCCCTCCCCCACCAAAGCTGTCAATAGGTTTAGGCTAGTGCGCGAACATAAATCATAATTAATTGCGGTTAACCACCCATCCAAAAGGATGGCGGCATCCCTTTGTGCGCAAAACGTTGGGTTAACTACTTTTCTGACTTTTGAGCTAGTTCCGATTTCCGGTTCTTCCGATTTCCGACACTTTTGACTGTTCCGACCCACCTCTGGACCTGACCCTACTTTATTTTTTTCTCTCAGCCAGGCCCATCTCTTGTGTTTAATTTAAGTAGTTTAATCAATTAATTTTTTTTGTTGTATTGCTGTTTATTTAAAGAAAATTATAGAGCTTTAATTTTGAACCTTATTTTTTGTGATAAATTTTTTTTTTATTTTTTTCTCTTTATTCGAAAAATTGTTATAAAATTTTTTCTAATATTTTAAATCTATCGAATTTTCAAAAAAATTTTTTTGATTAATTTTTAATTTTTTTTTAATTTTAGATAACAGTTGGCTTTTTCCTTGCTGTTCTTTTTTTTTTAAGAATTTTTGATCCATTATATATTTAATCAATAAATTCTTTTCTTCTTTTTTTTAATTGCCAAGTAAAAGAAACGGAAATTTTTATTTGATTTTGCTTTCAATGACTGGCTTTAATCGTGCACCCAGAAGATCGCTTGTCCATTGTCGCGTTCAAGTTTTTTTTTAATTTTTTTATGGGAGAGGCAGGCAGTGTTTTTTCGGTTCTACAAGTCGAAGGGTTCTCTCTCCACTGTTTGTATTCCTGACGGTTCCAAATAGGTGTGGGGGAAAGAGGTTTCGCAGCCCTTGAAGGGGTGGCTATATTTTTGTTAGGTTTATTTGACTCTAATGATCTGTGGCTTTTTTTGTCAAATTTATCCCATTTTTAAACTAAATTTTTAGCAAGCTTCCAAATCTTCTTTTGGTGGTTTCATAGGTAACAGAATTAAGAAAACACTGTAGGGCTTCATAGAGGGGATTTTTATTTTAAGCTTTTAATTCCCGTATTTACTCTGGAACCATAAAAAAATTATTTTTGTAATTCTTAGAGACAATAATGGAATCCCCCGTTTGATTTTTGGAACCGAGAAAATCACTGCGTTGATTCTTTGTGAAATTAAAATTTTCCCTTGACTCTAATGTCCTAAAATTTTTTTTTGTTTTTGAAATTTTTTTTAGCTTTTCTTTTTAAACCTACATTTTTTATTTTATTTTTTAGATAATAAATTTTCTTGTTTAATAAAAATCAGTTAATTACTAGCGGCACATTTAAATTTTATTGTTAAAATGAGTTCCTATTCTTCACGTAGACGTGCTCCTGCTAGCTCACATATGGAAGAAAGTGTATTGGATAGAATAAATAGAGAGGTTTTTTTACTTTTATTTTTTATTTATTTTTGAAATGGGGGTTGAATTAACCAAAAGATTTGTTTTTTACAACAATGGGAGGAGGTCAAATAAAGTTTGTTTGTGCTTTATTTTTAAATTTTGGGTATTTTGTGGGTGTTTTTCTAGGGTGATTATAGTTAAGTTCGTACCCTATTTTTGACTACAATAGGAGTTTTTTTTGATATGCTGGACTACTTTCTACATGTGAGCAAGGATCTAGCCGACATAAAAATTTAATTCCCGATTTTCGGGAATCGGGTCGACTAGATCCCTGGTAAGGAGGTTGGTCTGTCTAGAAAACATCACTGCACGGAGGCTTAGGGTCAAGGTTTGGCAGCTTTACTCTAGGCAAAATGAGCTGTCATTTTCGATAGTTGAATTAGTAATATCCGGTTTGTGGAATCCGTCTCTTTTTCAGAATTTTTTATCGAAAAATATGTTTTATGAGAAACACCGCAAGAAGGATCCCTATTCTTCTTAAACCTTTTAGAAAATTTTATTCTTTTTAAAGGCAGAAGAACTCCTTTCAAAAAAGCGTCAAGCTAGAGATGAAGCAAGACAAGTCAGGATAGATTGCCTTGAAAAATCAATTAAAGCTAATGACCAAAAGGATTATCATTTGATTGATAATGGAAATGTAAGGGAAATTTTTTTTTAATTTTTTTAAAAATTTTTAGGACAAAGTCAGCGAATTGGAAAAGAAATTTCAACGTGCAATGTTATTATATTCCCAATTGGATAATGAAAAGTCTTCTCTTTTGTATGAAATTGATTTAATGAAGGATGAGATGGAAGAGAAGGATCAAATTTTGTATCAGGTTTTTTTTTTTGTTTCGGAAGTTTATCAATATAAGTCCAATGACCTGGGCTAAAAAATTTGCTTTGGCTCTCGGTACCCTGCTCATTAACATGGATAAGCTTCTAGGCAAAATCCCGTCTCTGTTGTCGGGTTCACTAACACTGTTACGACCCCGCTTACGAAGACGATCACAGGGCTGACGTCCATACACAACACAGTTTAGGTAAAATTCCAAAAATTGCTTACAAGGAACCATGCCGAACTACCACCAAAAATTTTCAAATAAATAAATAATTTTTCGGTTACCACAGAAGCTTATAATTTGTCAATTAGTTAGCCCTCAGTTAACTCGATTATTTTAGTCAAATACCCATAGCTTTAGAAATTAAATTTTAAACAAATCTTACAATTTAATGTTAAAGGTACAAAGAGAAAATCGTGAAATGGGCGAAGAATTGAAGCTTTTAAAGGTTTTAATTATTTTTTAAAAATATTTGCTTAACAAATTTTTTCTAGAAAACTGTAGAAGGCTTACATCTTCAACAGCAGCAATTAAGAAATGAAATTCTTCAAAGGGATAAACTTATACATGTTTGTTGTTTTTTTTTTGGGGGGGGGGGTATTTGTAGAGGGATTTTTTTAGTTGGGGAGGTCCTTCTGAATGTTCACGATGACTGTTAATTTTCCAAACATAACCCAGATCGACTCTAAGGCCTAGACCAAAAAAAACCTTAAGAAAGGCTCAAGACCATGGGGCTTGAAAGTCTCTACGAATCCTATTAGCTAGGAAAATTAAAAATTGTTTACAATCCACTTATCTAGGGTTGATGGATCCGGTTCCGGAAAAAAAGTTTAAATATCCTGAAATTTTCGGATAGGATATGGGTATCCTTGACTTTCAAAGGGTATACTATTTTTTAATTTTTAGGAGAATGGCTTTCTTGTTGCCAATCAAGATCCAAATGATGACCTTTTGCCGCCTATACAACATACTAGAGCTGGTTCAGAAAATGGGACTGATTCTATTAAAACGTTAAACTTTTTAACAAACAATTTTTTAACTAAAATTTATATTTTGTCCGCAATATTTTTGCGGATTGTCCGCAAAAAATTTTAAATTTTCTTTTTTTTAGCAAATTTGACCCTCTACTAATTTCTTATGTGACATTAGCTGCTGTTGAAAAAGCACTTCCCGGTACTTCTGCTGTTGACCAAAAAATTCAAAGGATTGTTGAATCGGTTTATTTTTAAAAATTTATTTTTTAAAATTATTTTTTAGAACCGTAAACTTCGTCAACAAATAGACGATGCAGAAAAGGCTCTTTATAATCGTCGGCAACGACCAAGGGAAGACTATAATTCAACTGGGTCAAATAGCAGTAGTGACGACAGTTTGCATAGTCTGTTTGTTTTTTGCGGATTTATTTTTTGTCCGCAAAAAATTTGCGGACAATCCGCAAAAGGCTTGCGGATTGTCCGCAAATTTTTTTTTGATTTTTAAATTTTTTTTTGAATTTAAAAAAAAAATTTGTTTTTTTTTCTAATTTTTTAGAAGACGCATTAAAGCAAGTCGCTGAATTGAAGCTTAAATTACAAGAAATGGAGAGGGAGAAAACCGCTTTGGATGGAGCTTTTGGACGGTCCGAAACCCAACTAAAGAGGTTTAAAACTATCGCGGAACAATCAGAAAAGGAGTCGGAAGAATTGCAAAAACAGAATAGACAACTTAAAAAAGAGGTTTTTTGCATTTTTAATTTTGCGGACAATCCGCGAAAAAAATTTTTTTGCGGACGTCCGCAAAAAATTGCGGATTATCCGCAAAAATTTTATTTCGGAATTTTTCTTCAAAATTTTTATTTTCTAAGCTTCGCGACAAGGAACAATTACTTGAAGAAAGTAAAGAAACTAACAATCATTTGCAATCCAGACTTGAAAAAATGCGTAATACAAGAAGGCCAATATAAATGAAGAGTATACCCCCCCCCCCCACACAAGTTTAATTTTTCTTTTAGTTTGTTTTTTAAAATTTCTTTTTTTGCGACTCAAGTTTAGTGGAAAATTTATTATTTTTTTGCGTCTCTCATTTAATAAAGACCCCAGAAAAAATTTGAAATTTTTGTTTTTTCCCTTCCGTTTTTTCGTTTTGTTGTATTTTCAAGTGTGGCCTTTTAATATAAATTTAATATTAAAAAATAAAAATTTATTTTTATTTTAATATTGAAAATAATTATTTAAATATCTTTAAAAATTTTTTTTTTTAATTAAGAATATTTTTTAAAATTAATTGCCACGTCATACAGCCGAACCTAAAGAAACTGAGGGTTGAAAAAAATCGATTCTTATAACGAGGTTTATTTTATATAAATTGATAGAGAAGGGATTGCTTAGATATAGTTCCCTGCGGTGTGCGGGGATATCGACAATATATACTATCCAGTACCCAGTGTCCGTAGGTCCCGAAATCAGTAGGGTAACTGCTCGTACATTGAAATATCCCGATATGTTCGTCCTGATATGTCCGCGTGCTGTTACCTTCATATGGATAGGTATTCCCTGATCCCTACTTTTTTCTACTCGATTCAAAGAGAATTTCGAAAACCGATTCAAAACTAGACCCAACAGAAATTTTTTTCTCATCAGCCCGGCTCATCCTTTGTGGTCAGTTGAATTTATAAAACCTAATTTTAATATTTTTTGGGTAATGAGGTTCGGCTGAAAAATTATTAAATTTGCAAACAGTTATTTTCAGGTGCTAAATAATAAAAAAATTATTTTTGAAACGTCTTATCTAATAAAAAATGCCTTCTTTAAACGAAAATAATTCTAATAACAATACTCGCCTTGATTTGTTGTTAAATGCTCGATTGGATGAAAATGAGGTTTTTTTAATTCTTTTTAAATTTAATTAATTTTTTTAAAGAGTTTTATGGAGGCTTTTAATTATTTAAACGAAAATTTGAATGTTGGAAGTGCTAATATAACAGAACAAGCGCTGAGAATGGCTGTAGAAGATAGAGAACTTGCATTGAATCAACAATATTTGGAACAATTTGAAAATGTTGGTTTGGAAATTTTTTTTTATTTTTCATTAGAATACTAGGTTGAGTCGTAAGAAGTGTCGCATTGCGAAAATACTCGTAGAATTTTTTAAAAAATGTTCAAAGTTACAAAACGTTGGTTATATATCAGGGGTTTCGCCTTTGGACTTTCGCCTTTCGCTTTTAAAAATCTGTTTCGGCACACCCCTGTTATTATATTTTTTTAGAGTGTTTTCTAATAGAATACAAAATTTGAAAGAATTTTTGGTTAGGTATTCAGAGAGTTGTGATCTTTTAAAAAATTGTTGAAAATGAGTTTACACACATCTTACCAGAAACGTGATTTTTCTAACTTTATTTAAAATCATCCGACCAGGATGATTTCTTCTACTATATAACTGTTTTTTGCAATGCAACATTTTTTATGACTCACAATCAACCAGTATATTATAAGGAAGAAGGGGAGGGTCGATGACTGCTGGTTTGTAACCAAAGGGAGAGACATACGAGTGATTCAAAGTGGGAGTAGATTTTTAAGCTTGGTCTGAGGATAATTTTCGAAACTCGACTTTTTCCTAAACCCTTGATATTTATTCTCTATAAGAGAAAAATACAACATTGTGGTGATACGCATATATTTTGGGTGGGGAGTATCTTGTTAGCTCATATCAAGGTAAAATTGGGAGTAGATTTTCGAGTTTATTGGAGGGATAACTACTAAAATAATGGGGTATTTCCTACTTTTTTCGAGTCTAAAAAACAACACAACTCAAACAACAATTTATTTACACATCAAAAATACAATTAAATACAACAATTCAAATACAATACAAACAACAAGAAATATACAATACATACAATGAGAGATATGGTGACACAAATTTATCACAACTCCTCTCTCGGGTTATTATTATTATCCGGTTCCGACGGCGGAATCCACCTCTCATCAACCGGCTCCGGCTCCTCCTCAGACTTTGGAACCTCAACACCGTCCACAGCGCCTCTATTCGCCGCCTTTATCTCCGCCAATCTCTCCTGCTCCTCAAGTGTCGGGTTCTCCTCGATTGTCCACTCGTCAGGCTTCTCAATGATGATCCTCTCAACCTCGACGATCTTCTCGATGACCTTTGGCTGCTCGTATTCAATCGCCGTCCTTGTCCCGTCGTTCAAGGTGAACGTCGCCGCAATGTTCTTTTTCTGAAAAATCAAAAAATTGGGAGTATTAGCTGAGATTCAGAGAGAAAAATGTTTAAAATTTCACCTTTTTCCACTCCTCGAAAGACCCAACAGCTGCAAGTCCCTTCTTTTTCAGTTCCGGCGTGTATCCCCGCTCGAAGAGTTCTTTGTCCTTCCGCTTCTCGAACTGATCCACAAGGTACTGCATCTTGTCGATGGCCTTTTTCTTCTCCACTCTCTTCCAGATCGCGTCGAGCTCGTCCTCGATTGAAGGCAGCCCCACCGCAGTCTTCGTTTCGCTCTCCTTTCTCTGAAAAAATGGGAAAAGGTCGATTAAATCTATTTTCTCAAATTTTTAAACTCACATTCTTTTTCCATGCAGCGAATGTCCCGACAGCCTTGCCCTTGGTCTTCTCCTCAGCCTTGTACAGCGCCAGCAGACGATCTTCTTCTGCACGTTCGGCGTCCTGCTTCCCTCCCTTCTTCTCATCCTTTCCTGCCTTACCCTTCATCCGGAGCCAGACAAAAACTGCAATGATGATCCCGACAAAGAGGCCAGCAGCAAGAGAAATGCCAATTGCAATGTAGAGACCTCCGCCAGATTTCTCCTGTTGTTCCGGGCACTTTGTCGTTGTTCGAGATGTCGTTCGGATGGAAGTGAAGCTGCTGACGTTCGCAGGCGAAGTTGTCGATGAAGAAACAGAGGGAGCTGTTGTCGTTTCAGGCGGCTCTGATGTTTCCGTTGATGGAGCTTCTGTGGTCGTCGAAGTAGTCGGTGGCGTTGTTGTTGAAGAGCTGACAAGGAGTAGCTTGTAGTCGTTCACATCCTAGGAAAAACGAAATTATTAGAAAGATTCTACAAAATGGATAAAAACTCACAAATTTAACGAAGAGTTCACAACGAGGTCCGTCTGGATGTCCTTTGCGTTGACCACCAACGTACTCAAAAGTTGCGTTTTGTGGAAGCAGGCTGAAGACGAGTAGTCCTTTGTCCTTGAACTCCCCATCATTCGTGATCGTCCAAGTCTCGGGTTTTACGATAGGAGTGTCCTTTTTAACGCAAACAGCATTATCCTTAGCGTTGTGTGTCTTTTCCTCCTTGAAGTTCATCGTGAACGTGCTCGAAGAATCTATTGTCAGGCTGAAGTTCGTCATGGAGGTGCTGGAATCCTTCAAGCCTTGCTCTGCCACTTCCCCAACTGAAAAATATTTTGAGATATTTGAGATTGAGATTGAAATTTGAGATTGAACGAAAATCTTTTAGTAATGAACAAAATCCTACCTAGATGTGTAAAAGCATATACTTGCGGCGTAATTCTGCTCCACGAGACTTCAAGAAATGTCTGATTCATGCATTCTCCAAGACCTCTACATTCATCTGGTTTGCTGCAGTCATCATCAGAACCCCTGGGCGGGCCTTTGTCGAACTCTTTTAGGGCCATGTTGGTCACGCTGTAGACGAACGGCAGGCTAAAATTTTTTTGGAAAAACTTAAATTAGTTATGGTTAAAATTAGTTAAAAATAACTCGAGGCTTAAAAAGTGTGCAGAAGGGGGAGCAGAACAGCTTAGCTTTTTTTCAAAGGAGGGAGGGTTCAAATATGTACCTCCATTGAACCCTTATGAGTCCTATGAAACTTTAAAGTCTAATGAAAACATGTGTCCAAACAAAGTCCAGTGAAATTAGGGTCCAATCGAGTTTAGGTCCGCAGCAGTGGTGGTGTGTCACTAACTCTTTCTTTGCTGTAAAAAGTCCATTACATGTCAGTTCTCCACCTACCCATTTTAAGCAAAGCTTTGCTTCCACAAAAAATTAAAAAAAAATCCTTTTTTTAGATAAATTCCCAAATTCAATCTTTTGTCGGTAAAATACGTAATATGAACACAATATGTCATGAAATGACAAATCGTATACAAATGAATAAAGAAAAGACTCAAGAATTGTTGAAAAAGACGGCAATTTTACAAAATGAAAAGTTTGAAATTTAAAAAAATTTAAAAAAAATTTTTTTTAATTAGAAAAGAACTTGTATGAAACAAACATATTTGGCTGATTTTTTTGCAAAATATTTGTTGACAGAGGAGGAAGAGAAAGCTTTGTGTTTGGATGGAAAAAATGGTTAGAAAAATTTAAATTTAATTAAGAGAGAGAGTTTGAGGCTTTTTTGTTAATTTATCCACTGTGAGTAGGTTGGTGTAGTGGGTTAAAGTTAGGATTTTCCACGAAGGTTCGAATTTTTCTGGTGGAAAGTCATTTTATTTTACTTGTTATTTACTTTAGTTAATTTATGACGGATTTTTAACTTTAAGAGAGAGATGAAAAAATTTTTTACTCTATAAAGTTTTCAAAAGATTTTCTTTGTATAATACGTTAGGTTGTGGGTAGGTGGGTGTAGTGGGTTAAAATTAAGTTTTTGAACGTCGGTTCGAATTCTTTTGGTGGAAAATCATTTTATTTTACTTACTTATTTCTTCTCTTTTTTTAAACTAAAAATTTTTGTTTGCTCTAGGGCTTTCATAAAATTTTCTTGGTGTAGTGGGTTAATGTTTGGTTTCTACATGTAGGTTCGAATCCTTTTGGTGAAAAATCATGTTATTTTATCTACATTTTATGTTAATTGACATATTTTTTGATTTTTTTAACTTAAAAAAAAAGAAATAAATTTTAATTTAAATCTTCAAAAATTTCTAAAATTCCAAGAAAATTTCGATTTAAAAATAATTATTTTTCAGGTATCAATGATTTATTTTTCAAAGCTTTCAATCGTTTAATTGAAGTAAATTCTAACGTTACCGAACGTATAGCTATTGAACCAGAGAATTTTGCATTGACTGAAATTTCTCAATTACTTTCTGATAAATTGGAGGCATCATATAATACATTATATTTGTCAATTCAAAGTTTGTTTGAAGAATTTTTTAAAATTAAATTAAATTTATTTTTTAAGTAGATAAATATTAAAGTTTCCGGAAACTTAAGTTTAAAAATTATTTAAGTTTCGAAAAAATTTTCGAAAATTTCGACTTCGGTTTAGGGCAAAAATTTTTTCGGCCGGAATTTTCCCAAATACCCTGAGCGATCAGAAATCGAATAAAAAAGACCCCAGGTCTCTAGCACTTTTCGTTCCCAAGATCTTTGATTTTAAATGGTGGACCCCCCCCCCCCTTATCTTATTAAGTTTTCGGAAACTTAAGTTTCAAGTCATCCTTTAAGTTTTTTCTGGAAAACTTAAATTTTTTTGTGTTGAGTTTTTATTTTTCTTTTTTTGAATTCCGGAAACTTAGTGTTAGATTTTTGGGTTGATTTATTTATTTGTATTTTCCGGAAACTTTAGTTTTTAAATTAGGTGTTTATAAATTTTCTTTTCCGGAAACTCAAGTGTTTATATATTTTTTCAAGTCCCGGAAACTTAAGTTTTACAATTTATTTGCTATTAATATTTTTCAAGATTTAAGTAGCTTTTTAGGTTTTCTGGAAAATTTAAAAAAAAACGTTACCGATTTTTACCCAATTTCCTTTTTTTAGATGAATGTAGACTTTTAAATGTTGAATTTCTCGACTTGAAGCCAATATTAATTCAATCATTTGAACATATCCAAACAAAACCAGAATTATTTTTAAAAGCTTTGGATGATTACAGTTATGCTAGAAAAAGTTTTTTGGTTCGAGTTTTTATTGAAATTTTGACTAAAGGGAATAAATCTGGAACAAGTCAAAAACCGATTGAACAACTGTCGACTGATCCGATAAGGTTTTTTTTAATATTTTAATTTTTTTTAATTTTATTTTTTTTATAAGTCCCCCAAAATAAATAAAAAAAAATTAATTCTGAAAAATATTTTTTTGTCGTCTCCTTGTCCTGAAAAAAAATTTTTTTTTGTTAATCGTCTCCTTGGGCCTGAATTATTTTTACAAAATTTTCTGTCATTAACACTACATCTGAATAATTGTCTAAATTTTCTTTTCGGCGTCTTTGTGTCCAAAAAATAATTAAAAAAAATTTTTGTTTATAAATTTTCCCAGGAATAAAATTTAAAAAACTTTTAAAAAAATATAAAAAATAATTAATTTTGAAAAAAATCTTTTAGTTGCTTCCTTATCCTGAAAAAAATTTTGGGAAAAAATTTTTTTTCTCCTTGGGCCTTAATTATTTTGAAAATTATTTTTCCTCATCATTCATTTGTTTAAGTTAATGTCAAAAAAAAATTTTCATGTGGTCCAGAATTATTTTTAAAAAAATTTCTGTCATTAACCCTATCTTTAAATAATTGTCTAAAATTTTTTTATCATCGTCTATGTGCCCAAAAAAATTTAAAAAATTTTTTTTTAATTTAGATATGTTAATGAAATGTTTTCTTGGATCCAATCTTCAATTTTAAATGAAAAAGAAATATTAGAAAATTTACTTCGAGGATGTCATAAAATGGCTGAAACAATTACTGAACAAACTTTGAGTGTTTTGTCTTCAATTTCTGAGGCTTTTTGTCAACCTTTAAGGGTTTTTTTTTTAATTTTTAATTTTTTTAATTAATCTTTAAAAATTTTTAAAGCTTCGTGTTGAACAATGTATTACAAGAGAAGGGAATTGTATTGTGCTATATAGACTGTCCAATTTGTTGTTATATTTTGTGGATACTTTTGGGTATGTTGTTAAGGTTATTTTTTAAATTTATTTATTGGGGGGTTTCCGGAAACTTAAGTTTTTGAGTGTAGAGTTATTTATTAATTTTTTCCGGAAACCTGTTTTTATTAAATATTCGTGGGTACTTTTCTGTTTTGCCACACCCCACCCATATATTCGCAGGATACATTTTCTATTTTTCCTTAATTCGTACAGAAAGGTCAGTTTTCTTTCTTCCTCAATTTCACTCAATTTTCCCTCTGGCATGTTCAATGAGAGACACCAACAAAGAAAAGATTAATTTTTCTTTCCGATGTCATCAAAATTGAAATCAACATTTGTGAAAATCGAGTGAACACGAAAGATTGAGTCCACAGGGAAAATTGAGTGGAATTGAGGAAGAAAAAAACTGACCTTTCTGTACGAATTAAGGAAAAATAGAAAATGTATCCTGCGAATATATGGGTGGGGTGTGGCAAAACAGAAAAGTACCTATTCGTGTTTTCCGAAAACTTAAGTTTACTCTAAAGTTGATTATTAATTTATCGTTGTTACTGGGTAGCGTGGTGTAGTGTGTAGTGTGTTTGGTCTTTGTGTGGGTTTTGTAGAGTTATTTATTATTCTTTTCCGGAAACGTTTTATTAAATACTCAAGTTTTCCGGAAATTTAAGTGTGACACTTTTAAGTATATTCTTAAGGTAATGATTAATTCTTTCGTTAGGTGGGTAGATTGGTCTAGTTGGTAGTGTGTTTGGTTTTAGGTTGTGGGTTCGAATCCTTTTGGGTGTAACCTAGTTTATCTTGCTTTCTATCATCTCTATTGATTTTTTTAAAACTTTTTACCATTAAAAAAAATTTTTTTATGAATTTTTTATCCTTAATTTATCACTTAAAATTTAAGTTTAATTTTTTAGTGAACTACTTCCTTCAAATTCCCATTTATTAATGTGTTGTCGTGATTTACATGAATTATGTTCCAATATGTTTTTTAGTTCGGTTAGTTCAGCTACTCAACGAATTTTAGCTAATGTATGAGGGTTTTTTTTAATTTTTCAATTTTTTCCACTAATTTAAGGCAAGAGTTCCCGATTATGATTTATTGCCAGTTAATTCTGTTAATCAAACACTCCTTTTATTGCGTGATATTTTAGAATCGCCAAATTATGGGACTTTGTCTGTTAATACTGATAAACGAGAAATTTATAATAAGGTTTATTTCGTTTTTTATTAGGTAATTGGGGTTTCCGCAAACTTAGGAATTAAGTGTAGAGTAACAGAGAAATTCATTTGAGTCCCGAGCCTATAACTTATGAAGGGGTAGATCATTTTTTGGCGTTCTTGGTGCCATTGGATAGGGAATTAACCCCTCTAAAAGATACCTTAAAATTCAAAATTATCGACTATTTTATAAAAAAGTTATCGTCTAAAAACTAAAATTTTTTAAAAATGTGTTTTTTCGGCACGTCATCGATCATAAATTTTCTATCGATCCGCCTAAAATTTTGATTTTTTTGGTTTCGAGTAGTTTATTTAATTCTCTATCCAACGGGGTCATGCCCTTATTATCCGCATCTTTTTAAGTTGTAGGTTCGAGACTTAACATATTACTAGCTTTCCGGGAAATTAAGTTTAGTGTTTATTTATTAAATAAACTTAGGTGTGCTTTCCTAAATTTTATTTATTAAATTAAAAAAATTTTTTTAACTAATTTCTATTTTTAAAATTAATTTAAAGATATTTCAACACATTTTGGATCCATTAATTCAATCAATTCAACTAGTTTGCAGTAATTTGGATGATTTTTTGGATGTTTCAGTTTATATGTTAAACTGTCTAAATTCAATTCGTTCAATTTTAATTTTATATCAATATACTGACAAAAAATTAGAAATGATTAAAGCACAAATTGAGGCTAATGAAGATGTGTTAGTTAGTGAACAAGCATCTCAAGTACTTGATAAGACTGATATGTTGGATTTGTATACTAAAGCTATGGCACATGAAATTAATCAAGTAAATTTAAATAATTTCTTCTCTTTATGGTTTAATAATTGTGTGTTCTAATGACGGTGGATGTTGTTCCATAAACGGAGGAAGTTGTCATTGAAACAATTTTCCCCCATTCACGGAACAACATCCCATGCCAAAATAATAATTTTTACGGCGGTAGAGTGGCTTGCTCCCTTAATAATTATTGGGTTGATAAGTTTTTAATTCTTTTCCGGTAAACTTAAGTTTATTAATTCTTTTCCGGTAAACTTAAGTTTGTTAATTTTATCCAGTAAACTTAAGCTTTCCGGAAAAGAATTAAAAACTAAAGAATTAAACTCAAGAATTATTAAGCCATAAAGAGAGTATAGAGTTTCCGTAGGGTTTCCGGAAAAAAAATATAAACAAATTTAAGTCTGTATAAGAATTGACAAACTTAAGTTTTCCGGAAAAGAATATACAAATGCAAGTTTATTAAATTTTTTCCGGAAACTCTACTAGTTTGTTAATTCTTCCCTTTAAACCTAAGTTTTTTTCCTTTTCATAGACTTAAGTTTGTCATAAATTAACTATAATATTTTTAAGAAGATTTTTTTGAAAAGAAATTTAATAAATTAAAGGGCCAACTTTCAAAAATTGTTGGAATGGAACCAGGAAGAGTTAAAGACTCTATCACTCAATTTAATCAATTTTTATTAAATATGGACAGTTATAATTGTAATCAATTAGCTAAAATATCTTCTACAAGGTATTTTAAATAATTTTAAAAAATTATTTTTTAAATTTTTTTTCCTTAAAAGAATTTTAAATTCAATTCAAAAACGAACAAATGAACATATTTTGGCTGCATATAAAATTATTTATTCAAAAATTAGTGACCCTTCTAATGGATATCCAGTTATTGAACAAATAAAGACTATTGAAGAAGTGGGGAGAATTATAGAAAAAAATTTTTTAAATTTGTTTTGTAGGTTGAATCAATTTTGTGTAAAAATGAAGGTTCTAAAGCGTGAAGAATATATTTATAAGTCCGGATTTATTTTCATAGGTTAAGAGATATATTAAATATTTTTGAAAGGTTAATTTTTATTATTTAAATATTGTGACTTATTTTTCCGGAAACTTTAAGGTCATAATTGTTTTTAGAATTTAAGTTTATTACTTCCGGAAACTTAAGTTTACAAAACTTGAGTCGATTGGTTTGTTGACACTTAAGTTTACAAACTTAAGTTTATGAGCTAAGGAAGAGAAATTAATGAATTTGTAGTTTCCGGAAACTTAAGTTTATTAGTTTCCGGAAAAACTTAAGTCTGTGAACTGTAAGAGAAAATAAATATTTATAGTTTCCAGAAACTTAAGTTTATTATTTTCCGGAAAAACTTAAGTCTGTGAATTGTAAGGGGAAAATAAATATTTTTTGCTTCCGGAAACTTAAGTTTGCGAACTTAAGTCTGTGAAATTAATCTACTGATTAATTTAAATAATATTAAGTTTCCGGAAAAACTTAAGTCTATGAACTGTAAGGGAAAATATTTTTTACTTCCGGAAACTTAAGTCTGTGAACTTAAGTTTATTATAATATATTGAGTTGTCTAATATTATTATTCTATATTTTTTCATAACTTAATAAATAAATGGTAAAATACATGTTCTACTGATTAATTAAAAATATTTTAAAAAATCCATTAAAAAACAAACAAAAATTAATCAAAATTCTAATAATACACTTCCTTCACATCATTTTTTACTTTACTCAAATTTGTAATAAATTCTTCATGTTCCTGTACCAATTTTCCAACAATTTTTTCTTCAATTTCTTCAACACCTTTTTCTAAATCTTTTTGTTCTATATTTATGGTTTCTGTTGGTTTATTATTTGGGTATACAAAAACAACTGATTTCTTTCTTGTTTGGAGCAAGTTCCCAATAACTGCATTGTGCCCATACTTTTCTATTGCGTCCTTGGCTTTTTTGAGCAAAATGGATTCGTCGGTTTCGAGCTGTAAAATTAATGATTAGTCGACAAAATGCCACAGGCACTATAATGGTCAAAATGCATATGACATAATAAACGACAAAATGCCTAGGCCACTATAATGGACAAAATGCCTATCACACAAAAACGACAAAATGTCACGGGCATGATAAGCGACAAAATGCCTCAGACCCAAGAATCGACAAAACGCCTAAGGCACTATAATGGACAGAATGCCTAAGGCCAATAAACGACAAATTGCCCCAGACTTATAAACGACAAATTGCCCCAGACCAAAAAATCGACAAAATGCCTAAGGCACAATAAAAGACAAAATGCCTCAGGCCCAAAAATTGACAAAACACCACAGACAGTAAAGTCGACATAATGCCTAAGGCACAGTTTATCTCTTACCTTAAACGAGACAATATAAGCACTAGGCACAATCTTCTCCACAAGCCTTTCCAACAATTTGGGTACCAAACTTAAGGTTAATTGTAATTCGCCATCTCTAGATTGGATTTTATGAGTTGGCTGAAAATAAAAAATTTCTTGGTGATTTTTTGAACCCCCCATCTCACCAATCTCTCTTCTAAAACATAAAAATCAGAAACTGCCGCAGCCAAGTAAATTAGCACTTTAGGCCCGCATTTATGCAAACATGTACAAATAACTTCCAAATCATGTAAATATTGATCTAATTCAACAAAGGGAATGAACAGAAGACGAGAAGCATTTCTTTTGTAAGTGGAGACATCTCTTGAGAGATTGGGGAAGTTTACAACTAAAATAATAAGGGGAAGAGATTTTAATATTACGGACAAAATGCCTACAAGTACAAAAATGACAAAATGCCTACAAATATAAAATTAGACAAAATGCCTACAAGTATAAAAAGACAAAATGCCTAAAGGTATAAAAATGGACAAATTGCCTACAAATAGAGCAAGGCAAAGTGCCTACAAGTATAAAATGGACAAAATGCCTACAAAAAGAAAAATGGACAAAATGCCTACAGGGATAAAAATGGACATAATGCCTACAGGGATAAAAATGGACATAATGCCTACAGGTATAAAAATGGACAAAATGCCTACAGGTATAAAAATGGACATAATGCCTACAGGTATAAAAATGTACAAAATGCCTACAGTTATAAAAATAGACAAAATGCCTACAAGTACAAAAATGGACAAAATGCCCACAAGTGTAAAAATAAACAAAATGCCTACAGGTATAAAAATGGACAAAATGCCTACTAGTGTAAAAACCGACAAAATGCCTACAAGTACAAAAGACAAAATGACTCACTTTCAACTTTCCCTTCATCTGTCACATCCAAGTGATCAAAAAAGTGAAGATATCTACGAGAATAAGGCTTTAAAGATTCTTCTCTGTGGAAACTAGAAAAAAGGAATTCGAATAATTTTTTTAAACTTTAATTTCTCACAAAATAACAGCATATCCTTTCTCCAAAAAATACTCAGTACTCGCCGCGCCCCTCGTGCCCATTGAAAAATTCTCAATTGAACGGACAGCATTTACTTCTAATTTCACTCTTGTTCCACCACTCTAATGAAAAATAAAGTTATTAATTCTTGACGTAATCCGTCTGTCCGTCTCTTGATTTAATACACTCTCTTCAGGATATTTATAGGGTTGATCTTGAGCGTGTTGGTCTTTAGGGAAGAGTATAAGGGGACCTTTAGGAAAAGGTGATCTTCTGGGTAACATTATGGCGATCTATAACGAGTTGATCTTTTGGGTTGTCTGAGAGGTGATCTTTAGGGATGGAGAGGTGTTGCTCTTCTGGGATGACCCCAAGTGATCTTTTGGGCTCACCGTGTGCATAAGACTAAAACGTGAACAGATGGATTTTTCTCTACTTAACTGTAACTAAAACAATCTTTCGTCCTTCATGTGTTGAAATAAATTTATTAATTAATATTTGTAATGAAGAAGAATCTTTTCTGTTCGTTTCCATTCTAGAGATGGAAATTTCTAAAAATTTTAAATTAGTTGAGACTCTAAAATGCTGGTTGGGTTCTTCAGACTCTAAGGGGTATTAATTAAACTGAACAAAATGGTACATTGGACAAAAAGGAACTGAGACAAAATGGTCTTTGACAAAACGGTACATGTGACAAAATGGCACGTTGGACAAAATGGAACAGAGACAAAAAGGAACAGAGACAAAAAAGGTATTGGGGACAAAAATGGCACAGCCAAAAAGGTAATTAGACCGTAAGCGATAAATTTGTACAACGACAAATGGAAAAAATAGACAAAATTTCATAACGTCTAAAATCGTAACAAGCAATGTAAAAAATAAATAATCAATTTTATTTCAAATTAAAGAAAAAATTTTTGGCTTTTAATTTTAATTTATAAACAAAAAAGTAAATAGAATAAAACAAAAGGCAAAATTAAAAAAATAATTTTTAAGACGTGAAAAAAATTAATTTGGTAAACTGGGATCTATTTTAAATTTTGAATAAAAAAATTTTTTCCCCTGAGAGGGTTCGAACCCCCTTAGCGACAGACATTTTACTATTTTCGGACAATCCGCAAAAAAAATTTCAGTTAAAATAAAATAGGGACCTGAGCGGGTTCGAACCTCCGACCCCACTAAAAGACACAATTTTTTCTCTCTAAAATAAAATAAAAAAATTCAAGGAGAGAGCAAGAATGTATGGGGAGATTTATAAGCAGAAATAAAAAAGGGGAGAAAATGAAGACTAAAAGAAAAAAATTTTCTTTTCTTTTTTAAAAAAGGGTCTCTCAACTGATTTTATTTTATTTCTAAATTGTGTTGTAAGGGAATAAAAAATAAATAAAATTGATATATAGTCTTTTTCTGCTGTTCTTTGAAGTAAAAAATGAAAGAGAGAGGAAGGAATAAAAATCAAAAATCAATTTATTATTTATTAATTTTTTTTTCTAACTGGCAGGCAGGTGAATTCCCAAAGAAAAAAAGGAAAAGAAAATTTTTGCGGATTGTCCGCATATTTTTTTGCGGACTGTTCGCAAAAATATTCGTCCTGAAAAATCCTCTTTCTTTTATTTTTCAAGGATTTTCCTCAAAAAATGCTGAGGAGAGAATTCCTCAAAAATATACCCAAAAAAGGAATATATTTGAGGATAGTTTGCAAAAGGGAAAAAATTTTTGCGGACAATCCGCAAAAAATATTTTCGAAAAAAACCTATAATTTTAAAATAATTTTTTTCTAATTAAAAAATTTTTTTGAGCTCTCAATTAAATTATCTTCTAATTTATATATAGTCAAAGAAAAAAACAAAATTTTGTTTTATATTAAAAAGAATACTATTTTAATATTTTATAATGGCCTTTTAGTATTGCGCATTTTGTCAAGTCTAGATTGCAAATGGTTGATGGTTTCCCTGCTTTCTTCAAGTAATTGTTCCTTGTCACGCAGCTGAAGAAAAAAATTTTTTAAAAGAAAATTTGAAAAAAAATTTAGCGGACAAAAGAAAATTTTTTGCGGACATCCGCAAAAATATTTTGCGGATGTCCGCAAAAATTTTGCGGACAATCCGCAAAAAACCTTTTTTTCACGTCAAAAAATATTTTTTAAGAAAGGCAAACCTCTTTCTTCAGTTGTCTGTTCTGCTTTTCTAATTCTTCCGATTCTCTTTCTGATTGTTCCGCAATAGTTTTAAACCTCTTTAATTGGGTTTCAGACCGTCCAAAAGCTCCATCCAAAGCGGTTTTTTCTCTTTCCATCTCTTGTAATTTAAGTTTCATTTCTGCAAGTTGTTTAGAAGCATCTCCTTTTAAATTAGAAAAATTATTTTGAAATCAACAAAATTTGCGGATTGTCCGCAAATTTTTTGCGGACAAAAATTTTCGTCCGCAAATTTTTTGCGGACTGTCCGCAAAACTAAAAACAAACTGTGTAGGCTATCATCACTACTGCTATTTGACGACCCATTAGAGTTCAAAATTTCCTGAGATTGTAACCGATAGTTATACAAAGTCTTTTCAGCATCGTCTATTTGTTGACGAAGTTTTCGGTTCTAAAAAATAATTTTAAAAAATAAATTTTTAAAAATAAACCGATTCAACAATTCTTTGAATTTTTTGGTCAACAGCAGAGGTAAGTTTTTTCCTTTCCTAAGTTTTTTTCCTTTTCATAGACTTAAGTTTGTCATAAATTAACTATAATATTTTTAAGAAGATTTTTTTGAAAAGAAATTTAATAAATTAAAGGGCCAACTTTCAAAAATTGTTGGAATGGAACCAGGAAGAGTTAAAGACTCTATCACTCAATTTAATCAATTTTTATTAAATATGGACAGTTATAATTGTAATCAATTAGCTAAAATATCTTCTACAAGGTATTTTAAATAATTTTAAAAAATTATTTTTTAAATTTTTTTTCCTTAAAAGAATTTTAAATTCAATTCAAAAACGAACAAATGAACATATTTTGGCTGCATATAAAATTATTTATTCAAAAATTAGTGACCCTTCTAATGGATATCCAGTTATTGAACAAATAAAGACTATTGAAGAAGTGGGGAGAATTATAGAAAAAAATTTTTTAAATTTGTTTTGTAGGTTGAATCAATTTTGTGTAAAAATGAAGGTTCTAAAGCGTGAAGAATATATTTATAAGTCCGGATTTATTTTCATAGGTTAAGAGATATATTAAATATTTTTGAAAGGTTAATTTTTATTATTTAAATATTGTGACTTATTTTTCCGGAAACTTTAAGGTCATAATTGTTTTTAGAATTTAAGTTTATTACTTCCGGAAACTTAAGTTTACAAAACTTGAGTCGATTGGTTTGTTGACACTTAAGTTTACAAACTTAAGTTTATGAGCTAAGGAAGAGAAATTAATGAATTTGTAGTTTCCGGAAACTTAAGTTTATTAGTTTCCGGAAAAACTTAAGTCTGTGAACTGTAAGAGAAAATAAATATTTATAGTTTCCAGAAACTTAAGTTTATTATTTTCCGGAAAAACTTAAGTCTGTGAATTGTAAGGGGAAAATAAATATTTTTTGCTTCCGGAAACTTAAGTTTGCGAACTTAAGTCTGTGAAATTAATCTACTGATTAATTTAAATAATATTAAGTTTCCGGAAAAACTTAAGTCTATGAACTGTAAGGGAAAATATTTTTTACTTCCGGAAACTTAAGTCTGTGAACTTAAGTTTATTATAATATATTGAGTTGTCTAATATTATTATTCTATATTTTTTCATAACTTAATAAATAAATGGTAAAATACATGTTCTACTGATTAATTAAAAATATTTTAAAAAATCCATTAAAAAACAAACAAAAATTAATCAAAATTCTAATAATACACTTCCTTCACATCATTTTTTACTTTACTCAAATTTGTAATAAATTCTTCATGTTCCTGTACCAATTTTCCAACAATTTTTTCTTCAATTTCTTCAACACCTTTTTCTAAATCTTTTTGTTCTATATTTATGGTTTCTGTTGGTTTATTATTTGGGTATACAAAAACAACTGATTTCTTTCTTGTTTGGAGCAAGTTCCCAATAACTGCATTGTGCCCATACTTTTCTATTGCGTCCTTGGCTTTTTTGAGCAAAATGGATTCGTCGGTTTCGAGCTGTAAAATTAATGATTAGTCGACAAAATGCCACAGGCACTATAATGGTCAAAATGCATATGACATAATAAACGACAAAATGCCTAGGCCACTATAATGGACAAAATGCCTATCACACAAAAACGACAAAATGTCACGGGCATGATAAGCGACAAAATGCCTCAGACCCAAGAATCGACAAAACGCCTAAGGCACTATAATGGACAGAATGCCTAAGGCCAATAAACGACAAATTGCCCCAGACTTATAAACGACAAATTGCCCCAGACCAAAAAATCGACAAAATGCCTAAGGCACAATAAAAGACAAAATGCCTCAGGCCCAAAAATTGACAAAACACCACAGACAGTAAAGTCGACATAATGCCTAAGGCACAGTTTATCTCTTACCTTAAACGAGACAATATAAGCACTAGGCACAATCTTCTCCACAAGCCTTTCCAACAATTTGGGTACCAAACTTAAGGTTAATTGTAATTCGCCATCTCTAGATTGGATTTTATGAGTTGGCTGAAAATAAAAAATTTCTTGGTGATTTTTTGAACCCCCCATCTCACCAATCTCTCTTCTAAAACATAAAAATCAGAAACTGCCGCAGCCAAGTAAATTAGCACTTTAGGCCCGCATTTATGCAAACATGTACAAATAACTTCCAAATCATGTAAATATTGATCTAATTCAACAAAGGGAATGAACAGAAGACGAGAAGCATTTCTTTTGTAAGTGGAGACATCTCTTGAGAGATTGGGGAAGTTTACAACTAAAATAATAAGGGGAAGAGATTTTAATATTACGGACAAAATGCCTACAAGTACAAAAATGACAAAATGCCTACAAATATAAAATTAGACAAAATGCCTACAAGTATAAAAAGACAAAATGCCTAAAGGTATAAAAATGGACAAATTGCCTACAAATAGAGCAAGGCAAAGTGCCTACAAGTATAAAATGGACAAAATGCCTACAAAAAGAAAAATGGACAAAATGCCTACAGGGATAAAAATGGACATAATGCCTACAGGGATAAAAATGGACATAATGCCTACAGGTATAAAAATGGACAAAATGCCTACAGGTATAAAAATGGACATAATGCCTACAGGTATAAAAATGTACAAAATGCCTACAGTTATAAAAATAGACAAAATGCCTACAAGTACAAAAATGGACAAAATGCCCACAAGTGTAAAAATAAACAAAATGCCTACAGGTATAAAAATGGACAAAATGCCTACTAGTGTAAAAACCGACAAAATGCCTACAAGTACAAAAGACAAAATGACTCACTTTCAACTTTCCCTTCATCTGTCACATCCAAGTGATCAAAAAAGTGAAGATATCTACGAGAATAAGGCTTTAAAGATTCTTCTCTGTGGAAACTAGAAAAAAGGAATTCGAATAATTTTTTTAAACTTTAATTTCTCACAAAATAACAGCATATCCTTTCTCCAAAAAATACTCAGTACTCGCCGCGCCCCTCGTGCCCATTGAAAAATTCTCAATTGAACGGACAGCATTTACTTCTAATTTCACTCTTGTTCCACCACTCTAATGAAAAATAAAGTTATTAATTCTTGACGTAATCCGTCTGTCCGTCTCTTGATTTAATACACTCTCTTCAGGATATTTATAGGGTTGATCTTGAGCGTGTTGGTCTTTAGGGAAGAGTATAAGGGGACCTTTAGGAAAAGGTGATCTTCTGGGTAACATTATGGCGATCTATAACGAGTTGATCTTTTGGGTTGTCTGAGAGGTGATCTTTAGGGATGGAGAGGTGTTGCTCTTCTGGGATGACCCCAAGTGATCTTTTGGGCTCACCGTGTGCATAAGACTAAAACGTGAACAGATGGATTTTTCTCTACTTAACTGTAACTAAAACAATCTTTCGTCCTTCATGTGTTGAAATAAATTTATTAATTAATATTTGTAATGAAGAAGAATCTTTTCTGTTCGTTTCCATTCTAGAGATGGAAATTTCTAAAAATTTTAAATTAGTTGAGACTCTAAAATGCTGGTTGGGTTCTTCAGACTCTAAGGGGTATTAATTAAACTGAACAAAATGGTACATTGGACAAAAAGGAACTGAGACAAAATGGTCTTTGACAAAACGGTACATGTGACAAAATGGCACGTTGGACAAAATGGAACAGAGACAAAAAGGAACAGAGACAAAAAAGGTATTGGGGACAAAAATGGCACAGCCAAAAAGGTAATTAGACCGTAAGCGATAAATTTGTACAACGACAAATGGAAAAAATAGACAAAATTTCATAACGTCTAAAATCGTAACAAGCAATGTAAAAAATAAATAATCAATTTTATTTCAAATTAAAGAAAAAATTTTTGGCTTTTAATTTTAATTTATAAACAAAAAAGTAAATAGAATAAAACAAAAGGCAAAATTAAAAAAATAATTTTTAAGACGTGAAAAAAATTAATTTGGTAAACTGGGATCTATTTTAAATTTTGAATAAAAAAATTTTTTCCCCTGAGAGGGTTCGAACCCCCTTAGCGACAGACATTTTACTATTTTCGGACAATCCGCAAAAAAAATTTCAGTTAAAATAAAATAGGGACCTGAGCGGGTTCGAACCTCCGACCCCACTAAAAGACACAATTTTTTCTCTCTAAAATAAAATAAAAAAATTCAAGGAGAGAGCAAGAATGTATGGGGAGATTTATAAGCAGAAATAAAAAAGGGGAGAAAATGAAGACTAAAAGAAAAAAATTTTCTTTTCTTTTTTAAAAAAGGGTCTCTCAACTGATTTTATTTTATTTCTAAATTGTGTTGTAAGGGAATAAAAAATAAATAAAATTGATATATAGTCTTTTTCTGCTGTTCTTTGAAGTAAAAAATGAAAGAGAGAGGAAGGAATAAAAATCAAAAATCAATTTATTATTTATTAATTTTTTTTTCTAACTGGCAGGCAGGTGAATTCCCAAAGAAAAAAAGGAAAAGAAAATTTTTGCGGATTGTCCGCATATTTTTTTGCGGACTGTTCGCAAAAATATTCGTCCTGAAAAATCCTCTTTCTTTTATTTTTCAAGGATTTTCCTCAAAAAATGCTGAGGAGAGAATTCCTCAAAAATATACCCAAAAAAGGAATATATTTGAGGATAGTTTGCAAAAGGGAAAAAATTTTTGCGGACAATCCGCAAAAAATATTTTCGAAAAAAACCTATAATTTTAAAATAATTTTTTTCTAATTAAAAAATTTTTTTGAGCTCTCAATTAAATTATCTTCTAATTTATATATAGTCAAAGAAAAAAACAAAATTTTGTTTTATATTAAAAAGAATACTATTTTAATATTTTATAATGGCCTTTTAGTATTGCGCATTTTGTCAAGTCTAGATTGCAAATGGTTGATGGTTTCCCTGCTTTCTTCAAGTAATTGTTCCTTGTCACGCAGCTGAAGAAAAAAATTTTTTAAAAGAAAATTTGAAAAAAAATTTAGCGGACAAAAGAAAATTTTTTGCGGACATCCGCAAAAATATTTTGCGGATGTCCGCAAAAATTTTGCGGACAATCCGCAAAAAACCTTTTTTTCACGTCAAAAAATATTTTTTAAGAAAGGCAAACCTCTTTCTTCAGTTGTCTGTTCTGCTTTTCTAATTCTTCCGATTCTCTTTCTGATTGTTCCGCAATAGTTTTAAACCTCTTTAATTGGGTTTCAGACCGTCCAAAAGCTCCATCCAAAGCGGTTTTTTCTCTTTCCATCTCTTGTAATTTAAGTTTCATTTCTGCAAGTTGTTTAGAAGCATCTCCTTTTAAATTAGAAAAATTATTTTGAAATCAACAAAATTTGCGGATTGTCCGCAAATTTTTTGCGGACAAAAATTTTCGTCCGCAAATTTTTTGCGGACTGTCCGCAAAACTAAAAACAAACTGTGTAGGCTATCATCACTACTGCTATTTGACGACCCATTAGAGTTCAAAATTTCCTGAGATTGTAACCGATAGTTATACAAAGTCTTTTCAGCATCGTCTATTTGTTGACGAAGTTTTCGGTTCTAAAAAATAATTTTAAAAAATAAATTTTTAAAAATAAACCGATTCAACAATTCTTTGAATTTTTTGGTCAACAGCAGAGGTGCCAGGATATGCTTTTTCAACAGCAGCTAATGTTACATAAGAAAGAAGTAGAGGGTCGAATTGCCTGAGGCAAAAAAATATTTTAATTTTTTTGCGGATGTCCGCAAATTTTTTGCGGACAAAAAAAATTTTTTTTAATTTTAAAAAATTTTTAAAAATTGTTTTCAGACCTTATAATAAAATATGAAAATTATATACATTTTAGTAGGGTCAATTCCATTGTCAGTAAAGTCTCTAGAATATTGTAGAGGTTGAATAAAGACATCATTAGGGTCCTGTTTAGCAACAAGAAAGCCGTTTTCCTTAAATTTAAAAAATATAGATTAAGAAAATTGAGTAAATTTTTTTCCAAAATTGTGAAAAAATAAAGTTAAAAATTTTTGCGGATTGTCCGCTAAAAATTTTTGCGGACAAAAAAAATTAAAAAAAAACAAACATGAATTAATTTGTCTCTCCAAAGAATTTCATTCTTTAAATGTTGTTGTTGTAATTGAAGGTCTTGAACAGTCTTCTATAAATTTTTTTATTTAAATAAAAATGAAAAATAAATATAAACCTTTAAAAATTTCAATTCATCGTTGACATCACGATTTTCTTTAGTTACCTAAAATATAATTTTTTAAATTTTTTTAATTAAATAAATCAAAAAACTTCCCAAAAAAATTGAAATAATTTTTTAGAAATTTTTTGAAATTAAAAAATAAAATTTAGAACATTAAATTTGCCCCAAAAACAAAGTTAGAAATCATTTCCTAACCAAAAGGATTCGAACCCCAACAATTTCGCAATACAAAATCAAAATTTAACCCACTACACCAATCACAAACATAGAATAATTTTTAAACAAACCTCCATAAAGCAATTAAATTTCTCATTAGCTTGTTGAATACGATCTCCAGAATTTTGTTGTTGATGATAATGATAATTTCCATTATTATTACTTTTATGGTGTCCAGCGGCTTCTCCTAATTGTTCTAAAGTAACACCCTTAAATAAATTATTTTTTTTTGAAAATTTTCTAAAAATTAAAATAAATCAATACTTGTGTAGAACGTCTAGTAGAACGCTTCAATTTAGATTTTGCTTTGCGCTCCGATTCACTTTCCTTTTGAGAAGTTGGTTGGGTAGGTGGTGTTGTTTGTTGTAATGATCTTTTAAAATTTTTTTAATTAATAAAAAAAATTTTTTTTAATTAGGAAAGTAAAAAAAAATTTTTGCGGACAATTTTTATATTTGCGGACAAACTACAAATTCCCTATTAGATGCTAGAAAAAAATATAAAATTGGCAAAAACGCCAAAAAGAGTCGACATAATTTACTTAAAACTTATAGGAATACATAAGAAATACATACCTTTTACCACTTAACCAAAATTCCGCAATTTGCGGATTTTGTCCGCAAAAATGTTTTTTCATTAAAATTAAAAAATAAACAAAATTCGCATGAAAAAATGTAAAAAAAAGCGATAACAATCAAAATGATTCGAACCCACAACCCTAAGTTTGGCAAACCCCATGATTTTACCCACTTAACCAAAATCCGAAAATTTGCGGACAAAATCCGCAACTTCGTTTTTTTCATTAAAAATGTTAAAAAATTAAAAAGAAATTAAATGAAAACTAAACTGTTTCCTCACAGTAACAAACGGGAAATTGTTGTTACTGTTAATCATTGAAGAAGAAGACAAAGCTGAAGGACTAGCAGCTATAGAAGATGAACAACTTTCTGATGGGGGTGTTCTTCCTTCTTCTTCAGCATTTGAAATTGTTGTTGTAAAAGCAGCAGTTAAAGGTAACAAAGGTTTTTTATTAGCTGAAAATTTTGTTGTTGTTTCTCCCACAAAAATATTTTTTAATGAAGGTTGGGGGCCTGGCAGAACAATTTTTGTTGTCTTAACAGAATTTTTCCGGTCCTTTATTGGGTCTTTTGGATCCTTTAACAAATCTTTTGATGATGAAACTGTTTGTTGTCTCCATAACATAAATTGTTGGGGAGGTTGTTGTTGAACTGCTTGATGTTGTTGAACTGCTTGGTTTTGATGTTGTGGATTATTTGGTGGAATGAATATGTTGTTATTATTAAATGAGGATCCAACAACTTTTAAACTTTCTGCTCTTTTAAATATATGTGAAGGTTTTTTGGTTGGAAATTGTTGTTGGTATTGTTGTTTTTGCTGTTCGCCTTTAAATTAAAAATTTAAAAAAATTATTTTGGGCTCTGATCTAGTTTATGAGTCCAATAAAGCTTTATAACCCCTTAAAGTTCACAAAAATACCCCTAAAGGATCACAAACCTTCTCTTAATCCCAACATCCCAAAATGTCCGCAAAAATAATTTGAATCCGCAAAAATAATCCGCAAAAATTTTGCGGACTCAAAAACAATAAACAATATGTCAAATAAAGCCTTACAACCCCCTAAAACTCACAAAAATACCCCTAAAGATCACAATACTTCTTTTAATCCCAACAATCCCAAAATGTCCGCAAAAATAATCCGCAAAAATTTTGCGGACACAAAAACAGAAAACAAAATTTTGAATCCTTTTCCAGCCCCAAAGGAAAAAATTTTTTGACTAGAAAATTCCCGAAAATTTTAATTAAAAATATAAACCTGCAACAAAAGCAAAAGGAGATTGAGTCGTTCCATTATTACTACTCAACGAATTTCCTCCACCACTCCCACCACCACTAGAATCATTTACAGCAAATTTTTGTCTAGATTTTAAAAATTGTTGTTGATGTAATTGTGTACTTGTAATTGGATGATTTTGAAGATTTTGTTGTTGATTTTGTGTTGATTGTTGAACTGGAACAAGGCAATTATTATTTTCTATAGAATTCCAAAAAAGCCGAGCAGATTGAACTAAGGGAGCTGAGGATGGAGGCGATTTTAGAGGAGATGATTTTAGGGAGGGGGAGGATTCCACATTTAATAGCCCGCTTGAAGGCTTCCCACAATCAACAGAAGACGATTTTGCTCTTTCATTGGGTAAGGGTGTTAAGGGAATTCGTGTAACTGTTGACTGAACGATTGGTAGTTGACGACGGAGACGCTGTAAAAAAGAATTTTAATAAAAAAAATTTCTTTATAAAAAATTTTTTTGAGGGAGTAAATGATAGAAGATTGAAAAATTGAAATTGAAAAGATAAAAAAAAGAAATCAGAAATATCTGGTATAATCACCAGCCACCACTAAAGTAACAAAATCCCAGAAGCCGCTCTTCTTCAAGTCATACAAAATAAAATTTTTTTTGGAACCACCCAAAATTTTGGCAAGAAAACAAAATTTTGGACACTCAATAACTAGGAGAGGTCCAGGAAAAAATTCAGAAAATACAAAGCAAAAAATTGTATTATGAATATGGGTGACATTTCATCCCAAAAAATTCTTTGATAAAGAAACGGGTAGGGTATTGAGTTAGAGATGATTTATAACCGAGCTTGAACAACTAGAAAAAAGTCCAGGGGGTACAGAGTTAAAAAAGGAAAATTAGTAAAATAAGTGACATTTCATCCCACCAAAAAAATTCTTTCTGAAGGAAATCAAAAAATTAAAAAACAAACTTTAACAGTTTCTTCAGCAGCTCTTAATACAGCAGACTTTTGATGTGTCTGTTGTTGAGTTGATTTTGCAATTGAATTACTATTTAAACTTGTTGAAGTAGATGTTGAAATACTTGGAGAAGAGGAAGTTGAACGATCTTCTAAATTCATTGATTTATTTGTTGTTGGAACTCCTGCTCTAATAGTGCATTGAACACTTTGATCGCTGCTGTACAAACTGGAGGAACGCTGGAAAAATAAAAAAAGGTTAAAAAAGGAAAAATTATTTTAATGAGTGACATTTGATCCCAAATTATATTTTGATAAACCTAAAAGAATTGTGGGTTTGTGGAGTCTAAAATAGTCTATGAACAACTAGGAAGTCTAGGAAAAACTCCAAAAATGTACAAAAAAATGCGTAAACTAAAAGACGATTCACAATAATCTCCTTGAACCCTGACGGTGTCTGAAAGACCATTTAAGGGCATAGCCTAGAGAATAAAAAGAGGAAAATAATTTTAGTCAAAAGAAATATAAAAACGATCAGAATCGTTAAATAATAAATTAAAAAAAAAAAGAATAATTAAACGAATTTTTTTTTCAATTAAAAAAAAAGAAATATAATAAAAAATCAAAAAAAAAACAGAAAATTATAGGAAAAATAAATTAAGAATCAAAATAAGGAGGGAGAGATCCACAAAAAACACATAATTAAAGAAATCTCCTAGCTTTATGCGTTCCAAAAAATTTTTTTTAATTAAAAAAACCTCGAGGTGACATTTCATCCCAAAAATTAAAAATTTTATTTTAATTCCTCACATCTTTAGGAGTAACAGATCTACTTGTTGTTTGAATTGAACTAATTCCAGAACCAGTATTTGATGAAAAATTTTCTTCTACACTTGGAGAATTTGAATGACTATTACTTGGAACTTGACTGCTTGAAGTTGCTGAGGTTGCCTGAACTTCTTCATCAACTTGAACTTCTTCAACTTCTTCTGTCGTTGCCCCGTCTTCTTCTTCATTATTGCTTCCATTACTATTTCCGCTTTCCACTGAACCTTCTTTAAGTTGATTAATACTAGTCTTTTCATTCTCCTCTTCTTCATTTGTGTCTTCACCTGATGACATCTTTGCTGCTTCATCCAAACGAGCTTTTTCTTGTTCCTTTTTTAATAGAGAAATTTTTTTATTTAAAATAGTGGCAAGATTTGAGGATTTTTTTTGACTAAAACTAAAAGAATTGGGATAATCTGGACATCAAATCTAATTTTCAAAAAGTTTCCCGTCCGCAAGTTTAAGTTGCGGACGTCCGCAATTTTTATTTTTTAAAGAAAATATAGTTTATCCATAAAAAAGGCTCCATTTCCTATTTAGTTAAAGGTTATATAGTTCAGGAATAACCTGTCGTCAAAAATAAAGAGGGAAAAAACCAAGGAAAAGCCGCCCGACTATTTTCGACCCAAAACCCAACAACAGGCCCGTAGCCAGAGAGGGGAGGGGTAGGGGAAGTTCTATTCAATTTTGAAAATTAAATTAAAAAAACCTCTTTTAAATTGTACAAATATTCTTCAATCGATTTATCAGCTACAGACAAAACAGAATGTCCAAAATAAGTCAAAGTATCAAAATTCGCCCCATTTTCTACAAGTATACGGCAAGCTTCACGTTCTCCCCAATGAGCAGCTGCATGTAAAGGTGTCCAACCTTCAAAATCTGGAGCGTTAATATCCGCGCCCGCATTGATTAGCTTCTCTAAAAATTGTAAAAAAATTTGAAAAACGTTCAGAAAAATGAAAAATAGACCAATAAGCTGGACATATCCTTTAGAAGCAGCCACATGTAAAGCAGTCGCCCCAGTCTTTGGATGAGGTGTGTCAAGACATTTACCAGATTGAATCCATCTAAAATATAAAGGGGTTTTAAGGAAAAATATGGGTAAAGCTAAAAATCCAAATCTAGTACAGTCGGCCCCACTATAAAATAGACTCAATGTCAATAAAAGATAAGCTTCAATTTGGGGCTAGATCTGATGCCTGACCACCCCCGACAAGTTTTCTGTTAATATCGTGAACCAACATTTACCATCCAAATTTTTAGAACTCGAAGGGTTGAGGTTCAACCCAACTTCATTTAAAATAGTTTTAAAATAGTCGATTAATTTGACTGGAAAAAATGGGGTAGAGGAGCCTAACAATAAGAGATGCAATAAACCAAGGTAGACGGAACAAGTAAGTTGTCACAAAAAGGCAAATTTTGTGAAATGCGGAAACGATAGACATCCCATCCCTAATGTGAAACTTATAATGAGGTTCGATTCAGAGGTGGGTCGGAACAATTCGAGGTGTCGGAAATCGGAAGAGCCGGAAATCGGAACTGGCTCAAAAGTCAAAACTCGGAAATCAAAATTTTTTTTAGAAATTGGAAGGAAAAAACGTCGGAAATCGGAATTCCGACCCACCTCTGGTTCGATTATAATACCCTCAAAAATTCTAAACAAACACAAAAACCTGTCACAATCTTCAAGCATTGCATTAAATTCACTTTCCCTCGCCTTCCTTTCATCAACTTCTTTTAACCGCATAACCTCCTCCAAAAAATTTCTCATTTCATCATTTTCTGCCAAATCTACAGGTAATTCTCTGTCACTATTTACACAAGCCAAATCTGCATTCTAAAAAAGAAAAAAATTTTAAAATAAAGTTGCGGACATTTTTTGCGGACAAAAAAATTTTTTGCGGACATTTCGTCCAAAATAAATTTTTTTAAAAATTTCTTACGTTTTCATACAAATATTTTGCAATATTCAAATTTCCACAACAAACAGCAGTATGTAAAGGTGTCCACCCTTCATTATCTTGAGCATTAATATCCGCATTGTGTTGGACTAGAAAGCGAACAATGTCCATATTTCCGTCAATAACAGCCTTTAAAAAAATTTTTAAGGTAATAAAAAATTTTGCGGACATATTTTTAATAAGTGGAGGCATTTAGAAAGTGGGATCAAATTCAGATTTTAGGTTCTATCAGAAAACTAAAAAATAATCAAGCGAAAAAAAGACTTGTCCGCAAAAATTTGCGGACAAATTCTTTATCAGTTAAATATGAATATCCAGTCAGTTTGATAATATCGCGGTACTTGTGAGTTATCTTATACCAGTTCTTGCGGACATGTTTATGCGGATTCATTCATATGAACAGAAGAATGGTCAGACCTCCTTCCTCATTCTCAACTAATTTCCCTGTGGCATGACCCAAGGAAGAAATGAGGAAGTCTGGCTATTCTTCTGTTCATATGAATGAGTCCGCATAAACATGTCCGCAAGAACTGGTATAAGATAACTCACAAGTACCGATATCGCTTGTATACCCAAAAAGGTATTTCGAAAAATACAGAATAAACACAGCTTTCTGTTTTGAGATCCCAGGGGTTAAATTCATAAAGAACCCAAAAATGCGAAAAGGGAACCCTCAAACACAAAAGAAGTCCAAAACAAAAATCCAATAAAACTTAAAAATTCCAAACCTGATGAAGAGCAGTCACTCCATCAATATTCGAAGAATTAATATCAGACCCTTTTTTCAAAAGTTCTTCAACTTCGTCTTCATCCCCGCTTTGACAGGCACTTAAAAAGATGTCACTGTTTTGGAATTTAACTTTGGAGAGTTGATAATGGTTGCGTTTTGGACAAATTTGATTCATTTCAGAATTTTCCCAGTGCTCCAATTGTTGCTTAAAAAAATTAGATTAAAAAATATAAAAAGAAATGTAGAGAAAAGTAAGGCACCATAAAGGGGAAAAACTCAAAATCTGTTAGAGAACTTCAAGCTTCTCATTGCTTTCTTTAGTCAACCACGTTAGCAAAAAAGTGTTCTGTTTGAGGACAAAAAGAGAAATTTGCCGAGAAGGATTTTGGAGAATGGACAGAACCCAAAAATCGATTTCGACAGGACAAAAACAAAAAGAAAATTCAAAGAGAAAAGTTTCTGCCAAAATTGGATTGCCCCAAAAGACGATGATAAGGTGTTTGTAGAATATTAAAAGTTACTTTAGGGCGATACTCTTAATTTTAAAGGATTCATTTAAATTTAATAAAGCCCTTAAAAATTGTAAAAAAAACCTTTCGTTTAGCTAAAACATTATTTTGAATCATTGCTTTATTTTGAAGCATAGCAGCATGTTCTACCAAGTCAAGTTGTAATTCCTTATCTAGCACCATCAAAAATAATGTAAAAATCTCTAAAAAATTTTTTATTTAAACAAAGACTAAAAATTAAAATTAAACGGCAACTAAAAATGAGGGGGAAATGTTGTGATAATTAATTAAATCACCTAAACAAATCAATCGGCTAACTAACTAAGAAAAACTAAAAACTAAAAAAACAAAAGACATTTGTCAAAAACGAAAAAAATAAGCAAAAAATTAGAAAAATCCTCGAAAAAAAAGAGAAAATGACATTTTATCCCATTTAAATAAACAAAACGCCAAAAACGCCAAAAGAGCGATTTTCCTGATATTTAAAAATATATGGAAGAAAAAGGAAGGGGTAACGACCGGTGATTTTGCGGGATACCGCTCCCGCAATCCCGCACTTTTTTTGATTTGCGGGATTTATCCCGCGGGATCCCGTCCCGCAGGGATTTAAAAAATTTTTATCCCGCGGGATCCCGCAAACGCAATTTTGCCGGTCTCTAGAAGAAAACGGAAGGGATAATTAAAGATTTTTTGTTGGTTTACTGAAAGTAAAATGAATATAGTCTTATGTACCCCAATATATCGCTTTCTTTATACCTAGCGCTAAGCTTTTTGTCTTTTTTTGCGCGCTATAAAGTTGAGGTTAAGAGGGAAAGTAAAAAATAAAGAAAATTGTAAGATTCATAAAAAATACCAAAAAATAAATACAGCCGGACTTTGTTATAAAATATTCATTGAGGGCTGAAAAAAGCGTGTATTACATATAATGAGTGTATCTTAATTAGCGGGTACCGCTTAACCCCACACTAAGGGTGTGCCATTTCGCCTTCCGTCTTTCGCTTTTTAAAATCTGTCCTGCCCCACATAATGGCCAGAATATTTTAAAACGAGTTTATATCTGGGTATACATATTTTATTATAAGGTTCGACTGGGTTTGTATATCAGGGGCGTGCCGAAAGTGATTACAAAAAAGAATAGTGAAATGCGAAAGTTAATTTAAGAAGCGAAACATGAAAGGCGAAACACTAAAAAAAGATATAAATTCGAAATTCGGCAAAAAAGGGAACTGGCACACCCTTGTTGTGTATCTGTGGGGAGGAGTATCCACCTATGTAAATCGAGGTGTATCTATTGGGTGTATCTTATAATTAATTTCAACTCTTTTCCCCCACAATCTCTGCCAAAAGTGTCATAAGGGTCAAAAAGTCTAAATAGGCTAAGCGTAAAAATAGGAGATCAACAGGGATGTTGATTGATTTCTAATGAAAGATTCAACTAAAAGTAGTGATAAATATAAAAATAAAAATAGAGGGAGAATGTGCGCTAATAATAATGTGGATGATGGGGGGGGGGTTTATTTATTCAATGCGCGAACAAAACAAAAACGTTTTTAGGGTTTATTAGTATATTTATTTTCTTTTATGTGGATAAATGAAGAGAAAAACGGAAGAGAGAACGGATCAATGAATAAATATGTTGGGGGAAGGGACAATGGACTGGAGAGAAGATCACAAATTTATAATTTTAGTTAGTTTATGTGTGCGCCAAAAACGCTAAAAATACCAGGAGACGTGTGGGAGTCCATACCCTGAAGGGATTTCCCTGGGGGTTTAGGATACCAGACTAGGACAAATACTGATTTTGGTATCCGTATCCGGATATTTACGGCGGATACAGACGGATACAGACGGATACAGACGGATATCCGCAAGCTTTTTTTATAATATCTGTATCCATATCCGTATCCATGTCCTAGTCTGTTAGGGAGAATTTACCCTGAGGGGATTTTCCAGATGGAATAACAAAGGAAATCCCCGCGCGGGGTTTCTCATAAAATTCTTAAAGAACCTATACTATAGCCTAACGCTTTTTACTAATTTGCGCACACCCTCAACACGTCCATTGTTTGAATGGGCGAGATTTACGCGCTTTTTACAATGGAAAAAGTGAAAGAGAATTGTTCAAGCACTTGGTGTGTATATATATTTTCTCAATTTACGCCAAAAATATAAAAAGCGGAAAATCACAAATTGGGTCGTGTAGCTTTAACTAATCGGTGGTGGGTGGCTTTGCGCGTGTGGGGGGAAGGCTGCTTGATTGAGTTGTTGAAGCGCAAAGGAAATTGATCCCGAAAATTTATGAAGAGAAAAAAGAGAAATTTATTTAAGAATAGAAAAATTATTATAAATCTTGAGGATCGATGAAATTCTTGAAAAGGAAGTATTCAGAAAAGGACAGACTCCCCATAAGTGTTCCTTCCAGTCGGACCTCATATAGGGTAAAAATCCAATACTAGATATAACTCAATTTACGATCGCTTTTTTAAATTTTGATCGGCTACTTGTGGGAGAGCTGCTCAAGAAATCCTTCTATCTAGGTAAGGTACCTCATGTAAGGTCACTTCCTATTTGAGGTGAACCTCCCTTCATTATAAGGTAATTTTCTCCCCACAAGGGTGCATCTAAAAATGTGACCAATTTCATTCTGTATAAGCTAGTTAGAACTCTCTAGCAGTCTTTCGCAGGTCCCTACAACCCCACGAAGGTAGACACTATTAAAAATCGTTAGGAGGAATCTCTTCGGTCAGAGAGGTAGCTCTATTATTTTTAATGAAAAACATTTTTAATTGTTCTGGGGGCAATTGAGAATGCTAATCTCTCAAAATTGGAAGAAAAAAAATAAAAAAAAAGGACAGAATAAAAGTGGTTGTTGTACGATTTGAAAGAGATTCCCCCCTCAATTCTAAAGCGGCTTTTCAATGCTTGGTCGCCTTTCCTTTTATAGCGCTTTATTATTTGCATAAAAATAATATTTATATCTATTTTTAAAGAGAAAATATGTGTGGAAAAATAACAAAAAATGGGAGAATAGATGAAAAGAAAAATTTTAAATTTGTCAAAATAAAATTAAAAACAATATTATAAATTAGTACGAGTAAATACAAGCAAAATAAAATGAGTGGGCGACAGGCGGGTTCGAACCCTAGACCTTTAGGTTTACAAAACCAAGCGCTTACCGACTAGACCAAAACTGAGTTATTCGAGTCTTACGTTTTTAATTAAATAAACCCCTAATTTTTAATTCTTTTCAAGCTTAGCCAGCGTCTTAGAATGCAGGTTGAGGCTCTTGTTTTGGCCATAACTTTTTTCATTTTTAACGAAAATTGATAATTCTTTTTTTCCTGGATTCCCAACACTTTAGAGAATTTTTTGATACCAAATAATAATTTTAAAAAATATTGAGAAGGATTTAATATTTTAAAATAAAGCGTTCAGCTTCAATAAAAAACAGACTAAAACACAACACAACTATAATAAAAGTACAATTTTTAAAAGCACACAGATTTCCGGTATCCACAAAAATCTGGTCTTATTTTAGCAAACATATTATTTTTTTATCTTTTTCAAAAGGATATCTATATACATATGTTTGTGTTTATGCTCATGCTAATAATACAGAGAGAGAATGTTTGTTTGCTTGAAAAGTGCTCTAGTGCGAAGAAAAGTGAAATAAAAAAATCGGATCTTTTTTTCTGCTTTTATATACTCTCATACGCTTAAAAAATAAACGCGCGATCGTCTCACATCTGTGCTTAAATACTAAAAAAATAGGCAGAAAAACAAGCTAATTTTTTAGAGGTTCTTCTATTGTGTAATAGAAAATAAAAGTTAAATAGTATGACGTTGGAAATATTAGCCCTAATTTTTTAAAGCTACCTTTTTTACGAAAAAATCAAGTATAACCCTATAGATCAACTAAATATTAAATGAGAGAAAATTCAAGACTCTAATGATGATTGATCAAAGTTGTGCGCCAATAAATTCTAGCAAACGCAAAACGCCAATAATATTTGATAATGATTGGATTTGACAATGATAAAAAAAGGGATAAGGATTTCAGTTCAATAAGAAAAATGGGAAAAATCAGGACTAAACGCCTTGATCAAGGCTGTGCGTCACGAATTTTTAGTAGCACGCAAAACGTCAATCGGAATTGCGCACAACTTTAGTAATGATACCGTATTTCCTCTAAAATACCCCCCCCCCTCTCTAAAATAGCCCCCCTCCGAAGGTCGATTGAAATAAATAACCCCGGGGGCTATTTTAGAGGATTTACGGTATATGGTAAGTAAAGTGATAAGGATCTCGGTTCAGACACTAATAGGCATGTTAATAAATTTAGAAGACTCTAGGGGCAATTTGATCTAAATAGAGGGGTTAGTTGATATTCTGGATCATGCCAAGTTGCGGTTTGGCTAAAATTGAGGAATTGAAGGAATTAATGAAAAAATTAAAAAATAATTGGAATGCGTGACCACGCAAAATAAAATTTTCCCCCTTAAAATTATTTAAACTTTAGCTAATAACAAAAAATATTTACAAGGACCTTTCTATTTTTAAAAGAAAAAAGTAAAAGAAAACTGAGAGGGTAGGAGCTATGTAATTTTAAAAATAGAAAAAAAAGAATTAAATTTTGATGATTTGTAATAATATTTCTTCCTCCTAAAACACTGGTTGTCACCGAGAAAAAAAAACTTTTTTTAATAAATAAAGGGGAAAAGTAGTTAGTTGCCTAGTGGTGACATTATCCTGAATGGCCATAAATTGCTACTTGGCTTTTTAAACTATTAGATTTCAAAGAGAGAAATGAGAAAAAGGGAGGGAAATAAAATATATTTATTTTTATTTATAAAATTGGGCAAATGTGTTCCCAACTAGCGGGAAAATAGAGTTATATTTAGAAAATCAACTATGGCATTAGAGACTTGGGAGGGTAATTGGAAAGAGATATTAGAGTCTGTGGAGAGCAATGAGACTTGGATAATTGAGAACTAGGACACTAGAGTCTTGAACTGGAACTCGAAGACTACACTCACAATCAGTTCCAAAATTATAAGGTCACCTCTATTTTTTATCATATCTCATTGAAAAAGTATCGAAATTTTTTGAAATTTTTACATAATTTATATTTTTCTATTTAAAATCTTCCCTAAATAAATCAAATATGTAGTACATTTTAAAAAATTTTTATGACCAAAAAATCAAATTTAAAGTGTTCCATAATTATAAGGTCACCTTTGTTTTATAGGTTTCTAATAGCGGGAAAAATCCACAAAAATTTTTGTGAACATATCTATTGATATGAATAGAAAATACAAAAGAAACGAATTTCTAGTGTACCTCCTTCATTGAAATCTTAAAACCCGAAAATCAACTGAAAACCGGGGTAGACGTTTTTGAAAAATATTTTCGACACCTTACAGGTAAAATAAAAATTTTATTTTAGGCTTATTTGAAAGCCCTTGAAATTTGCTACAAGATAGTTTTCATCTCATAATCCAGAAAAAATTCATACTTGAGAAATAATGAGTTTAGTTCACAAGTTACATTTTTATCGCTTTTTGGGGGGCGTTTGAGTGATTTCTATGACCTGAAAGTTTATCTCATTAGATCTTACACTTGAATTTTTTTCGGGAAATAAAATTAATGCTATCTTGTAGCAAATTTCAAGGGCTCTCAAATAAGCCCAAAATAAAATTCTTATTTTACCTGTAAGGTGTCGAAAATATTTTTTAAAGACGTCTACCCCGGTTTTCAGTTGATTTTCGGGTTTTAAGATTTCAATGAAGGAGGTACACTAGAAATTCGTTTCTTTTGTATTTTCTATTCATATCAATAGATATGTTCACAAAAATTTTTGTGGATTTTTCCCGTTATTAGAAACCTATAAAACAAAGGTGACCTTATAATTATGGAACACTTTAAATTTGATTTTTTGGTCATAAAAATTTTTTTAAATGTACTACATATTTGATTTATTTAGGGAAGATTTTAAATAGAAAAATATAAATTATGTAAAAATTTTAAAAAATTTCGATACTTTTTCAATGAGATATGATAAAAAATAGAGGTGACCTTATAATTTTGGAACTGAGTGTAGACTGGAGACTGGACTAAACTGGATTAGGACTGGAAGACTAGAGTCAACGCTGACCTTAGAGTCTTGGGAGGATAATTGGAAAGGGGCATTAGAGTCAGTGGAGGATAATGAAACTTGAAAAAATGAGAAATAGGCATTAGTCTCACTCTGGAAAATTTGTAAGACTCAAGTTGTTTGTTTCAGACTCAAACACACCTCTATCCGTAAGTCCTTTCTAGACTCAAATAGCCTTTCAAGGGAGGGTACAGCCCAAGTAGGCGCGGCTATTAGGCGCAAAGCCATAAGTTGCTGGAAAATGTCTGACCCTGATTAATCTTGGTATCAATCTCTTTAGCTCGATGAGAGGAATCGTTTGATACTAACCTTGATAGGATTCGGAAATCATGAAGCGAGTTAAGGCTTTGCGCCGTTATGGCAGCGCGCCGTTTCGGGCGTGCCCCTTCAAGGGAGTGTTAAATTTAAAAACGGCCTCTTGAGACTGCTATAATCGTTATAATTTACTAATAATAATTGTTGTGTCTCTGCACAACAAGAATAAGCAATACAATAATGTGTTTATCACACACAAGAAATACAATAATGTTGAAGTAATAGAATAAGGTTGGGTAATGTTTAGGAGACAATTAGGAGACACGGACTGACAATTGTGTGAGGCTTTTATAGTAGCCACCACACCACAACACCTCCCCCTTTGCAAGGCTGGGGTTACAACACCGCAATACAAAACATACAAACAATAACAAAAGTCCGGTCAACAAATACATACAAAAAAATTTGAGGGAATAAGGGAACAAACAAAATTTTACAAATCAAAAGAACATTTTATATATCTTATTTATCGTCGATCCTTCAGAGATATTTGAACCCTCAGAATTTATCAAACCCTCAGAACAGCTCTGCATCCTATCTTCAGATCCCTCAGAATTTAATGATCCCTCAGAACAGCTTTCCATCTTATCTTCAGACTTTTCGGACCAGATCTTTGTTTTCTTCTTCGGTGTTGCGCCTTCATTGTACAGCCTCGCATTGGAGCGTTTGACAGCATAGCCATTCTTTGATTCAATTCTTGGTTGTTGGTAATCTTCTTTAATGTCTTCAATCTTCCGCAAGATTACACTCTTCAGGCAATGAACTTGAACTCTAAACAATTGACCAACTTTTCCTACAATTTCGCCTTTTAGCCATTCAATTTTGTTGGTTCTTTTGTTTTTGTTCTTCACAATTACATTTTTGCCTTTCCAGAGTTTTTTCTTTACAATTGGTTTTGACATTGGCTTTTGTTTGTTCCATACAATTTTCTTCCTTTCCTTTTCAATTTCTGGAACATTAACAATATTTTTCAATAAATTCAATCTTTTAAGCCAAGGTAATCCAATTAAATTCAATTTGCCTTCCACAACATGGCAATCTAATTCTTCTTCCTTATTATTACAATCAATGTGTGCTGCAAATTTCCCTTCAATTTTAAATTTTGATTGGCCCATAGCAATTCCATTATAGGAAACTTCTTCCAATTTTGGTTCACCAATCTGTGACCACGTTTCCTTTGAAATAATTGAGATTTGCGCAGCCGTATCAATGATCATGTTCAATGAATTTCCATTTATTTTCAATTTTTGAACAATCCAATTTTGTTTTTGCAGCACTTCATTGTCTTCAATATCCAACAATATACAATAAGGACCATCATTGCTCTTATCTAAACCAATTTTTACATTATTCACTCTAGGTGACAATTTACGCTTACCAGCAAAATAACAATAAGAAGTCCAATGTCCTTCTTTTTTACAATAATTACAATATGGCCTTTTTGGTGGATAATAGCGATTCTTGTTCTCAATTTCAATATTTGGTTTTTGTTGTAATTGAGGTTCCTGAATAATATTTATTTCTGGTGGTGAACCCAATTCAATTTTACTGACCTGTTTAGGTTCAGATAACAATTTGACTTCTTTTTTTGTAGACAAGAATCCTCGACAATCTTCCAATAATTCCTTGAAATTACAATCTTCTTTTTTCTTTGATTTATTTTCTATCAGCCGAATACAATTTTGTTTTAAATCAATTGCAGAGTCAGGAAGCCCTACAATAAAAATCAATATTTTCATTTCTTCAATAGTCAAATTCATTTCTGACTTTTCGCATTCGGCATTTACGAGATTCCCAAATTGCAATATATTTTCAAATTCATTACATTTCAATTTCAGCGTATCGAAACGCTTTAGCAATTTGGACCTCGGGTCCCTAAACTCCTCTTTCAATTCATTTAACAATTCCCCATATTTCAGGTCTGATAATTTTCGTGGCAATAATTTCTGGGCAATTTTAGAATATTCAGGGCCACCCAATTTCGCAATAAGCAATCTTGCTTTCATTTCATCACTCAATGTGGCCCCCTCAATTTCAAAGTACGATTTGTACTTATCATACCACGTTTCAAACGTGAATGCCCGTGGAATATCACAATGGAACTCAGAAATCAATTTGTGCAATTTACCGTATAGCGCTGATCCTTCTTGTTGAAGCGATGTAGCACTTTCAATATTTGGCCTATTGCCCAATTTACTCAACAATTCTGCAATCTGTTTCTGCTGCAGTAACAATTGTTGGTTTTGGTGTTCCTGAAGTTCCTTTTGCTGTTGATTGAATTTCATTTGTTGTTGTTCAAGGAGTTTTTGAATGTCTTCCGCTTTCATTCTGAAGAATCAATACAATATTTTTTCAATGAACAATAACAATGCCACTAACCTGATTTGTTTTCTTCAATACAATTTACAATTGAATCCGTTTACGACCGCGCCAAATTTGTTGTGTCTCTGCACAACAAGAATAAGCAATACAATAATGTGTTTATCACACACAAGAAATACAATAATGTTGAAGTAATAGAATAAGGTTGGGTAATGTTTAGGAGACAATTAGGAGACACGGACTGACAATTGTGTGAGGCTTTTATAGTAGCCACCACACCACAACAATAATAAAAATTATGCGAAGAAATGTGTCCCTAATTTCCATCTGTTTGGATTGTGTGCTTTGACGCGAGCTGTAAACAAAAATTTATTTACACTACGAACACAACAACAAACTCTCGTGTCTGTAAAAAGTTTCCCTCTCTCTGTTTGTTGTTCTCTTTCTTTTATATTGCATATTTCTCGTTGCTCAAGAGTAGATAAAACAAGAAATGTCACTAAAAGTCTAGGAAAAAGTGTCAGATATGGGAAAAGATAAGAAGCCTGAAGTCATCACACATTACTAGAGGAACCGGATTTAAGATACTGTTGTGTAGTGGTATTGCTATAGTATAAAAGCCAGTATAGTATAAAAGCCGCTATAGTATAAAAGTCAGTTTAGTGGAATCATACTAGCGCGGCTAGTCCCTGATTCCCTTCGTCTGTTCCAACTCTTCAATCCCTTTGCCTTCACATTGTTTATTTCTACACCGGATAAATTGTTATTCTTGTGCACGTCAACATCAGCTAAATCTCGGACACCTCCAGTTGTAACAGATACTGGTTGGCTACTTGGCGAGGTCGATGAGATGTCTAAGCGCTAACCTCTATTTAGGATACAACTCATTATAAGAAACAATAATTCAACCCCAAGGGTGTTTCTCTAAAAAACTCGAGAAAAAAACAAAAAACACTCTAAAAAACTCGATAAACTCCCCTCTTTCTAATCGTTTTTGGAACGTCAAGACAGATGATCAACACAAACTAGTGAAAGTATACCGTAGTCAAAACTCGAAAATCATTGTCCTTAAAATTTTTAAATTTAATCACAATATTGATTATTTTACTGTTGACATTTTTACACTGACCATTTTTATGTTGGCCATCTATACAAAAAACAAAATTATTTTTTCAGTTGACCTAGAGTCTCATTGAGCTAAAGAGATTGATATTCTTAAAAATGACCTTAACAAAAAAACAACAAAATAATAAACACATCCCAACCGAATTAATTTTTGAAATAATAAAATCTATAGAAGGATATCCAAACTTGATAATATATGAGGAAATAAATGGTCCTTTAAAACACCAAAAATATTTTGTTTTGAAAATTAAATGTACTGAAAATGTGTTAATTTCTTCTAAAATATTCGACTACCTTTTGTGGAAGGCTTTGAAAATAAGATTGGTAGGGGCTTTTTTTGAAAGAAAATCAAAATTTCTTAGATGTATAAAAATACAGCAAAAAATTGCTAAGGTCAAAGAGCCATAGAAAAAATAACTTAGAAAAGATAGAACTCTCAAGGGTGTCCGTTTGAAAGTTTTAAAGCTTAGGCTTTGAGTGAGAGAAGTCGAACCATTTTTCAAAGGGGGAAGGGGAGGTGTGTAGCGGTATTAAACAAAAAATAAATAGGGAATTCGTTAATCACCTACTTACAAAGGAGAGTGCCTCAGGTGTCGGCGGGACTTCGGGATGAAACTTGGTAGATAGATAGATCATACCCTTTTATAGTCATACCCAGCTTAGTTTCCGCTAAATGGTACCGTGGGCCAAGTTATAAGCCCCCAAATTTTAGGATCTCCCCATATAAACACTTTCTTTTCAGTTATAAACGTATTCGTCGGTGGTTCAGTGGTAACGTTCTCGCATTGAATTTTTTCGCCCAGGTTCGAATCCTGATTGGTAAAATTAATCTATTTGTACATAATTTTTGCTTTTGTTTTTAATAATTTTGTTTTTAACATTTTTAAAAAATTTTCTAAATTTTTTTAAACTTTTTTAATTTTTTTTAAAAATATTTATTCCTTGCCTTTTAAAGCCTTCGACTTATTCATTTCTTGGGGTCCTTCAAAATGTGTTTTCAAAAAATTTTAAAAAAGTTTCAAAAAATTTAGAAAATTTTTCAAAAATTTTAAAATCAAAATTTTCAAAAGAGAAGCGAAAATTATGCCAAAAAAATTAATTTCTCCAATAAGGTTGGAGAAAAAAAAATAAAATTAATTTCTTGGTTGGAGAAAAAAAAATAAAATTAATTTCTCCAACCTGGGGAAAGAATTAAATTCAAGAACGCTACCACTGCACCACCGATGAACACAATAGTAATTAAAAAGAAAATGTTTATATATAGAAATGAAAACAGTGGTGGATCCTAAAATTTTGGGGGCTTATAACTCGGCCCACGGTACCATTGAGCGGAAATGGTGAAAATTTCGCAACTAAAGTAGGGTATGATCTATCTATTTACCAAATTTCATCCCGAAGTCCCGCCGACACCTCAGGCACTCTCCTTTGTTAGAATTATAGAATTTTCTTAGATTGACCGAAAAGGTGAAGAAAAGATGGCGAGACTTGATCGAGAATGTGAAGAAAGGAAGGCTTTAATTGATAAGGAAACTGATGCAAAAATAGCTAATATTGTCAAGTATTTCCAAGCTGTCAAGAAGTTTAAAGAGGATAAACGCAATGAATCTCGTCGTATACAAAATACTGGTCGTAAGCGTTTGAGATCGACTGGTTTGGTGCGTATACGCCTTAAATTTAGCCTTTTTTAAAAGAGACCTCGTAAAAATTCTTTCCAATTATTTATGACATTCTTTTTCAAGCTCTGTTAAGTTCTTTAAGTCATTCAAATTGAGGGGAAATTGACTCGGAGCCCATTAAAATCTCTCATTTTTTGATAAAATCAGGGTGGCTCTTTCCAAATCACCTAAAGGGGGTTGGCCTCTCAAAAAAGGGGAAAAGGGCGAAAAAGTCAAAAGAGGGCAAATTTCTCCCTAAATCGGTTTAGATAGTCTATTCGGTAGGGAATACCTTTATTTTAACAAAATTTCGACAAAATTAAAAAAAATTAAGCTTCGAGTGCAATTCTAACTTCAAATCTAAATGGAAAGCGAAGGGATGAGAGAAGTTCTTCAGCATCACCAGCGAGAAAGGGTTGGCGACCTTCTCCCTTTGAATGAATTAAAAATGAAAAAGAACAGGGCTGGACGTTTTTTGTTGTGTTATTTTATGACGGTTTAGCCTACTATTTGTCTAGAATTAAATTGTTGCTATTTTAATTAACAATTTGTTTTTATGAAAAATTTGTATTTTTCTGATATTTAAAATTTGAATAAAAATTTTTTTTGAAGATATGAGTGTTCTTCAGGAAATTTTGGAGAAGTTTTGTTAAATAAGGGGGAAATCCTTTGGAATCCAAGTCTAGCTCGAAAACGAGTGTTTCCAACCTTTGATTCCAACAAATCTTCTGTTTGGACCTTTGGAATTCATTCTATACATTTACAAAGCTAGTCTGTTCTGTGATAAGCCCATAAAGATTTTTATTAACCCAATAAGTTAGCAAATCAAAATTTATTAGAACATCTTTACCAGTTATTAACCTAGTGGGACGAATTGAGGGTTTTTCACTGTGGGACGAATTGGGGTGGGCCGAATTAGGGCCCAGCCACGAAGACCAGACTCTACACACAAATTTATTGAGACAAATGTTAGTTAACGATTTTTCTAGCCAAGCACAATTTAATGTAAGTTGACGAATAATTACATATTTTTACCTAAATTTTGGCACTTTAAGGCCTAAAATATAGGAGAAAGATAAAAATTCTAATAATTTATGTCCGATACTTTTCAACAATTAATCCTATTTATACACAATAAATACGTGACATTCAGATAAAATAAATTTAAAATACCGTAAAAACTGTATTAATGTCCCTCCCTGAAATAGTTGCCCCACCTGTATTAAATACCCCATGTAGAGAGAGATCAAAACAATAATTGCCCTCCCTTAAATAATTACCCCTTATTTTTTACTACACTAATTAAAAATTGTTAAATAATCGTTATAAAAATTATCCTTCTTTTTAATTTATTGCCAAATTTTATTTTTTTTAATTAACAGAGATTTTTTGAAAAATTTCAAAAAATAAATACTCAAAATTCCCCCCTAAAAATAATACATATGTGAAAAAAATAACAACAACAAAACTCTTGTATTTTTCTTAAAAATGACCTTAACAAAAAAACAACAAAATAATAAACACATCCCAACCGAATTAATTTTTGAAATAATAAAATCTATAGAAGGATATCCAAACTTGATAATATATGAAGAAATAAATGGTCCTTTAAAACATCAAAAATATTTTGTTTGGAAAATTAAATGTAGTGAAAATGTGTTAATTTCTTCTAAAATATTCTGCTACATGTGTGGAAAGGCTTTGAAAACAAGATTGGTAGGGGCTTTATTTTTGAAAGAAAAATTATTGGAAAAATTGTGTTATCCAGTAAATTATCTAGATCGGAGTTATCACACGTTTAATCAAATGGAATCAATATCAGAATCATGTGAGACAAGCCCAGAAGGGGTACAGCCCTAGTAGGTGCGATCGAGTAGGTGAAAGGCCGGGTAGCACACGGCCAAGTAGGCGCAAATATTTTACTGTAAAGTATTCACCCTTAAATAAATCAGCATTCATGTTTATGTTAATAATATAGAAAAAGATTTTTGGTAGAATTTTTTGATAGATTTTTGATAAGAAGAAAGGACCTAATTTAGAAGAAAGACCTTAAAGAAAGACACCTTAAGAAAGACAAGAATAAAGCCACCTCGGTAATACCAAGGCTGATCCCCTCTTTTTTCTGTTTACCTGACCATTTTGGGCTTTTTTGCTTAACATCCTTGTTATGTCCGAGGGTATACGAATGTCGACGTGCAATTCGACTTGATTAGACCGAGATATAGGCCTCTAAAAACCGAAAATCCAAAGGGGCGATTTTTTGAATAAAAATTTTTTTATACAAATAATACCTCATTCGAAAGAGCTCGACGAGATGAGTCGAATAGATCCCATAGGTAAGGAGCTGAAATAAAAGATCATAACTTTGTCAAATCAAGTCAGATTTCGGTGATTTTGGTGTCATTCGACTCAGCTCGAGATGCTCTTTCGAATGAGCTATTATTTGCATATTCGAATTTTTCACCCCAAAATTGGGCTTACTCCCCCCTTTGGTTTTTCGATTTTCGGGGACCTATATCTCGGTTCACAGGCATTTCCGTGAATAGAGAGTGGTACCACTCGACTCAGCTCGCCGAGACGAATCGAATGGTATGTGTTTTGTATAGAAATTTTGACTCCGGTATACTATACTACAGCCAAAACAAGTTTAATTGATGACCTTCTTGCGAATAAATGGGGTGTGTAGTTAAAGTAAATAAGTTCCGTTAGTCTTATCTCGATTGTTGATTGTACGTTCGTATAGCCTCATGTTTCCTTAAACTAGTTAGTCCCATAAATTTAAATATTAAACTAACTAGTTAGTACAGGTTAACTATTCATAACGTTAGCAGGCCACAGGAATAATCAAAGCAGCACGGCTTTCACTGATTAACAAACTTAACCTAGTAAAACCTCCAAAACGGTGAAATGCTCTATCAAGATTCCACTACTTATATTTCTTAAAAAGTTACCCTCGCTTAACATGACTACAAGACATAACTAGGACTCAACAAAAGGAAAAAATAAAAGATAATTTTTAAAAATCCCAAAAGGTTGAAAGTGAGGTGTAGTCGCATCACTATAGTATAAAAGCCGGTGTCAGCGGCAGTCTATTAAAATCATACTAGACTAGTCCTTATCTCCTTCGCCTAAATTGTAACTTTCTACTTTGGATAACGTTATTCTTGTGCTCGTCAACTTTGACAGACTTGGACAACTCTCGGACACAGCAAAAAGTAAGAAAGCTTCCAACCCTGTTAACCTAAAACATGCTGAAAAAAAATCTGTATGACTAACATAAAAATGGGGATCTCTTATCATTTTTTGAATTAGTGCTTTAAACACTTCGCCAAAAAACTATTTAATAATTATTTTGGGGTTGTTTTGAATGTAGCAAAGTTTTTACTTGTTTTCATTGATTTTTATCAATGAGTTATTCTTTGTTAAGTAAGTTAATTCAAATATACAACACATCCATTTTTAGGTCTTAGATTTCCATTTCTTGTTTAGAAACAATTTTTTGTTGAAAATTAAACGTGTGAGTAATGTCTCCCAATTTTCGACGTACCTAAGTTTTCAGTTTTTCAAAAAACCTACTTTTCATTTAAAAATTTTAAATTCCTAATTTTTTATGTCTGTGTTCGAATTATTTTTTAAATTAAATTTTTTAGAAGAAAACAATTAGAATGGACAAGAAAATTGACCGGGAGGTTAAAAAAGGAGAAGAGGCGGTTGAAAAAAAGCAAGAAAAAATTTCGAAGCTTGAAGAAAACGAGGAAGAGAAGCTTACAAAATTTGATAAGGGAAAAGAAGAGAAGATTGCCGCTATAAAGGAAAAAAATGAAGAAATGAAATTAAAGTTTATTAATGATAAAGAAGAAAAAATTGTTAAAAAGAAGAATGAAATTGAAAAAATTGAAATGGATAATGAGGAGAAGAAGCGAAAGCTTGACGAAGATAAAGAGGAAAAGAAGCGAAAGCTTGATGAAGATAATGAGGAGAAAAAGCGAAAGCTTGACAAGGATAATGAGGATAAGAAGGGAAAGCTTGACAAAGATAAGGATGATAAAATTCTTAAAATTGGGAAGGAAATTGATAAAATCGAAAAAGATAATGAAGAGAAAATATTAAAAATGGACAAAGTTGATGAGGAAAAAATTGCGAAGATTGAAAAGACTTTTAATGTTAAGAAATCAAAATTGAAAGAAGATGTTGAGGAGAAGAAATCGAAAGAAAAAGAATTGATTGAGGAACAGGAAATGAAGATGCAATCCGCTAAACTTAAACGTACATTGTCATCATCGGCATCTGGAGCAGGCTCATGTATGCGTTGAACCTACGTTTTTTTCTATTTTTAGTCCCTATCGATTTTCGATTTTTAGGGTTTAGGCTCTTTTGCTACTGGTCCTCGGTTCTAGTGTCATTCTTTCGTCTAACATATATTTGAGATTGACCCTTATCGAGCTTTTCCCATTTCTGATTTTAAGTTAGGATTATAAGGTACTAAACAATAGTGAAATGCTGGATGGGGAAAATTGCTATATGGGGAATACCAAGCCCGTAGCTGGGCAAAAACACCAAAATACGGAAAAGAATATTTGGTAATAGTTAAATTTGCGTTTCCACTTTTTTTTCTTTCGGCTGTAGTGTATCAAGATAAAAGTTCGGGACGTGGCATGTCATTCGATTCGTCTCGACGAGCTGAGTCGAACGTTACCGCTATCAATTACAGGAAATGATTCTGGAACGAGTTTATTATACCAGAATCGACCTTACTCCCCCTATGGTTTTTTAATATTTCGGGACCTATAACTCGGTCCAGAATCATTTTCAGAAATTGGGAGTGGTACCGATCGACTCAGCTCGTCGAGACGAATCGAATGACATGCCACGTCCCGAACTTTTACCTCGGTACACTACACCACAGCCGAAAGAAAAAAGGGGAAACACAAACTTAACTATTACCGAATATTCAGTTAGTGAATACTTTCGTTCTAAAATTTATACAAAATTTCAAAAAAAATTTTTAGCTTCGAGTGTTGTTTTTGTTCGAGAATCAAAATCTCAAGAGAAAAGTGGTGTGGAGGAAGAATCTACAGAACCACCAAAAAAGAAGAGCAACATTTGGACACCTTATTAAACGAATGCAGTAAAGAAAAGAGCATTTGAGGCTTATTTTATAATGTTATTTTATTTTTTGTTAAGTTACATATTTGTCAAAAATTGAATTGCCAGTAAATTGTTAATTTTTATGGGCAATTTGTTTTTATGAAAAATTTGTATTTTTCTGATATTTATTAAAAATTTGATCAAAAATCATTCTTTGAAGATATGAGTGTTCTTCAGGAAATTTTGGAGAAGGTTTGTTAAATTAGGGGGAAATCCTTTGGAATCCAAATCTAGCCCAAAAAAGGGGTGTTTTTAACCTTTGATTTCAACGAATCTTTTGTTTGGACCTTTGGGTCGTCTCCCGTGCCCTTGGAAAATTTGCTCGTGTTTTGGAGGGGACCTTTGATTCTGAAGGATTGCCTTAAAGCAAACAAAATTTATTCTAATTTAAAGGGATATGTCGATCCAAAAGTCTTGGAGCAATTGGAGGAAGAACAAAAACAAATTCTTTTTATTAAAATGCGAGAAGAGCAACTTAGAAAATGGCGAATTAGAGAGGCTAATCTAGCCAGCATTGAATTTGAAAATCAGAGGAGGCAAGATCGAAATCAGAGGACCGATTTTGTGGATGATAAACATCATAGAGTCAAGTATACTTTTTAGTAAATTTTTTTAGATAAGTTGGGGAAAGTGGAAAACGTCAGGAAGGGTCGGGGAGGGAAGTAAATCTATTTGTGGGTGTTTTTGTTGGGTCTTCGAGGGTATGATGTTATAATACCAAAAGCTTGTAATACCAAAGCTTGTAATACCAAAAGCTTGAAATACCAAAATTTGTAATACCAATAGCTTGAAATACCAAACCCCCAAAAGATGTTGAAATACCAAACCGTGGAAAATAGCTTGTAATACCAAATAAATACCAAAACATATTATTATTCAATTTGTTAATAAAACTGTGGAATTTTTTATTATTTACCTCGCGGCAGAATAACCTGTTGCTTTTAGCCTGTTGGTTTTTAGTCTTCGCTGGAAAAACTGTTTTTGTGCCAGGCTGATTTTTGGGTTCAAAAATTCGATTATACAGATGATACCTCATTCGAAAGTGCTCGACGAGCTGAGTCGAATGACACCAAAATCAGCTCGATTAGATGATTATGAACAAAGTTATGACCAACTGAATCTTCGCTGGAACTGTTTTTGTGCTGCTACGGAGGGTAGGCCGGGCATGGTCTTCGCTACACGATGGCCGTGCTTCGCTGCGGTCGTGCTCGCTTCGCTCGCGGCGACCGTAGCGAAGCGGCGGCCGTCGTTCCGCTCGACATGCCCGGCTTCCTCCGCAGCGGCAAAAACTTTTTTCCGCGAAAACCTTATGTGAAAGGTTTCCACACTTTGTATTATGAAGGATTTTGGAGGAGGATTATATTATACACAAAGAGGAGTTTTATAAAATTTTTTCAACGGTTTGGTATTTCAACAGCTTTTGGGTATTTGGTATTACAAGCTTTTTTCCACGGTTTGGTATTTCAACATCTTTTGGGGGTTTGGTATTTCAAGCTTTTTTGGTCACTTTGGTATTTCAACAGCTTTTGGGGGTTTGGTATTACAAGCTTTTGGTATTATAAAACGCTCCGGTCTTCGAGGCTTGGGTTTTCGAGTCGGGCCGACGTTCGAGTCATTTTTTTCAGGCCTCATTTTTATCAGACCGGCCCGACCGAGTCTTTTTCGGGCCAAAATTCGAGGCACGAACGATCTTTCGGACCGGGCCGGATAGGGCCTCCAATCCTAGTCTTGGAGGCTTGTGTTTTTTGTTGGGTTCTTTCTTGTTTCCACTGATTTCTTGGTAATACAATAGAGTCACAAAGCTGTAATCAGTATCAGAGCTTCATCAAAATTTCCCTTCTTTTATAGAAAATTTCCCTTACTTCCTAGCCTTGATTGGATTAGAGAAAATTTCTTTCCTCCCCTTAAGCCAATCACGAAACAAAAATTTTCGATCATTTTTGTGCAGCTCTTGTCCAGCATCGTTTTTTACCTCTAGCAGGTTTCCTATATTTTTTGGTTTCTCAAAACTTGAGGGATTTATCGAAAATTCAACATATGGGATAAAATGTCCACTTTTTTTAAATATCATTTTTTCAGATGGTTGAACGGTCGAGATGGAAATGTTTGGGTTTGGGTGATGGGGGAGCACCCAAGTGACTTGAGCATTGAGCAAATTTTGGAGAATGAGGCAAAAGAAAGAGCAAAAAATTTGGCAGAGAAGGAGGTTCTTTTACTTTTTATTTCTTGAGATTTTATTTATTTTAGATAATTCAGGATATTGAGAGGACAGAAGACATTCAAAGCTTAATTGACCTAGAAGAGGCTGCTCTTAAATCTGAATTGGCCAAAATTGATTTAAATCAGAATGGGACTGATTCTGAGCTGGACAATAAGGTTTCTTTTTAGATAAATAGGGAAATTGCTTGAGAACTGGGCTAAACATTGATGTGGTTGTTTCAAAAATAACTGGAGTGGACTTAAACAAGGCTGAGCTGACCCTTAGTAGGCTGGACACTGGGTTGGATTCTGACAATGAGTTGGACCTTTTGCCTTGGTTCTGAGACTAACACTAAATTGATTGCTTCATATAGTATAATCTTAATGTTTCCTTTCAAACACGTGATTGTTTTAAAAATAGCTTAAGGGACCCTGTGTAAGTCTGTAACTGACCCTGGGTAATTTAGACACTGGGTTGGATTCTGACATTGAGTTGGACTTTTTACATTGATTTTGAGACAAAATTGGTTGCTTTCACACACATAACTTTCTATTATCCTTTTCCCTTGCCTTATTGATCCCTTTCCAACACCGTCCATTGCCATTCTATTTTTATCTTCCTAGCTACATTTTGAAAATTATTTGTCCAAAAGTATTTTTTATAATTTTTATTTTAGACTGATTCTCATTCTCCCTATGATGAATTACCCGATGAAAGCAGCATAAATGATGATATTCTTGAAAACAATATTGCAACAACTCGTTCATTTGGCCAAAAAGTCAATAATTTAGTAGACTCTCGACTTCAAAACAATGGATATTTAACCGGCAAAATGATTATGGCGGATAAAACAAGTCTGTCTTCTCCAGATTCAAATGAAATTTATGGTTTTTTTGTTTGATAAGTGAAAATTTTTTCCTAAATTTTTTAAAGATAATCTGGTTTCTCCGTCTCATTCTGCTGCCAATTTTGCCCCACAAAATTCTTATGAGATAAGAAGGCAATCAACCTTTGACAAATTAAATGGCACCAAAAGAATCGATATTAAACGAAATGAGCGTTCTATGCCTCCACCAATACCTGAAAAACCTGCAAGTTTGCGAAGAACAATTAGCAGCCATATGGGAAATGAGACACGTTTTGTGCATCGGGATGATGGGGATGAACAAAATTTGGAATTTAACGTTAGTTTTGTTTAATTAAAAAATTTTTGGGATTTTTTAAAAAATTTTTTGAGTCATTTTTTAATTTTTAAATAACCATTTTTACCTGAATAAATAAAAGGAGGCAAAAGGATCCGAACCTGTTACCTTTCCCCCAGTAAGCTTAGAGGTTATCCACTACACCACCGATTATTTTAAGGGAGAATTTTAAGTAAATGACTCTTCCCTAGTTTAAAATTGATTAAAAAGGTTAAAATTGTGTTTATTTTTAATAATTATTTATAAAAAATTTTTTAGTCATTTTTTAATTTTAACTGGCCATTTTTATACGGAAAAATAAAAGGGGGGCAAATGTGGTCGAACCTGTTACCTCTCCCCCAGTAAGCCTAGAAGGGTATCCACTACACCACTGATTACTTAACGAGAAAATTCAATAATTCCTCACCGCTTTAAAAATAGGATAAAAAGGATAAAAATTAAATTTTAATTCTTAAACGCCTAAAAGAAAAATTTTTTTCAGACAATTCGAAGCTATATTCCACCTGAAGAAATCGAAAAAAGGCAATCTAAAATTTTTGAACAATTAAAAGAACAAAGAGACAGATTAGAACGTGAAGCAGAAATGGAGGCTCGTCGAGAGCAGGCTGAATATGAAGAAAGGAAACGAAAAGCTCGAGAAGCAGAGGAATCTGTTAGACGAATTGCAGCACGAGCGAGGTTTTTTTTATTTTTTTACTTTCTTAGTCTTCGGATAGGGATCGGTCTAGACTAAACAAGCCAGTCCTAACTGATGTTGCTGACTGCGCATTATAGTTGCAAATTTTCGGAATGAAATAGGGAATTTTTTTAAGTTTTGGACACCAGGGTTTAGAAACGCAAAGGTGAGCAGGCAAACACATATTCTTGATCTTAAGTCCCTCTGATCCGACCAAATTTTTGAAGTTGACTTTTTTTTTGGGGGGGGGGGGGGGGAGGGACTTATCAAAACTGAACCGACAGACTAGTTTTCGGTTTGAAACCGAGAACCCTAGTGGTAACCAATTCTATTCTTTTCCAATTCGTTCGAATTTATTTTCTTTTGTAGGGATCAACATAGAAAGAATATGCGAACCTCTGATGCACTTTTACCTCTTTTCAAAGAGAAGCCAACATGTGCAAATTCTATTAGAGATGCTCTCAGAGCTTTGCCTAGACCTCCAAAGCCTAAAAGTCGACGAGCAATTTTAACTTGGTTTTGGAATTCTGAGTTAGAACAATGGAGAGGACAGGCACCTCCAAAGTGGTTTCATGGTATATTTCTATGTTTTTATAAGGGCTCTCTCAGAGAGTTCCTTCTTCTAAAATGGGAGGTCTTCCTTTTCCCAGAAAGTTTTGAAAGCCAAGGAAGCCTAATTTCTTCCCTTTTAGCAGATTTTCAAAATTTCTCTAATTGGGTTTGGATTTTCGATTGTAAAGTTGTTAAAGTTGTCAATGTTTCGGATACCTGTGACATTCTTGATCCTTTTCCCACAAAATTTCTCTTCCTAAAAACCTCAAAAATAATCTTTAAATAATTTCAAAGGAATCATTTCCCGAGAAGAAGCCGAAAAACTTTTAATTGGCAAACAAACAGGAGCTTTTCTTGTCCGCGTCACTGAACGTATTTTTGGATATACTGTCTCCTACAGAGCTGTGGAAGGATTGAAAAATTTTCTTGTTGAAAGAATTGTTGATGGATACCAGTTTATGGGTATTTTTTCCGAAATTTTTGGGAAATTTTGCGAATTTTTTTCTTTGAAAGGTACAAATCAATTGGTTCATTCAACACTTGCTGAGCTTGTTTTTTATTACCAAACACATCCAATAACTCTTAAAGGTAGTGAAGTATTAATTGAACCTGTTGGACAGGACAAAACACCTCCAGATTATGAGGATCTTTTTCAACCTTTTGTTGAAGGACATGAGGACTAACAAACAAATTAAGTATATTAGTTATTTTTAATGATTGATGCTGGATAGTTAAGTAATTTTTTGATTGGAATTGGGCTCAAAATCCTAAAATAAGATTTTTTTGGAGTTTGATAAACACGAAAATTTTTTTAAGGATTCTGAGGGCTTTTTCGTGAACTTTTTCTGTTTTTTAGTCCCATGGGAGACACTCGTTTTGGGAAATGACTTGAAACACTCTCTAGGACTCTGAACCTTTTGAGTATTTTCTACGGACTGAAACTTTCAAACGTATGTTCCATATAAACACTGAAAAACTTTGAATTATAAACGAAACTTTTTGCTATCGCATTTTGTGTACATCTCCTTTAGACTTTAGCTTAATTCTAACTATCCAGCACTAATATTTTATATACAAAATTATGTTTTTATCAAATAATATAAGGGAAAGAAAATCATTCCTTTATTTATTATTTTTTTACTTAATTTTTTGGAAGACAATTTGCATCTATATTTTTAAATTTTTGTCTCTCAAATTTGACAAAAATATCTATAAATATATACTTATATTTTTAATAGACTTTCCTGAAAATTGTGCCCTTTCTTCATTTTCTACAATTTTTTCTTCGTGCCTTTTGTAAAATTTGAAAAATATAATTTTCTTTTTTTTTTCTTTGAAAATGCCTTTTTTATTATTTTAGAGCTCTTCTCTCTCATTTAGCTATACATTTCAAAAATTTTGATTTTATTTTTAAAATTTTTTTCTTGACAATTAACATTGCCTGCCTATCTCTACTTTATTATCCTTATTTTTATTAACAAAAAATAAATGTGCACAAAAAGCATAAAAATTTATTTAAAAAAATTTTGTTGGATATATAATTGAGGTTAAAAATGCCTAAAAATATCTTTATATTATTTGCATATTCTGATTATTATTATTAAAAATATTTTTATCATATCTCCCATTTTGTTCTCCTTTCAAAATTCACTTTTTTCTCTTTTAAAAAATATTTACTGAAGCTCGGACTGAGAGACTATCTCGGACATAAATCTGGAGATTTTTCGAGTTATTTCGACCTAAATTCAGGAATGTGCGCCAAAATTTTCGCGTGGCGCGCCATGACGCACATCCTTGCCTCGATTCTCACATACGACCCTCTCACAGTCCGATCTTTAATATTCCCTATATGTTTTTCTTACCAATGTTTAAAAATTTTTAAAAGTACAATTCACCTCTCTGAATATTATGTAATAAAAAGACCACAATTTTATATTTAAAAATAAAAATTTATTATTAGTCATACTGGAATAAAAAAATATTTTTCCTTTCTACATTTTTAATTGATTAAAAAATTGCTTGGAAAAATAGCTAGAATATTTTATTATTTTCTAAAAAAAAATTTTTTTTAATTTTTAATTTAAAAGAATGGATCCACCACCTAATAATCAAGCAAATACAAACAGAAAAATTGAACAAGTACAAAGACAAGTACAAGATGTTACTTCGGTAATTTTTTGAGAGAAAGAAAAATATAAAATTAATCTTTCAAGGTCATGTCTGAAAATATGACTCGTATTATGGACCGTGGCGGTCGCTTAGACAGCTTGGAACAACAAAGTGATGCACTGCAGGAGTCGGTGAGGGTATTTTAGATTGGGTTTAAGTCGAGTAATTAGAAAAGGGAGGTGTGGTTATAGCTTGGCTTAGTTGGGTGTGCTTTGTAGAGCTGATCGAAAAAGAGGGGTGGGTTCGAATCCTTTGGTGGAAAATTATTTTTGTTTTCAATTTTTTGAAGAGCCCTGCCTGTAAAAATGTTTTAAAAAATTTTCTAATCTTCAAAAATTTTTTGAAAATTTTTAAATTTTTTCTTCAAACCTCTAAAAAATTTTATAAATCAAAGGCTCACACATTTACTCAAACTGGACAACAACTTAGACGTACAATGTGGCTTCGCAATTTGAAATGGACTATTATTTTTGTTGCTATTTTGGTTATTCTGTTTATTATGGGTGTATTTATCATTCTTCACATGCTTAAAGTGATTTAAATTGGTTAACATTTTTCTGATTATTTTTTAAATCTAACAATTTTTCACTTATTTGTGATAAAATCCTATCTAAAAACCTTCCATTTTCTTTTGGCAATTGAAGGGAGGGTAGGGATTTTGGTGTTAAAAAACGGGCTCTTTTGAGGAACCCAAATTTGTTTATTAACTGATAAGAATAGACTATTTCAAGCGGGGCTGGACGCAACTGCGGATTGCGTGCTTTTTTGACTTGCGGACTGCGGGTTTTAAAATAAAAATTGCGTACTGCGAATTGTGGCTGCGGATTTCAAATTTAAAATAAAAATTTGTCCTGCGGGAAAATTTTTTGATTTCAAATCTTTTTCTATTATCAGATCCTTAAATGTCAGATTGTCAATTTAAAAAAATCAATTTTGACTTAAATTTGCTTCTAGATATTAAAAAAAACAATTTGAGGATCATTTGACTATTCTTTAATAATCACTTGATCATTTCCTTCTATTCAATTTATTCGTCATGTATTTTTCCTTTTTAGGATAATTTAAATTTTTGTCTCAATATCCGGTTAACCATTATTCTTTTAGGAAGTTAAATTGAAGGCAATTTAATAGCTAATTTATAGGGAATTTAAGAGGAGCTCAAAAGCGATTATAAAACCCATTTTCTGGTTTGTCTTCTATTCCCAAAACGCCTTATAAACATTTTAGTTCATTTGAGTCTGAAAAATAATGTGGGGGGGGGGGGGGGGGGGGGGGGTGAGTTTCTCCACAAAACTCAGACTCTAATGTCCTTCCTTGGGAAATATTTTCTTCAGCCGAAAATATTGCCTTATACCGTTTTTGGTCTATCAGAGTCTGAAGATCACAAGGGGGATTTGATTTGACCCCACAAAAGTTAGGCTCTAATGTCTCTTTGGAAACTTTTTTTGTTCTTTAGTTTTTCTGGGCGGAGGAAAATTTTCCCCTTTCAATTTTGAAACTGACTACAAGGTTATAAAAAAATTTTTAAAAATATAAAAGTGAAGGAAAAGAACAATTCATGCGGTCATTCATTGTTTATTCATTGATATTTTTGAGTGGCAAAAATATTTTTAATAGCGGAAACAAAATATTAACTGACACACATTACTACAATATTACCCCTATTAAATTATTGATTGATTAGAACAAGAGGGCTCTGAAGAGACCGATTATTGGGCGAGAGAAGTCAGAGAAAAAAATTTTTTCTCTGCCCAAAGAACTGGTCTCTGCAGGCCCTCTTGTTCTAATCAATCAATAATTTGCAAACCCAATCCTTTTGGGCGTTGCGGGGTTTGAATGGAGTAGTTCGTGGAATAAGTAAAGTTCATCAGAAGGCGCTTCTGGGTGCTTTAAAATGTATCAAACGAAACCTGAAGCGGGGGCCGAGTCGAGTCGGGCCGGCGGTCAATCAATCGATAATTTATTTTTAAAAACTTGTGGCTCTCAACCTAAGCCTATTGTGTGTAGCGTGACGGCTACTTCGAAACGGCCACACTGAAACGGCTACTTTTTGGCTCTCAAACTGACCGCACTCAAAAGGTAACAATAATTTTCACTACCATTTTCGAGAGCCAATTCAGTGCATTATTTTTAATTCGCTATGCAACCCGCTCAATTGGGAATGAAAAATGTGTTTTAGTTCGACACAAGCTCTCTAAAGGTATTTCGCTAATATTTTTTGCAATATTGGATTCTTCAGCAGAAGTTATGAATCCTAATTTACGAAGAACTCGAAGGAGTAAGATCCAACATATTAAAATCATTGGGAGAATAATGAAATGAAGTAGTAGTAATAAAGGTATCCCATAAGCTACAGTGGGATCCAAAGCATTATCTTGTAAATTTGTGCTAGCAATTTTTAAAAATTCAAATGTTATATTCTGGGTAGTGGTGGAAATGTTGCGCATTTGTAAAATCAATATATTTTAAATTATCATTATTTATACAATTTTTAACCTAGGTTTGAATCCGTAACTATATGTCGATTGTAATCAATCATAATCATTTGATCGAATTCGCCTAAAATAATCATTTCAACACCTCCCGCAGGGATAGGAGTATTAAATTCTAAACGAACACTAGTAGTTCCACTTTTGAGAAGCTCAAAACCACAAGAGTCATCAAGTGTCGATGTCAAAGGTATTACAAAGAAGGTCCATCCATCTTTAAATTGTGGCATTGAAATATCAATGGAACGATCTGAGTTAGCCATTCCAAGAGCTTCATACATGTCAACAAAAGCTCTAACAAATAAGTCTTGGGCAAACTTTAGCTTGTAGGCGACCATAGGATAAATATGCCCGCCAGTATGAACAGAGATATCCCTAATATCAAAAGGTTTGAAATTGAATGGTGAAAGAGCAATGTCACCATTAAAGGCCTTATTTGAAACTAAGGCGACTGTAATGCGTCGCGGTATAGCTGAGCTGAAGGCATTATACTCAATTTCAGTTCGTCCTGAAGTAAGATACGTAGATTTCATTTCAGTTCTGCGAACAGCATACGTAGCAGGCTTAGATTCAAGGGTCTTATAAATGTTCATATTAAGTGATGGTTGCACTTCAACCATCTTTGAAAATAATTTAACGTCGTGAACATAAAGTCTATATTGATTATTATCGCCTTCTTTGATATTTTGTAATATAAAAGCATCCTTACTTTTGTAAATGCTAAAGTGAATATCTAAATTATTAAGGAGAAATAATTCTTGATTTCCCAAATCAAAATCTAGGCGCGAAAGGAATTGGGAGCGTTTACCGTTTGCAAAAATAGAGCAACGATTTTTGAAACCATCATCTGCAGGATCATCATGCTTTTCGCTTCTATAATATCCAATAGATGCAAGAAAATGCGATTTAACGTTGTCAGGAAATGATAACTCATTAGTAATATATGCTTTGTAAGGATAAAGAGTACCACTATCGTAAACTTCAGTATTACCAACAGTTACCTTCAACTGCTGAACAAATGTTTGACCAATACCTTGAATCGATCCAATATTATTATCTGTTGCTTCAATATCAACCCATTTACCATTGGTTCCCAACTTTTCAATTGATAATTCAAGGTAAAGATATGTTCGAGACAAGTCAGTCCAAAGATTATCACTGAACAATCGAAACAAATACGGCGAATCTTGTGTTATTGTACTAAGAGGAAGAATTTCTCTAAAAAAGGACCGGACAACAGAAATGTTTGTAGGTGGTACAGAAAAAATACTTAATGCACTATTCAGTGCCAACGGGCTGTTTTCATTAATTTGTTTTGGGCAACTCATTTTAGTATGTTCCTAACGTGTCTACTCGTAATCGTTTTTGGGGGCGGGATTTTTTATTAGATTTTTTAGAATTTTTCTTTTTGAAAGTAGGAAGAAAATTTGGAGGACCGATTCGAGAATATGGATGTTTATTTATAGTTTTTGGTTTAAGATCTGGTATTGCGTCATTCATTTGCCCGATGGCAGGAGACTTTTCTATATTTTTGTATCGTTTAAAATCAAAACCTTTTCCACTTTGTTTATCAACATTTTCAGCTGCTTTTTGCAGTAAATTTTTCAAGCCTGATTTACCTTCAGTAACAAGAGATTCTTTAAGATTTTTTCCCTCTAAGACATTGCTTAAAACTCGATTACCGGATTCTAAACCCTGTCTTCCAATAGCGCTACCAATTTCTTTACCAATCGGGATTAAATAACGAAGAAAACTTCTAAACACTGATCCCAATCCATTACCTCGTTGGTAAGGAACGCCTCGAAAAACATTATAGCCGCCCCATTGATTGGGGTTTTCAGTTAATGTTGACCAGTTTATATTTGCAGGATCAAAATCAATATGCATTTTTATATTGTAAGATTTAATATTTAAGTCATCTATTTATATTAAATATCTGAGTATTAATGAACTCAGATACGAATTTATCAGCATTAATCCCTTTTAGTAATGAAATGATTTTATTCATTGAAAACCCTAAGCAGCGCATATAAAGAAATAAGATAACATGATTGCCACAAGTACTAGAAAATGGTCGTTGTAACATAACAGAATTAAATTGGACTTTGTTAAACTTATTTAAATAATTTCTAATATGATGACTTATCGGCGGCCAAATACCTAGAGAGTCATAGTATTCAATACTACTAGCTGAATTGCAAAATAATCCTATCCAGTGTGTTCCAGCTAAATTGCTCGGATCTGTATTAACTACAAAACAGAATGGGAAAGAATTACTCTTATTAGGAATACAGTCTGAAGCAAAACATCCTACATAAAATCTCTTTGTAACAATATTTCTTTTTAATATTTTATCTATTTGATAGGTATTCATTGTCAAAAGTATGAAGCCTTTTTAAAATGTAATGTTAATGTACATGTTCCATATTGGAATGGCATTAATGTACCACTAGAAGTTCTAATTTCAATAAAAATTTCAGAAATTTCTTTTACAAGTAACTTATGGTATTGTACACATAAAAATTGTTCTTCAATTATTTCATCTTGTTTACCTCTAATTGTTACAATTCTAAGCACTGGTGCTGTCACATCGCCTATAACCATTGGTTCAATTAATCCAGGTGCATAAACATGGAAGCAGGACACGCCTCCTCGCATATCAGGCATAAAGTTTGCAACACAAGTTTCAGTTAAAATTAGCCTATCAAATCCTAATATATATGCAAGCTGCTCGGTTAATTCAATTTTTTCTATATATTCACTATCGATGAATAAGGAAAACCTATTTTTATAAATGTGGAATTCAAAATTGCATGCTAATCTAGGTTTCCGAAATACTTTTATCCAAGGGTCAAATCCAACCTCGTTAGTTACCGAAATAATTTGTTTGAAATCATCAGTCATTTTTAAATTTTCAATATTCACCAAATCAGTAAAAATTTCATCTTCACTTTTTAAGCTAGGAGCTTCAGTTTCTTCACTAATAATTACGTGTTCTTCTGTAGTATCGTTGGATACTGGCTCTGTCCTTTTCTGAGAGAGTTCTTTTAAACGTTTGTACTTATCCTTAGCCTGCGTGCGAAGTTCTTTTAATTTATTTGTATATTCAATGTGTACGCTACGAAATTTTTCAACAAGTGTTTCACTTCCTTTGTTTAAGGATCTATCTAAATTATCTTTTAAATGTTGGGGGTTAGTTAAGGTATTGGAAGGAACAGAAAATTGAACTACATCGCCACTTTTCCAATAAACAGTTACAGTTTGTTCATTATTAGTACCTAACGATGGCCAGGAGTGTGGATAAACCATAACGGCTAGGCCGACATGCCACTCAGAATTAAATTGCAACTTATGAGGTAACCTAACTCGGAAGGAATTTGTTCTATTTCCTTCAATATTTGTGTTAGAAGGAATAATAATATAAAATGAAGTCATTTTTTTACATATTAAAAAATTAAATTTTAATTTATGTATAATTATCTCCAAGTTATGGAATTAGCGGGTATCCAGCTGTTATGTTCCGGGCCATAACCCTTCCAACTGACAAAAACATAATCTTCCCCATCGCGTTTCCTTTTTTTCAAAACTTTATTAATGTCATATAAATTCTCATCCTTTTTAGAATTCTCTTTTACTAAAATTAAATCATTAGAATAAAACCACCCCCTAATCTGTTCTCCATTAGAGTCTTTAATTTTGTATGTAGGAGGTTGATAGGGAACTAAGCGGACTTTATCAATAATAAAAATTTCATTTGTGAAATTTGGCAAATAGCCCTTTTGAAATATATGCTTATATTTTTCGATTCGCACTCTATCTCCTACTGAAAACTTTTTCCTTCTCCATCGAGAAGAAGAGGCATGTGTCTCAATTGCTCTATTCTTTAGTAATTGCCTTAATTTTTCAGCATTTTTAAAATTAACATCAGTTGGGCGCATACCTATACTGGAATTAAATGAGTTATTTATTGAGTTAACAATTTTTTGGATAACATCCACCCATTTTAAAGTTTTATTTTCTGTAAAGTACTTATTTAATCTTTCTTTAATGCTCCTGTTCGCTCTTTCTGCCATCCCCGCATGCCACAGAGGTGAAGTAAGCATAGAGAAATGTTCCATATCCACGGATTTGAAGTATTTTTGCACTTGTTTAGCAGTAAATTCAAGTCCTTGATCAGTTAATAATTTCCATGGAATGACTTTAGTACGAGAAAATAATTTTTTAAATGAATCTATCATATTATCACTATGTTTACTCTTTACCGGTTCGACAAATATTTGACGACTGAGTGTATCTATACACACTAATAAATACTTGTATCCTTGATTCTGTTTACATATACGATTAAAAACACTCAAATCTGCTTGCCATTCTGTATGAAGTCCGGGAGCTAACGTTGGCATTCTTTTATATTTTCTAACAACTCTCCTATGAAGAGTATTGACATTTTGACTTGAAAGATAGTCCTTGACATCTTGTCGTGAAATATTTTTATCAACTTTCCTAGATGCGTGTAAAAGCGGTTCGAGAGAGGTAAAACATGTTGAGGAATTAACATTTTTATATAATTTATCAAGTATTTTTATCTTATTATTAGTTAACACTACTGCCATAAGGACGGTTTATAAGAAAATACTTTTTTGAAACAACCACCTTCACCTTCTTGTTTATTAGTAGTTTTCGACGGAAAAAGCAAATTTTGTAAAACTGTATGTTTATTTATTCTACGAATAAATTCGTCGTAACCAGTTGGAATTGGTCTTTTACGCTTATTCTTATTTTTAAGTATATGATTTACAAGATCTTCTATATTACTTGTAATGAAAGAATCTTTGCTACCTATTTTTCTCGCTAACCTTCCATCTGGTAAAACACCTAATTCATTGGCATGTTGTCTTATATATTTCAATGCTTGTTCTTTTGGACCAGGCTCATTATCGGTATCTGCCGATAAAAATTCATCTTCCTCTTCATCACTTTTATCTTTCACCTCACTTTCAGCAGTTTCAACTTTAATATCTTGTACAGGATATTGTCTCCTTATACCAACTTTACCTACTGATCTTTTATGTAGTTTCCTTTTTACTACAACTTTACGGGGTGGTTTTTTAATGGGATCAGCATTTATTGCTAATGGAGGTTTGTGTTCAATATTTTTTGAAACGACATCAGCTAATTCTTCAAAATTTTTCAATTTAACATCAATAGGTTTTTCCTCCTTTTCTTTTAAAAGTTTATTATATCTTTTAAAATCCTGTTCATAACGAATTGCCCTTGTTGTAGGATCTAATATTTCTTTATTGGCACTAGTATTTTGTAAACGTTCCTTTATCAAACATATAGCAGTCCCATCTCCGCTTGAATGTAAATCTTTATTTTCATCAAAACCCCCAATTATATTTTTATAAATGTCTTCGGGGATTAGAAACATTCTATTTGCATTCTTCATAACTATATAAATTCAATAATAAGTTTTTTATTTATATTATTTTAAAATTTTGTCAGTAATTATTGGAATAATAAGGCTGGCGAGAAGTGCAGCAACCGGTGGGATTCCATTTCCCTTTTGCAATAAAATTCTTGTAGATGGGGCACTTCTGGATCTACTTATTTTACGCAACAAATTTGCATGTTTTTGCAGAGTTATAATTCTATTTTTATGAAAGGGTAGACGTCCTTTTAATAAATTAAAACAAATTTCCACAAAACATAACAATTGTTCATCTGAAGCCTTATCTAGTAATTCTTTTAATACTTTATTTGATTTTGAACAATGAAAAATCGAACGCAAAAAATTTAAATTTTGCTGTATTAGATCGCTTGTATAAATTTTTTTCCTCATTTTGGAATATAAACTATAGTTTTACTCTCATCATCACGATATATATGTGTTCTAAGTCTTAACAATTCAGGTGTGCTAGGATGTATATCTACTAAAAGATATCCAAAATTGTCTTTTGTAGCATCCGAATACGCCTCTAAGAAATATTTTGAACGTGAAGGAAACAAATGGGAAGCAAGTGTTCTTATCTGCAAGGCTCCCGCAGGATTTCGCATTAACAGCAAATAGTGTGAATTATTACGAGCTATTTTCAATTCTTTGCTAAATAAATGCTGTGTTATTAATATAACACTCATTTTCCAGTTATGAGAGCCTTTCGTAAATATTGTATCTAATAGATTTTGATTCATCCCAACCATTAAGTCATCAAGTACAAGCAACATTTTTCCATTTGATTGAATGGCCCTTGTACGTATAAATTCCTCACCCTCTACTGGCAGACCATTATGAACTATAACAGTTGTCTTACCCTTATCAACAAACCCCATTCTTTGCATTCTTATAATATTTTTATTTAACTCTCCATAACAATATAGAACTAAATCAATTTGATGTTTTCCTTCATTTTCATCTGGAATCATTTCTGACAAGTTTTCCAGAAACTTTTTAACCCATTCTGATTTACCAGATCCTGTACTTCCCGATACAATCATTGTAAAAGGGTGTTTGAATCTTGAATGTATTAAATCAAATTTTTCAAATCCTGACATTTTAAAATTGAATTTAATTTTTATAAATAAGTATATATAGATTTTAGAATTTCAAAATTAACAAAATGAATGTAATGGAATTTCTTCTCACTCTTATGGTTTGGGGAGTTCTCGAAGACGACCCTGAACCAGAACAACAACAACAACAAAATACATCAAGCGAATCCCAAACGGACCAGCCAGCATTAGTAGTGGTTGAAGACTCTGGAGATGAAGTTGAAGAGAAAGTAAAGGTAAGATAAATTAAATACTTGGATTTTTAAAATTTAAATTTTAGAAAGGTGTTGATGTTATTACCCCGGCTTTTGGATTACTTACAATTATGGATGACATAGCAGAAGATAAAATGGATGAGGAACAAATTGAAGATGAAATTAATATAGATACAAGCGAAAAAATCCTACGAATTACTCAAGACGATAAACCTTTGGATTGGACTGTTGAACCAGAAAATCCTTTTCGTGAGCCTACGCCACCAACGGCAACAAAACAAAATGAAGATTTTCAACCTAAAAGGCCAACTATATCTACATCATTACGTTCGAAGACAAATTTGCCTGTTCCATTAATTGAGTATCTTTGCCAACTTCGAAATTGTTCGTTCAAGGAACTACATGTATTATTCCATAATCTTGATGCTCGACGTGAAATTATTGAACATTTACGACAAAGTGTGCAGTTACGGACATCTCATCTAAAACCAACTTGTCGCAATTTTATTGTACATTGTCATGATCTTACAGTGCAATCAGCAAGTATTGTTCCAGCAATGAGTGGTTATTTGGGCATAACTGTAAGCTTATATTCATAAAACTAATATCATTTCTTTATTTTAGGTCCGCGGATATTATTATGTAAAGCATAATTTCAAACTTTGTCATCCGTATCTACCTTGTATTATCGAGTTTGGTGGAGGACATCATCGATCATTTTACCCTCTTGAAGTCCTTTGTGTAAGCCGAAACAAGATGAAAGGAGGATGTTATTAGATAAATAAAAAATTTTTTAAATTGAGAACTAAATATAAATTGTTTTTTTTTTAATTTTTTTAATTCAAATTAAATTGTCTTTATTTTTAGCAAGTAAATATTATGCAAATCTATAATTGTACAGTTGTATTTAAACTCTTTAAGAACAACGTTAAATTTTCTTCAGAAAATTATTTAAAGCTTGCAAGATTTGGAATTAACACTGAATATAATCCAAAAAGATTCCATTCGATAATTATGCGACTAAGACACAAAGGCAATAAAACAACGGCGGCACTAATATTTCAATCAGGAAAAGTCGTCTTAACAGGCGTGCCTACTCCAGAATTAGCAAATGAAACGGCATGGAGAGTTGTGAAAAGTATTAGAGCTTCCAATAATGCGGCAGGAAATTTTCAGAAAATTGGAATTTATAATCTTTTTGTCACGAATATTGTTGGGGCCTACAGACACGAACATAAACTAGCAATTGAAAAATTATTTAAACAACTTCGACATCAAAATATGAAAGCCAATTACGACCCAACAATTTTTCCTGCGCTACGTTTCAAAATAGGTATGGAAGAACGAGATGGAGAAGTATCGTGCCTATGTTACATCTCAGGACGTGTGATACTAACAGGAATAAAGTCTATTCATGAAATGAAACATGTTTTTAACAATGATATTTTACCTAAAATTAAACAATTTCCACGAACATAATTTTTTTATTTAAAAAAATATATACAGAATAAATTTTAATAAAAATATTAAGAATTGTATCTATTTCTATAATCAGCTTCTGTCCACGATGAAGATCCAGGTAAATCTTGCAAATTTAATTCATTCATATTTAAGCGAGGTCTTTTTTGTTGTGGTGGGATTGGTGATCTAGTTAGTCGTTGCTGATGTATTTGCCCGTGAGATGTCTGTAAATAAAAAATCAATCAAAAAGTTTAAACAATTTAAATTACCGAATTATTCCTCCTGTGCCCAAAAGGAAGAGTTTCCATTCCAGGCATAATTCGGCCTTTCTCATAACAAGGCCTGTATTCCTTCCTGGCCAGATGAGTGTAAAGCTGAGACCGACGAGTTCTTCCAATTTGAGGGAATTGTACACCAATTGAATTACCAACGTAAAAGACATCATCGGCAATCGTGTCATCACTGAATATATATTTTTATTATTTTTTATAAATTGGTTGATAAACTCACACTGCCCAATCAACATTGAATTGGTTCAACACAAGTTGTTTCATAGTGTTGAAATTAAGGAGTTGATGAGTAGCATAAGAGAGCGGGAATGAGCGGATCTTAAGCTCTGCTCTCTCATCCAAGCCTGTACTTGTGTCGACATGTCGGTAGCCATAATTTTTCGGACCCCCAGCAATAAATTCCAGAATTCGGCGTGTTGGAACTTCACGCTTCATTTGACCAAGATATTCGCCTTCGAGTACACGCTGGCCATTACGCTTGCCGACATAGATGATGGAGTCAGTATCGCAGTACAGGAGAACGCCGCCAATTTGATGTACTTGTTCAATATACTCATATAGATGGAGACGAGCATATGAAGTGACGAATGCTGCTACTGGGAGGCAGTTGGTATTTGGTGCTTTTGAAAATTCCGGCTTCTTCCTTACAACACAACGGTCCAAATGCTCACTGACGTGATCAAAGTCGAGCATTTCAATTGTTGGATCTTCTAACAATTGATGGAACTCTGCTGGTGTTTTGGCATATCGCACCTCAGTTCCACAAACACGTTGCGCCAATTTTCCCCAGAGCGAGTTTGCTAATAATTTCTAAAAATTTAATTTATTTTTATTTTTTTTTTTCTAAGTTAAATCACCGCAATCATTCGCAAACCAGGATTTGTTTCAATCTTCTCCGGGTCGAGGAAGATCCCTTCAACTCGCTCGAATTCAGCTAGGTAGTCAGCTCGGTCCAACTCCGAGGCACAACCATCTGGCCAACCACTAGCTTGTTGTTTTAAGCCTATGAATGTGTTGACATAGGATCGAAATAAATTCGGATCCCATTTTTCATAATTCCAAACCTAAATATCAAATTAAGTTATAGTTATGATTATTATATTGTTACCTCATAAATGTCCACGACTTTATACCCACGTTCCAAAGCATAATTGAGCTCCACATGGGTATAACCAGTCAGCCAGGAACGTTCACGTTCTCCATGAGTGCAGGGTCGTTGTTGTCTATTATCAGCACATTTTGCACAAAGGGGGAACGTGAGTCGACCATCATGAGTTCTGTATGGAAGTACTGGTGGGAGATTTCCATTCATAAAGTTCGGAGGTTGAACACGAACAAGAAGCAACCCCTTATAGATGTTATGCTCTGGAGATGTCCATGGCAAAGGGTTGTTTGGAGGAAGAAGCAATGTATCACGTGTCAAGACATTTGGATGTCCAATAGGAAAAGATCTTGCCTTCATAACATAAGGGTAGAGACTTACCTTAAAAATTTTTTTATAGTTTCTTTAAAGTTTAGATTCAAGTATACAATATCGATGTAGAGGATCTCTTCATCTTCAGCACACATGTGATGAAGTTTGAAGGGTTCTGTCCTTCCTCCTCTAAGGCAGTCCTCTCTGGGATCCATAGGCCGAACACAGTCAATTTCGAACCATTTCCTTCGTAACTGTGTGTTGTTACTCAGCTTTTCTTTAATCTCATGCCCCCAGACAACATGAAGTTGGTATCCATGTTGATGCTCCAATTCCCATAGGCGTTGCTGAGTTCTTTCAAAAAGCTCTTCAGCTGTACGACCAGCTGCTAAGCGTTGGTCGCGTACAGGGAAGCATTTGGGACAACCTTAAAATTTTATAAAATTAAAAAGTTTAATAAAAACTTTATACCGTGATAGTAACATCCCATATATTCAATAGCCAAAGGGCGAAGGGGAGGCGATCTTTGCCATAAGCCATCAAGTCTATACCCGCAGTCTTCAACATGAGCTTCTCCAAGTGCCCATTGTGCGTGCTGAATTTGACCTGCAGATTCCGGGTGTTGTAGTTCAAAAAAGCGGATGTATCGCTGCGATTCGGCTGAAGCTCGTCGTCCTCTCAAATAACCTCCTTCGGGCGAGTGAACAATCCAATTCTTAGGCAAAAAGCAGCGGCGTAATGTTGTTAAGGCCAGACCTGCTGTTGTTGAGACTGACAAAAACGGGTCAAGATTCTTCGTGTGTTGTCCTATAAGATGGCGGAATCGGAGTACACTTTCACGAAGAATCGCTACATCATTTGTACAATAAAGAATTAACTGTTCACGAAGCTGAAAGTTGGTTGTGGTATCAGCTATTGTTTGATTGTACCAATCGAGGAGTTTATCACGCTTGTCAGCCTTTTTATATTCAGCCTGGTAATATTCAAGAGGAGGGAGCCCAATTATTCTTTCATGTAAATGTTGACGTTGTATAAAGAGATAAGGAAAAAATGGCTTTGTTGTTGCCACATCCTCTGGTAGAGCAAAAATCTTTAAATGAAAAAAAAATAAAACATTTACGAATAAATAAAAAAAAAAACCTTGGTAAGAGCATCAAGTTCACAAAAGAAATAATTTAGCGAATCCTTGAATTGAACTTTTCTCTGATGATTTCCGCCAAGAGTCATTGAGTAGATCTTTAACCCCGTTGTACATAACCTCGTTGGCGGTTGATTACGCCGATGAAGAGCCTCTAACAACAGATGAAAGTCATACTTTCCCCCATTGTGAGCAATGCAGATTGTCAGCATATTCTGTGAACCATGATTAAGTAGATAGTCGAGAAATTGGTCAACAGGGTTCTCTTCTGCGTTGTCAAACGAATGAAAAAACATTCGCCTAGGATTAAAAATTATGTTGTCAGGACGGGCGGTGGTGTCGCCTGGAGCATTTCTGAATGGTGGGGAACACCAATTTAACCAACGTTGGCCTCTTGGTTTTCCACAGAAGCATCCTGGAGCACGTTGTCCAATATTTTCAATACTAATTCCTGCCAGGATACATTTTTCGCAAATAACCTAAATGTAAATTTACTAAATATAATACATTGACTAAAAAAATTTACCTCGGCAATAATTAAAAGTGGAACATGTCTATATCCATTAATATTATTACTAATCTGGACTGGCTCATCCTGGCTGGTCTCAGCATCGAAAAAACATAGACGTAATGGTTGTTTTCGTTGTCTCTTTGCTTGTTGTTGTTGTTGTTGATTTTCATTTAATACAGGTTCAATAATTTCTTCTTCCTCTGCTTCAACAGACAATGGTTGAATATAGCATGGCTGGTCCTCAGAATGAGGACCATTACATTTTGTACAATTTTCCTGAGGTTGTCGTTGTTGATGACATTCGTGTGTTTGCTGAGCATAGATTATGAGATGGCAATTGGAGCAAATACGACGCATTTGGCAAATGGATGCAAAATTACGTGTATCGCGTCGAATCATTTCTAGTGGAGCAGAATTGACTAAATGGTAGTCATAACATGATCGGCGTGGAAAAATGAATCCGCAGTTTTGACACGGGATTCTTTCATCTTCCTATAAAATAACAATGAAAATTTTAAATTAATTTAGATATTACTTGGCATGGGAATTCGGGACCTGACCTCATGCAAAATCTACAAACTACATTGCATCCAGCCCAATGACTCCAACGTGTCACCGAACGTTCACAGTCAATACAATAACGTTTGACTCCCAAAAGTTGTTCAGGGCGACCAATGTAGTTGTAATGGCGATTCTCCAAGAGCAGACATAAATTGTAACGAGCTGCTCTTCCCTCTCCTTTAAACACAATCCGGTATTGTTGCTCTTTATGGAAAACTACAATACGGGTGTGCCCTTCTCCATAATATTGATTCAACCATCGTTGGAGAATCGCTACATGTTCAAGCGAATATTCCTATATAAAGTAACACTGAAAAAAATGTAATTAAATAATACCTGTAATCCATAAGGAAGTCCAGATATATTCATTAAGTAATTTACAAAAATCATATGTTGTTCTTGTTGTTGACAAAAAGCTCTAAAATGAGCTGGTCCATTATTAGCATCGCCTTGATCAACAAGTCGAATTTTTGTAAGTCCAATCACTACTGCACGTGCAAGACAGTAGCGGTCGTTTGGATTGTGGACTCGCACAATTGATCGACAGCGGGAGGTAACAACATGTTCTTGTTCCAAATCACAACTACCTGTAGGAACATGACTGCCTTACATTTATACAAGAAATGTAAGACTAGTATGAACCTACCAGATTGAGTTGCTGGATTGTTTGTACGTTGTCCAGTCAAAGGCCAAACAGCGATGAATTTTGTTGTTGTTGTCCCACTTAACAAATCTATGCCAGCGGCAGAGATTTCGTTCAGTCGTTCAATTGCTGCGGCCAATGCGGCAGGATTATTTTGGGCAGGTGGGCGAAGAGGTACCGTAAACGGGTGATGGAAATTCGGTGGCTGCACCTGAAGACCAACACGAAGTGGTGCTGGTCTTCCGGTGAGCACCCGATCCAAAAGTTGTTCAATTAGGCTTGTGAGAGCCAAATCTGGTCGCGGGTGATCGGCTAAGTTGTTAAATCTAATATGGGCAATCTCCCCGCGCGTGTTGCGTGATCGTGAGGCAATTGGCTCAATTCTTTCAATAACAAAGTAGTTTCTCATGTTTTCAATCTAAATTTAAATAAATATAGTTTACTATAATGAACAAATTTAATTTTAGTAAGCCGCGTACAGCTATTAGCAGGGAAATTATAAACGAGATCTTAGGTAGGAACCAAAAATTAATATCATTCACTAAAACAGTCAATAATATTCTATACATGTTAGTATAGATATTACACCATATATACACTAAAACAAGATTGGAATTTAAAAGATGCAGACGAAAACAACAACCATACAGAATAAACCTACAAACCTAATAAACTCAACTTAAAAAAAATTAATGAAGGAATAATAAAAAAAATTTATTCATAATAAATTGAAAATTATATAATTATTGAAAATATTATAAAACATATCTCTAATTCAAAAAAAAATACCTAAAAAAATAATTAGAGATATGTTGATGTTAAATATATTCAAAAAAATTTACAAAGGCAAAATAGAATATAAGCTTAATAAAGGCATAATTAATAAAGAAAATAAATTTGTTTGGCACGGAAATTATTTTTTCAAGTACTATTTATTTTGAGTCTCGGTGTAATTTCTGATTTCTTCAGAATAATAAAAATTATTTCAGAAATTAGAAGCAAAAATGCTTCAGAATAATAAAGATTAGTTTACAAAATTATAAAGAAGCAGAAGCAATCAAGCATATAAGTGAAACAAACAAAAATTAAGCTCAGTGCCAGACTCAAAATATATAGCACTTGACAAACAAAATACTTTCATTGTCAAACAAATATATTGCCATTAATAAATAATTTTAATAAAGATTATTTTAAAAAATAATTTAAAAAAGGCAGGAAAAAAATTGCTTAATAAAATAGATTTTAAAATTAAAATGATAGATTTAGATTTATGTACACATAATATCAATACCAAATTTTAAGTGGTAATTAAAAATTAAATTTTAAATTAAAAAATGACCTAATTCTATTTTTTGATTAATGTTATATTCAACTCAATTTATATAAAGTTTTAAAAATTTGGTCATTTTTTTTTATAAAAAAATACTCATTAATTTTTTTTACAAATTGTGGTGTTGCTATTATTATTAATTATATAAAAAATACTCATTATATATTTTTTTAATTGTGGTGTGGTTATTATTATTAATTATATAAAAAATACAAAAAAATTTCCCCGCACGTCAAAGAATCCACTCAGAAAAAAAACTTGATTCTTTGACGTGCGGGGAAACTGTTACACGTCGGGATACTTGTCTAGTACGTGTCCAAAATATTAAATTTTCAAAAACAAGTAATCCGACGTGTATAGCCTCCAAATTCCAGAGTAGAGCACAAAAGATTTTTAGTCAATTAAGTTGCAAAATGAGAACTTTCTAATTTTTAATGTTCTACTCCCATTTTATAATTTAATTGACTAGAAATCAGTTATACCCTACTCTGGAATTTGCAGGCCCCGACCCATATCGTATTTACAAGTAGGACAATGTCTATAAAAACGGGATAAATCCCAAAAACACGTTTTGTGCAATTTATGGGAACATGGTAAAAAAATTACGCTTTGTTTCGGCATAAAGTCACGTACACATACTCCGCAAAGAGGATCCTCTTCTTTAGATTTATATGTTTCTGCCAGTTGCACACGAGAGGATAATAGTATATTTCGCACTCTTCCATCGAGTCCTTTTTTTGGTAAATCAATATCATGAATGTGGCGTTCTCCGCGAAAATAAATTGCATCAGGATCTTCTGATGGTACTACATAACTTACAAATCCTGGAGCTGGGGGAGTATGTCCAGGATTACCATATAATCGCTATTATATTTTTTGTTAAAAATAGTAAAAAAAGAATAAAATTTACTTGTGGATTTGATTCGGCATGGAGCGACTGTTGTGACAATTCAGGAGAAGGTGACACTACTTCCTACAAAAAAAAGGCCCCCCTAGCTTTTTTTTTTAAAAAAAAAAAAAGCCAGTGAGTATTTATTTTAGAGAGTAGGTAAAAATATCTAACGTTTTTCACGTATCCCTATCAGAGTAATTAAAAGAGTAAATACTAATAATTAATTTAAATCCCCCTAAATTTTGAAATATCATGTACCGTTTGATTTCTTTTGATTAAATTCGAATTTTTATTCTAATTTATTGATATATCATTTAAAAAAATTTCATTAAAAAAATTATTGCGAAAACAATAATATTATTGTATTTGTAATAATTCGTTATCAGTAAGCTTATTCAATTTTAAACAAAAACAAAATTTAAACAAGATACTAGAATATTTGTTCATATAAATGCAAATTCAATTTTTTAAATTCAATTTCATGCCAATTATTCAAAAATTTATTTAAATTAATAATATTTATACAGTCAGATGTTGGGGTCGTTTTGGCGCCGGGCCGTTTTGGCGCGATAACAAAAAAGTGGCACTTAGGCAAGACCTAAATTTATAAAATTTTTCTCAAATTTCTTTAACATCCTTGACTACTTCATCCAGAAATTTCAGAATTTTTCATCCAATATTTCCGAAGTTATAGTCGATAGACCTCGAAAAATTAGGCATTTTGCAGAAAATCAACATTTTTGGCCACAATTTCTGAAATTCTCGATCAAAAATTCTGAAATATTTGGAGAACTTAGATAAAGGCACGAGAGTTATTATTGCGAAATTTTATCATTTTTGATAAACAACTCGGTATCTTATAAGCTCGCGCCAAAACGGCCCCGCGCCAAAACGGCCCAGTCCCACAGTCAGATTTATTTATCAAAAACCAAAAAAAAGAATATTTGAATCATGCATTTTAAATTCAATTTCATAAAATAAAAATATTTTATTCTGGATAAGAATGCAATCCAATATTTTTTATTATGATTATTTAATTCAAAATTCAGTTTTATTTTATCGAAATACTGATAGAACTAATAAAAAAATTTTTAAGCTTTTTTTTTTTAAATTTCTTTTCCATCTTTAATGATAACATTTCAAATTATTTTTTTTTCAAAATTTTTAAAAAATTTTTCTAATCAATGTTCAAAATTTTTTTAGATTTTTTTTCCTTCTTCAAATTTCTATTTTATTTTAAATAATACACGTTCAGCATTAAAATTTTATTTTTTAAAAAACTAACAAGAATAATCAAATTCCATTTCATAAAATATAAAATTTTTATTTTAGACAAGAATGAAAATAGATATTTTTATAATGATATATTTAATTCAAAATTAAGTTTTATTTTATCAAAATACTATAAAAATTTTTAAATATTTTAAAGCTTTTTTTTTCAAATTTTGATTCATTTTTAATAATAAACAATATCATTTTTTTAGATTTTTTTTTCAAATCCTTTTTTTTCAATTTCATTTTAAATAATGAACAATTAAAAATTTTTTTTCAAATCATTTTTAAAAATTATTTTAAAAAAATTTTTTTCAAAAATTTTTTTCAGTTTTAAAAATTTTTTCAAATCATTAACAAAATTTTTAAAAAATTTTTTTTTAATTTTTTTCCACTCTCTATTTCATTTAGTTAATAACCAAATTCAAAAAAATTTTTTCAAGCAAGTTTCAAATTTTTTAAGATTTTTTCACATCTCTATATCATTTTAATTAATAAACAAATTCAAATTTTTTCAAAAATTAAAAAAAATTTTTTCAAACAATTTTCAAAATTTTTTAACTTTTTTCAAATCTCTATTTCATTTTACTTAATAGACAATTTCAAAAAAAATTTTCTCAAGACAATTTTTTAAATTTTTAAAAATTTTTTTTTTCAAATTTCTATTTCAGTTCAAATAATAAACATGCGTAAAATTTTTATTTTTGCAAACATAAAAGCAAATTAATCGAAAGTTAAAGATTAATGAAAAATTTTTAATAAGTTTCACTCAATTTTATTTTAATTTCTAAATAAATTCAATTTTAACTTGTTCTTTTCTTCTTTTTAGTAAATAAGCAAATCATAAATCTTCAAAATCCTTGAAAATGTAATAAAAGTTTTTATTAAATTTTAAATTAATAACAATTCACTTTTAATGTAGTATTTTTTAAATAAAGTTTTAATCAAACGGTACATGTAAAACATTAAACCTTATGATTTATAAATACTCACATATTCAACATCTCTTTCTACAGCAGAAGTTGCATTGCTGGCATAAGAATAGTTCTGAACATTACCAACATGCGGATTTTGAATTGTTGCAGATGTTGAAGGACCTTCCTCTAAATAATATTTTTTTAAATAAAAATTTAAATACAATTTTTTTGAAATTAAAATTTAAATAAAATTTTCGATTACTTAAATAAAATTCTCGATTACTATAAAATTTCACTCATATTTTTTTCCCAAAAAACTTAAAATTTTAAACTACCTATCATATTTGTATTCTGCTCAGACACCGCACTTTGCCCTTGTTCGACAATTGTTAAAGTTGAGCTTCTTGTAAATTTTAATTTAAATTCTATCGATCCATTCCATGTGTCTCTTTTTCCGATGTCTTCAGGAACAACTATCATGTTGGTCAATCGAATGAACTAAAATAAAAATTATTTATTATGATTATTTTAGAAATTTTTTAAAATATTAAAAAATTTTTTTAAATTACTTTATTTAATTCAGCTCCTTCGAGTACCGCTGCTTGTGCTCCCCATCCAAAAACAGCCACTTTCTCACGCTCATCGGGTTTTCCAACCTGGATTAAAATGTCGGTACGGTCCCACTTATTCTTGCTCGTTAAGCCTCTTTTAACATAACACACAATACCAACCAGTTCTCTTAAAATTAAAATAGAATATTTTTTTCTTATAAAAATTATTACTCAAAAATATGGTCCTTTGACCAATTCAAAAATAATAGATCCGCATTTGTACATTTGGATATTTCATCAAACGGTTTGATCAGATGAATATTCTCTGGTTTGGTCTTTGTAGCTCTTGCCTTTCTTTTCTCAGCTATCTAACATTAAAAAAATTTTTAAATAATATTTTCCTAATTATTATTATTTTTATAAACGGTTGATCCGATTATAATTTTTAAAAATAATGCATCAGAAATTTTTTCTTGTAATGACTTACTTCTTTAAGCAAAGCCTGTTCTTCTGTGACACTTGGTTGGTCTTGTTGTTGTTGTTGTATATTTGGAGTAGTCTGTATATTTCCTGCATTAATTACTTGGGTTGAATTTGGTGTAATTGGTTGTGGCATTGGCAATGTATTTTGAGAAATAAGTTGTTGATTAGCTGGTCTTGGTTCTCTATAAGGTGTGTATGGGATTGGTGACTGTTGCATTAAATTTTGTCTTTTCGGAGCGGAGGATGAAGTTGTAGTTTTTCTCTTTTTATCATTATTAGTTGTAGACATTTTTTTAAGATTTACTAAATTTAAATAAATTATTAAATTACTTTAAAATTTATAATTTAAAAGAAAATTAACTTATATAAAAATTTAAAAGTTTAGAAAAATTTTTATTTGATTTACTAAATTACAAAATTTATAAAAATATTAAAGTAGTTTAAAATTTATAACTAAAAGCACGTTAATTTATATAAAAATTTAAAGTTTAGAATAATTTTTATAATAAGTAAAAAAGGCAATGACTATGTAATTTATGAGCTTAGTTTTAAATGGTAATGTTCAGTTTCTCTTTTGAAAGATCATTAAATTGATAGTAAAGCTAAATATGTCCCAGACAAATTTTATTTATATAAATTCCTAAGCCTTTTATTCTGATGTATTTTTAAGACAAAAGGTTTAGGAATTTATATAACTAAAATTTGTCGGGGACATATTTAGCTTTACTATCAATTTAATGATCTTTCAAAAGAGAAACTGAACATTATTATCTAAAAATTCTTTAAAAAAATTTTTAAAATTACATTCTGAATTTTTTATTAAAATTCATAAATTTAATTTATTTTTAATTTTACCGAAATTAAAGGAGCAGAAGCATTTTCATCAACAATCCCTTCTTTAGTTCCAGATTAAGCAGTAATAAGTTTCCTCCACGCTGAGAAAAAAATAAAATTTAAATAAAATCAGAGTAGACATGGGATTCTCAAAAAAATTCTACATATTTCCTCTTATAGTTTCTTAAAAAACATTTAAAAAAACTGTTGAATTAAATAATTATCCCAGTCAAAAATACAAACTTTAAAAAATTCATTGTTTACCTCACAGATTAAAGTAATAGCCTTTTCATTTTCAAAAAGTATATATTCTGTAAATCTGACTTTTGGAGTTCCATTTAAATATAATTGATGCTGCAACGTTTTTGAAGGAAAATCTTCCTCGGCAATACACTAAAATTAAAAATATTTTATTTGGATTGTAAACTCCAAAAAGCTACCTTAATTCTCCTTCCTCCAAATCTTGCGCATTTTTGATAGTTAAACTAAAGCAAGAAATTTCAGTTATTAAATTTTCTAGTTTTACACACTTTGCTCCTTTTTGAATTGGTTTCTCTTATTCCTTTCCATGATACCAACGAATAATAGGCGGTTGATTGCCGAGAACCTAGAAAAATATATATATTATAATTTTAAACAACTTTGACCCGAACCCAGAAGGCTCTACCACGGTAAACGCCGAAGCCCAACACTCTAACCCCCCGAATGCACGTGAGGTTTACCCTAATATAATATGCATTATAGGGACTTAATTTAACAGAAATACTATTAGGAAAAGAGGTATAAAGGATAATCATATTAGATGTTTTGACTTTTTATTTACCTCACATTTAAACGTTGTTTCAGAACCTCTCTCAATTATTTTAGATTGATTTGTAGACATAAAACGAGGTCCAACTGTAAATTTAAAAAGATTTCCTAAGAGTCAAAAATAAATAAACCTGCAAAGAACATTCTCTTCAAAAGCAGCACTTCCAAATTGCATTAGTTCTCGTAAAAGCAATTAATAAATGAATTGGAAAAGAATTTAAAATTGGTAATACAAGTAAATTATTTGTAAAACTTCCAGTTAACATTTTTAATAATTGAAGATTTTCTTCTTTTTCAGGAAAAATAAATTGTTGGGAATTTTCTTTTTCTATTTTCTTAGAAAATTTAAAAAATAATATTTAATTTTTGGAAAGTGAGAACCCTATAGACAATTTTAATTTAAAATAATTAACACCTGAACAATATAAAATTGACATTTTCCTTTACATTGAAGAGAAACTTCTATTGATATTTTACCCAAAGGATTTTCATTAGTTATTTTTCCTGTATGTAAAGTTATTTTTCCTGTATTTTTCCTGTATGAAGAAAATCCATCTTTAAATTTAACTAAAAAGGAAATATTTTAATTTTAAATTTATTTAAATTTACTATTAATTTCCAAAGCAACACCCTTCATTCTAGTCGTAGCACTTTCCAATCTATTTCCATAAGATATCCAAGAAGGATTAACTGGACATTCATTTGGAAGTTCTTTTAAAAGAAAATTTTTAATTTTCAAAAATCTTTTTTTAAATACCTGCTGAAAGAAAATCACATTCTTTTTTTACATTCAATTTCTGAAGGAAGGGAATCCCAATTTGTTAAAAATATTCCATAATTTGGAATTAATCCAGAAGGACAAGGAACACATTTACCTTCTCCAGAAGAAATAGATCCTTTAGGACAATTTTCACAATAACCAGAATTATTTCTTTCCATTTCAGGCCCACAAGGCAAACATTTTTCTTTTTTATTAGGTAAAGTATTTAAAATTCCATTATCAATACAAATTTGGGGATTTAATTTTCTCCAAAATATTTTTAAATTTTCTTCACTTGAATTAACACGAGTTGATGGACAGACAGGGAAATAATCGAGAGAAGAACAAAATGGACGTTTTTGGCAAAATTCTGATCGAGGTTCTGAATAAATTATTTTAAATGTTTTTATTTACAAAAACACATAGTAGCTCTCTAATAATTACCAATTATCTTCCCCGTAATTTTTCCCCACATATTACAACCTAAAAGCCCAGAGGCAATTTCATCTAAAAACAATTTAAAAAAATACTTTTTTATAATTTAATTACAAGACGTTCTATCCCACAAGTAAATCCTTGTTCTCTAACCATTCCACACAGCTACTAAAATTAAAAAAGATAATTATTTGTAAAATATTAATAAATTAACCTTGAATTATTTAATGATGTTCAAGTCAACATCAAATCCAAAAATTTAGGTTATAGGTATACCCTATAATAAAAAAATTATTTAATATAAAAAATTAAAATTTAAAAGAAGTAAAAAAATTTTTATACTATTTTTATGACAAAAATAGTGAAAAAAATTAATAAAAAGGTTAGAGTTTGATAATGTAGTTGTTAGCAAAGAAAGTGAGAAAAAAGAATATAATGCCGCAAAATCAATAAAGTGGCGGCCATTATTGGGATTAGTTCGTGTAACTCGCTAGGGTGCGAACAATTTAGTGCGAGTCGTTTGAGTGCGAACGTGACCAGTTTAAAGCAGGCAATTCATAGCGAGTATTAGAGGGCGAACCTGTTAGTGTGGCCGTTTGAGAACAAGGTTTTAGTGTAGAAATTTGAGTGTGGTCGGTTTTGTGCCCAGAATCGCTCTCAGAATCACCTTCAGAATCGACATCAGAATCACCTTTAGAATCGACATCAGAATCGCCCTCACTTTACTTATCCCCCGTCCTACTCAATTCAAACCCCGCATCCTCCTATAGGCTTGGGTTTACAAATTATTTATCGATTAGAGCAAAATAAATTATCGATTGATTGACCGCCGGCCCGACTCGACTCGGCCCCCGCTTCAGGTTTCGTTTGATACATTTTAAAGCACCCAGAAGCGCCTTCTGATGAACTTTACTTATTCCACGAACTACTCCATTCAAACCCCGCAACGCCCAAAAGGATTGGGTTTGCAAATTATTGATTGATTAGAACAAGAGGGCCTGCAGAGACCAGTTCTTTGGGCAGAGAAAAAATTTTTTTCTCTGACTTCTCTCGCCCAATAATCGGTCTCTTCAGAGCCCTCTTGTTCTAATCAATCAATAATTTAATAGGGGTAATATTGTAGTCACATTTTTTGATAAAATGCATTAAAACTAAATTTTTGAATGTCATTCAAAAAATTTTTTTGTGTGTTCACTTATTTTAAAAATAAGGGGAAAAGTTGGGAATTTTATTCTGACCGTATTCGCCTCGCGGTGGCTTTTATACCTCCACTTTTAACCCAACCTCCAAATTAACTCTACCTTGTTTCGGATTATCATCTCATCCACATCCTCATTTATTTCATTTTATATCACCACCCGAGATGGTCCCAAATGGCTTCTTTTACAGTAGGTTGAGTGAGAGCTTCTTTTACTTGATGGAATAATTAAGGGTTTATGTAGGGGTGATAAGAGACTTTTGATGGGAAATTGGGGGCAAAAAAGGGCGAAATTGGCAAAATTTATGTGGTGTGATAAGAGAGCTTTTATGTACCCCGCTAATTCAGCTAGGCTAAACTGCACTTTAGTAAAGTGATCTAAAAATCGTTGATTTATATGTCATTCGAAAGAGCTCGGCGAGCTGAGTCGAATGCCACCAAAATTTTTCCGCGGAAAAAATTCTGAGCCGAGTTACAGACCCCTAAATTTCAAAAAACCATAGGGGGGACCAAGCTGTTTTCTGGGGGTGAAAAATTCGAATATGCAAATTATACCTCATTCGAAAGAGCTCGTCGAGCTGAGTCGAATGACACCAAAATCAACGAAATCTGACTTGATTTGACAAAGTTATGATCTTTTATTTTAGCTCCTTACCTATGGCATCTGTGGAGATTTTCGCTGCTAAGGAGGCCCCAAATACGTCCAGAGCAAGGGAGATAGGAATAGGTTTATGTTACGAGCCCAGACCCACCGCCCGTAGACTCCCCGCGAGGCGCGTGCCGCAAAACCCCGCGCGAAGCGCGGGGTTTTGCACAAGCGCCTCGCCGACGCCCCATAGGTTTAGGTTTTAGTTCTTCTATCGTAACTTTGTCTAATCTTGTTCAATTACGGTGATTTTGGTATCATTCGACTCAGTTCGCCGAGCTCTTTCGAATGAGCTATTATTTGTAAAATCGAATTTTTCACCCCAAAAATGAGCTTACTCCCCCCTATGGTTTTTGACCATTTCGAGCCCTATATCTCGGCTCAGAATTTTTTCCGCGGAAAAATTTTGGTGGCATTCGACTCAGCTCGCCGAGCTCTTTCGAATGACATATAAATCATCGATTTTTAGATCACTTTACTAAAGTGCAGTTAGGCCTTCAGCTATAAGGAGGAAGCCTATCTCTTGCAGCCTCATTACATTAGGGTCAAAAAATGTAGTTTGGACATTTTCCAATGATTCACTTCCATGTAACAATTTATTGAGTGAGTAATTCTAATTCCTAAAATATTTGAAATTAAAGAAGATATTTTTCCCTCTCATTTTTAACTCAAAAATAAGTCTCTTTCTCCGTCATTTTATTTTTAATTAAGCGTTCCAAGATTTTTATTTTTTTTTCAAGCTTCTTTTCCTTTGCGCTCTTAGAAAATTATTTTTTTTATTTGTTTATTTGTTTGCCAAATTACGTTAATAAATTTGAGAAAAAAATTTAAAGCAAAAATAGTAGGTTGTCTGGATAAAAAAAACTTTTTATTTGCCGTTAAGTAAAAGCAAAATCAAGATTGTGTCAAGTAGCCTCGAAAACATTTTTGAATTAAATTACCTGTACGAGTTTATACCTACCCAATTGATCAACCTCATTTAGTCAAAATTCATTTTAGACTCTAATGGCCAAAAAAACCATACGAGCTTTTTAAACGCGCAGTAAAATACCCACTCTTACAAAGCTACTCAAACTTTAAAAAGATTTCAGACTCTAATTGTTAAAATTTGTACTCTAATGGGTAAAACTAGATTCTTCTAAATAAATTAAGTGTTTCTTAATAAGGATTGACCCAATAAAAATTTCTAAAAAAATTTCAGATAATTTTAGGTAGTTGAGTTTTACTAAACCTCTTTACGAGCTTTTTGAACACACAAAAAATTTACCGCTTTAAAAAAGCTACTTTTAAAAATGTCTCTATCTTCCCCAATTATCAAAACACAAATCCCAGCTTCATCTGACACTAAAACAACAACAAATAATAATATAAACAGCCAAAAACAACAAAATTTGGTGAAAAATAAAAATTCAAACGGAGGGAATTTTCACTCAATTTCCCTCCGTTCTCCAGCTAATCAACCCGTTGTGCTTAGTTTTGAAGGAAATTATTACAATAACAATGACACTAATGGTGACGTTGCTACAAAATTGAGAGTGGAAGAAAATAGGAAAAATAGTGAGGAGAGAAAATCTAAAGATGTTGTGAGTGATTTTTAGTTTTTGAAATTTTGTTGTGCGCAAAAATAATTTTTTAGCCTAAACGCCAAAAATTGGCGTTCTAACCGCCTTACAAAAATATTTTTGGCGCACACTAAAATTTTTAATTATTAAAGATTTACATCCCTCAAACAAAAATCAACGAAATGCCAAGATCCTGGATTTCAAATTTCTGCCAACGGCCATTAGCTAGTCGGCGTTTTTTGCTTTGTTTGGTTGCTCTACTTTCTCTTCTAGCCATTTTATTAATTATTTCACTTGTTTTTGTTCTTCTTTCTGTTAGATGGCCAAACGGGGAAGAAAACGATGATGTTGATTTTCTTAACAAACATTCAAGTTGGCAATATAGTTGTGATCACAAATGCAATGCAAAGTAGGGAAATATATTATTAATTGAGGATTTTTATTTTTGGACACTAGAGTCTAAGGTTTTCGGACAATTGAGTCTCAATGGTGGGGGCCTATGAGAGTCACCTACCTATGAGGGTCACCTACTCGAGTCCCACATGTCAGGGCTGTGCGCCAAATTTTCGTGTGCTTGCCCAACGCCAAACGCCATTTTTTCAAATTTTTAAATCACGCCAAACGCAAAACGCCAAAAATCGGCCAAAAATGGACGCCAAACGCACAACCCATGACGCACAGCCCTGCCACATGTCTATTTACTTTTGAGTCTCAAGTACATTTGAGTCTCGGATCTGGATTCACCATTCATAGAGTCCCATGTCTCCTTGGTGACACTAGAGTCTCAAATTTAATTAAAAAAAGTATACAAACTAATTTTCAGCTTTTCTGTGCCTCCTCTACTAATAATTAGTATGGACGGGTTTCGAGCAGATTATTTAAAAAGAGGAATAACCCACTCTGTCTCTCGCATTCTCGAATGCGGGTCTTCGGTAATTTAAAAAATTAAAAAATTTTATTTTCTCAAAAAATTAGGCACAATATATGCTTCCTTCATTCCCTTCAAAAACATTCCCGAATCATTTTACTATTGTAACTGGACTATATCCAGAATCACATGGAATTGTTGACAATCATTTTTATGATGAATATATGCCTAATGAGGTGGTTTTTAATTTAATATGTTCTAATAAATCCCTCACTCTAATAATCTCACTAGAAGAGACTTGAGTCTCGGTCAGGGCTGAGCGTTTTGCGTTCCACGCAAAAATTTTGGCGCACATCCATGGTCTCGGCATCCCCATTTTTTAAAAATTTTGGACACTGGAGTACCAATATACCTATATTTTAGTGACCGGGGCCGGACCTGGGCCGGCCTGATTTTTCCGGAGTCCGGGTTCCAAATCCGGGTTTTTTTCGCAATTTTCGGATTAAAACCGTACCAGATTAAACCGTAGAAATCCGGCCGGATCCTGTCCGGCTCTAGATGCAAATCCGGTTCCGGGTCCGGAAAAATCGATTTTACCGGTCACTACGGTAATATGTGTACGACACTATTACCGTCACTATTTTTTATTTTGAGCACACTTGGGGCCACTCATTCCCGTATTTTTAAAATATTGGACACTAGAGTCTCATAATTCCCATCTATTTTTAGAAGAATTTTGCAAAATCATCGCGCAATCCAGCTTGGTATAACGGAGAGCCGGTTATTTAAATAATTAATTTTTTAAAATTATTCGGATATTCTATAGATTTGGAATACTGTAGCAAAAAATGGAAAGAAATCAGCAGTTTTCTTTTGGCCAGGGAGCGAAGTGGCAATTCAAGGAATTTTGCCTACTTACCGCTTCGCCTACGACTCGTCTAAGCCCTTTTTTACACGAGCCAGACAGGTAAGAAAAAAGCCTCGAATGACCACTTTTTTCTTTTGAGACTCTAATGACCCTCTAAATTAAATTAAAAATTTAGGTGATTGACTGGCTACAGCTAGAAGAGTCTGAAAGGCCGTCTTTTTTGGCAATGTGAATTTACCCAGAAAATATTTTTAAATTAAGTTTAAAGGTATTTTGAACAGCCTGATACAGCTATGCATCGGGAAGGCCCCGACTCGGATGCAGTTAATTCTGCTTTAATTTATGTGGATGCAATGATTAATTATTTAATGCATCAGTTGGACGATAACGTCAGTTTGAGAATTTTGGAAAAGTTCAGACTCAAATGTCAAATTTTATTTTGAGACTCAAATGTCCCCAAGAATAATTTTGAGTACATTTGAGTCGTGGATAGTCTGTTTATTATCAGACTCAAATGTCCCTTTCCTGATCGGAGCAGGACTAATAGGCACCATTTTTTCGGCGCAGCGTTTTCGGCGTTTAGGGTAAATAGTCTGTTTACTTTCAGACTCAAATGTCCCTTTCCTGATCGGAACACATTCCTGATAGTTTTCCTCACAAACTAGCAAATTTTTGTTCCTTGACACTAGAGTCTGTGAATAATTTTTGAACTAAAACTTTTAATTTTTTAGGGTCTACTGGGATGCATCAATATAGTAATCCTTTCAGACCATGGTAGATAAAATAAATGTATTTTCAATTAAATTAAAAAAATTTTTTTTATGTGCTCAAAAGCTCCGAAGTGATAATTTTTTCTCTCTGGATAAATATGTTAATGCCAAGGACCCACAAGTTGGGGGTGTTTTTGGAGGAACTATTGGACATATTAATTTTCGCGATTCTACGAGTAGGTTTATCGGGAAAATAAAAATGGACACTAGAGTCTTGGAACTTTGGAAATTAGAGTATAATTGGATATTAGAGTCAAGGGGCTACAGTTTTGGAAATTTAGCCTTATAATATAGTTGTAGACTAGAGTCCTGGAAATATGGACACTAGAATATACCGTATTTTTTCTAATAGTGCGACTCCCTCTAATAGACCCCGTCTAATAAACCGCCCCCTCTGGAAGGTTGAACAATAGACCGACTCCCTCTATTAGACCGACCTTTGTAATAAACCGACCCTCTAGAGAATGGTTGAAAAATAAACCGACCGGTCGCACTATTAGAAGAAATACGGTAGTTGGGCACTAGAGTATGGAAGAAGAGACACTGAAGTCTAGAGAGCTTGGACACTAGAGTCTAGTAGAAGTACTCATCGCATTCTATTCCAGATTCGTCGTTCATTGATCAAGTTCTCGCTCCAATGACGTGCTTAGGTGGCCAGAAGTTTAGAGTTTACACGCGCTATACTATGCCTATGCGATATCAGTAAAATTGAATTTTCAATGAAATAATCGAAAATTTTAATAGCTATACAAGAAGCAGCAGAATAGGAGAAATTGTGATAGATTCAACAGCGGGAGGGCGTGTTTTTGTTGATCAAAAAAGCTTAAAGGAACACGGCCCTATGGAAAAAGGAGACCATGGATACGATAATAGAATGCGTGAAATGAGGGCAATTTTTGGTGCTTGGGGTCCTTCAATTAAAAATGGATATCAAATCGAACCCTTCCAAAACATTGAACTTTACAATTTGTTTACAGGTGGGTGTTGTTAGAGGCTTGAAAAATATTTTTTAATTTGGCACAATTAATTGGTAACAAATATGTGGTCCAATTCAATTGGTAATTATAATTGACAATAATTAGTGAGATAATTAATTTTTTTATGTTCCCTTCGCATTACTAGGTAGTGTGAAGGGAACATCCACTTTGAGACCGCCCTGAAAATAATTTTAGAAATAATTGGGACACTTGAGTATAGGCACTTGAGTATAGACTTGTTTGATTAGAGTACGGGTACATATTAGTTGGATTTACGTAATTGTTATCCTTATGTTCCCTTCACACTACTAGGTAGTGTGAAAGGAACACCCCCACTTTTAAGATGGCCCTGAAAATAATTTTTGAAAAATATTAACAATAATAGGTACATAGAGCATTGGCACCAACTAGCTTTATCGTTAATTCAAACCCCTATTAGAGACTTACAAAAAATAAAACCAAATAATTGGTTTTTAAACAAATAATTGGTTAGTGCTAGTTTGTAGTTTTGATGCAATTGCCCTTCACTGCTCCAAATAACGGAACTATGGGTCGTTTACATTCTCTACTCAAATCGCCCCCTCCTGTCGAAAAAACGGCAATGATAGATTTGGAAGAATGCGAAGGTGCTAGACTTGTAAAGTGTGGAGATGGATGCAAATTTAATGTAAGGAAAAAATTTTCAAAAATTTTTAAAAATTACAAAAATTTTCAAAAATTTTTAAAATTTTCAAAAAATTTCAAAAATTTCAAAAAATTTAAAAAAATTTCAAAATTTTCAAAAATTTCAAAAAATTTAAAAAAATTTCAAAATTTTCGAAAAATTTCAAAAATTTCAAAAAATTTCAAAAAATTTCAAAAATTTTCAAAAAATTTCAAAAAATTTCAAAAAATTTCAAAAAATTTCAAAATTTTTTTTCCATAGTTAAACTACCCTTCCAATTTTTATTACTCCACTACCGCCTCCTCCTCAAAATCAGAAGAAAATAAAAATAACAACAATAACGTGCCTATTTACAACAGCAAAAATTGCAAATATCCCTCAAAAATATCAATCCCCTCCAAATTCTTTTCTGTTGGCCAAATGTGTCTGTTGAGATTATGCAACGCTACTCTAGTGTACAATAGATATACTCAAATGGCAAATTTTGTGGAGACTCAAATGACTGCCCCAATTCCTAATATAGACCACAGGGCAAATTGTACTGTATTTTTTGATTTTTCAAAGGAAAATTTGAGGGGAAGATTGAATGAGAAAATGAAGGGAGAGGAAGAGACTCAAGTGGACAATTCGTCCCATTTTGTTAATGAAGTGAATAATGGAGGAAGATCGTTTGACGTTAAAAGGTGTTTATTTGATTCTAAATAGAACAAGTAGTCCGTCCAAGGCTCTAATGTCGCCTATTCAAATGCCACATTTTTATCTAGACTCTAAAGACGCTTATTGTGGGACACGCCCATGTAGGCGCGGCCATAACGGCGCAAAGCCATAACTTGCTGTAAAATTTCTGGCCTTTATCAATTTTGTTACCAATCTCTTTAGCTCGATGAGAGGAATCGTTTAATACTAATTTTGGTAAGATTTAGAAATCTTGAAGCACCCCTTATTGTTAAGTTGTTCCTCATGTTTTTTGGAGGTTAACCCAATATATCAACATCCTAGTGATCAACTTGGGACATTAGAGTCTTGTGGTTAGTTTACAGTACTTTCATTTCTTTCCCCAGTTCCTCCGTTTTTCTTCTTTAAATATTTGATTAAGATCAACAACTACATCAATGGAAAAAGAATCAACACCACCAGAAAACCTTAAAGAACAAGAAAAGGATTTGGACGATATTGAGACTGACGCAAGAGATAGTGATCCAACGGTCTTAGAAACTGACTCACCTGAACCTTGGAATAGACAAGCAGAGTCGGAAATGGGTGGAAATAATGGAGAAAATAAATTTTTGGATGAAAATTTAAATGGGTGGGTAGGAAAAGGAGAGGAGTACAGTTGGGTCAAAGTCTTTGTAACTAGTGAACGCGTGAACCGTTTGAAGCGATTTTGGTGTCATTCGATAGAGAATTAAATAAGCTATCTAAAAAGCGAAGAAACCAAAATTTAAATTAAAAATACATAGTTTTATTAAAGAAAAACTGGGAGAAGGTAGACGATTTTATCAAAATCTAGTTAGTTTAAGAGCGATAACTTTTTTTATATTTGACGTAGAATTTTGATTTAAATTTTATTTTGTAGCAAATTTAATGCTCTATCGAATGACATAAGTTTCATTAGAATTGGTTAATTGGTTCCAGAGTTATGAGGCTTGAACTTAACCAAGGTCCACACACTCTCATTTACTAGACTCTAAAATCCCTCTTTAATTTTTCACAATTTATTTAAGAATCTCCTCTCAACAACCCACTTTCCCAACCCAACCAACCACTAATCAACAAAACTCCGACCTTAACAAATGTGCCATATATGAAAAACAAGCTTCTATAAACAATAATTTTGACTCTAATGACACCCCCTTATCAACTACAATTATTAGTATATTTTCTGATGATGGTAATCTTTCTAATTAGAAAATTTGATAAAATTATTGTTAAAATAAAGATTATGCTCGTTATATACTTCAAGGCCAATTTCGAGTGCCCATAGGTTTTTACAATGGCAAGTTAAAAATTATTCTGAAATTTTTTTAGAAACCTTTTTAAAAATTTATTAGAATGAGAGAAAATTAAAAAATAAATATTTAATAAGCGAGCAAAAAATAGAAAAATTATCAGCCAAAAATAGAACTATAGAAATTAAAATTAGGCCGACTCTCGATATAACGTTACATACCGTAAATCTTCTAATAGAACCACACTCTTTGAAAGAAGCAATCTTTCTAATTTAAGCACACTCTACGAGAGGATCGAAAAATAAAAGCATATGAGGTTCTATTAGAAGATTTATGGTATGGGCATTACTTCGGTCTGCTAGATGGGTTACGTACTGAATACGGTTCTTGAGCTTCTTGAATCTTTCCGGATGTATTAATAACAAGAGTTGAGCATTGTATATAGCAGAGACCGAACAAAGTCAAGGATAATTATGTTGGAGTTCAGGAAAGACCCATGTCTTGGCCCAGACCTTGCTCGATCTCTGGTAGTATACATGTGATTTGACAGAAGAACCTCTGTTTTACGTACACCCTTAAGGCAGAAAAATTAAAAGCAAAATTGAGAGTTGTACGTAAAATTGAAGGTATCATCTGACTCTTTAAAAATATGACTAAAATTTAGGTGTCTGGAAGCAAATTCAAAGTTTAACAAAACAATATGTACAACATTACCGCCATTTATTAATGTGGTCGGGCCCTATATTTGACCACAATAACGATGGAATTGCTGACGAAATAATTATTGGGGGATTAAAAAATGCTAATAAATTTACCCCAATTCCTTCACATATTTTTTTAATTTTGTTGCGGTGTTCCAATTCGAGTTGGAACGGGGAAGGAAGGCAATGTGAGGATTTGGAACAGACAAGAACGTTGGCTTTTGTGTTGCCTATAGTTGAGAAGGATTTGAATTGTTTGGTAGGTTTTTAGAGGGGGGAATGGTGGTTGGGAGAGGCCGCAGAAGAAAGAAAATTGTCGGTAAGACCCCTGAATCAGGGATATGCGCCAAAAATTTTTCATGGCGCGCCAAACGCAAACGCCAAAAATAGGCTAAAAATGGACGCCAAAACGCTATGGCGCACATCCCTGCTCTGAATCCATCCCAGAAATTAGGAAAAACTGAAAGAGGCTTTGCCTATGAAATTTTCCGATGCGAGGTTGGTAACCGCTAAACCATCAACCACTGAATGCTCGTTCTCATTTTTGCTTTTTAACCTGCTAGGTTGGGAGGGGCTGAATAAATAAAAGGGTGACAAAAACCCCCTTAAAAATAATTTTATTTTCATAGTTCTCTGTCGAATACATTTTCCGGCATACTACACGGATCAGAGACATTGAATTGTTAACAGGGTATGAACAATTTTGCTGAAATTTTTTAAAAAATAAGCAAAATTTTGAAAATGACAATTCATCCCAATATTTAAAAAATGATAAAATATCCCATTTTTTGCGAAAAATTCTTTTTTCAAATTTTTTTAATGATTAAAAAAGTTTTTGAATAAATTTTTGAGAATTTTTTTTCTAAAAGATTTTTTCAAAAATTCTTCAAAAAAATTTTTTTCAACGTCATTTACCAACTTTTACATATATTTACCCTTTTCATCATTTTTCTAAACAGAAATGAATGGTTTGTAGACTACCCCCAAGATTTGGCCATCCAGCTGCGAACTAATTTGAATGAAGAGTTATGGCAATTGGAATTGGAAAAATAAAAAAAAGTAAAAAAAAACTTTTGCATTTTTATTATTTTATTTGTGTGGATTGCCGTCACAGAGAATGAATTGTTAAATTTAAATATTTTTTTAACATCATAAAAATTGAAAAAAAAATTTTTTCTCCACTCTCCTGCTAGCGTAGTTGTGACGACAAGTTTATTTTCTGTTTTATTTTTAGTTGAAGAAAAATCAGAAATTTTCTTTTTTCTGATTTTTTAAAGTTTTTTCGCCTGCTGAGAGTCCAAATATAAAAAAATAAAAAATAATTATTTTTAAAGATTCAAAAATTAAATAAAATTGCTTTAAAAATAGGGAAATTATTATTAAAATCCTTATTTGGATGCTGAGTAATTAATTTTCAATATTTAAGTTTTTTTTTAATTCTAATTCAGGTTAAATGTTTCTAATATTTCTGCAAAATATATAAAAATTGAAAATACAAATTTTGTATTTTTCGGTTTCCTTACCAGAATTCTGATTTTTATTTTATTAAATAGAAAGACATAAAAATTCTGATTTGTGTTTCTATTTAATTATTATTCCAGGAGAGATCATAATTCTGATTTTTACTTAAAAAACACATAAATTCTGATTTGTATTTTTTCAGAAGAAATGTATTTTTGCAATATTTAAAAATCAGAATTCTGATTTACCGAAAAAATACAAAAATTCTGATTTCTGTTTTTGCCTATTATTCAGAAGAAATGTGTTTTTATATTTACCAAACCAGAATTCTGATTTTGTATTTTACCAAAAACACAGATTCTGTTTTGTATTTTTCCTTATTTTATTTCAGAATTTTTTTGTATTTTCTTCAAATCAGATGACGAATTTAATTAAATAATAAACACCCTTTTATTCCCCTCAAAATAATAGTTAGGGCAAAATCCTTGAATATGCGTGTGAAAATAAAATCTTTTGTCAAAAAAGCTATTTTTTCTAATTCCTCTTTTTTAAAGCCTGAGAATTTTTTATAAAAGAATTTTTTTCCAGAATTTATAAATTTTTATTTTCGCCATAACCCCAATTTTTGCCATTTTGTCAAAAAGTTGATTTAATAATGCAATCAAATCCCACACATTTTAATAATTAATTTTGAGTAACCTAAATAATAATATAAAATATAGCTTATGCCTAATTAAATAAAATGGTTGGATGAAAAATAATAATAAATATTTATTTAATTGTCTTAATAAAAATAAACCAGAAATAATATTTTTAATAATTTCTCGAAAATACAAAAATATTTATTAAATTCTGATTTGTGATTTAACTAAGAAAAACACTAAAATTCTGATTTAACATCAGAATTTGAATAACAAAATAATATCAGAATTTTGAACAAAAGAATTCTGATTTGATAAAAATACAAAAATTCTGATTTGTATTTTTCCCTAATAATTATTCAGAAGAAATGTGTTTTATGTGTTTTAGTCATAAATAAATCAGAATTCTGATTGTATTTTGTGTTTTATATGTATTTCCCTTAATTTCTTCACAAGAATTAATTTGTATTTTACTAATTTAATAAAAATTCACATTCTAGAATAAATTTAAAAAAATTCTGAATTTAATTATTTATTAAATTAAATAAATTAAAAAAATGCCCCAACAATTCCAACTACATTTTGTCAGTTTATTATTGCTAACAAATTTATTAGCAATTATTCCAGTCAGTTATACATTGTCTGCTTTATGGCCAGCTGCTCATTATGCAAACGGATTTATTGGAGAGCCTTTAGTGGATAGCAGTGATTTTGAAAGTAAAAAATATTATTTTTTAGTAAAATAAAATACATGATTCTGATTTGTATTTTTGTATTTTTTGAAAGCAAAATTCTGATTTTTACTTCTAAAAAGGAAAAATACAAGGAACACAAAAATGCAAGAAAAACACATAAAATACAGAAAAATACAAGAAAAACACAAAAATACAAGAAAAACACAAAAATACAGAAAACATATAAAAATACAAAAATATAAAAATACAAATATCATAAAAATAAAACACTTTTCAGAAATTCAAGCATTTCCCCCAGTCATTGGAGGACAACACTCATTACCCAGTTTGGCACTTTTTGAAATAACTCCACTTTCCGGAAATAGAGAAAGGAGAGCACCTTTTAAGACGGAAGAAGACCGTTGGATGCAGGCTATGGATAATTTGCGAAAACCGAGGTATTTTTGGGAAGGGAGGGAAGGAGGGAAGGGAGGAAGGGGAAGGGATATAGAGAGAAAAGGGAAATTTAAGGGAAAATCTCTCTAAAGGAATTTTCCCTGAGGGATCCTCAAAGGATATGATTGGATCAGGAGTGTGGACCATTTCGAGGGCACTTAAGAGCTTCTGGGATCTAATGTCATTTTTATATTTTTCAGATTCGGATGATAGCAATAACTACAAGATAGAAGGAAGCATACAGTAACCAATTTTCATATCAACGAGCAAACAAATAAGAGGCTTCTAAAATTTACTTGAATTTTCAAGTCTTAAAAATACTTAATAATAATTAACGTCAAATTTAATATATTTTTAATTGATTAAATAAATCTGTTTGGTTGTTGAATTATAGAGAATGAAGGGTTTTGGGGTAAAATGGCATGGACTAAATGCCAAGAGAAAGACTTAAAGGGGTTTGATGATCTGTTCAGAGTCTATTACAGGGAATCCACTATATAGAGTTTTTTGATAGGGTTAAAAATGAGTGTCCATTATACAGAGGCTATTGGTTATTGGAATGATCATCGAGACGACATTTATAGTCACGTAAACAGAAAAATCTGTTGAAAAGTGGAAATTGCAACATTTTTATGAAGAAAGGGGCCGACAAACATTGAAAGGGCAACAATATGTATAATATTTCTTAACCCTCCGTCAACTACTATTTTAAAATTCTTTTTAATTTTAATTTTGAAATATTCAGACGTCTACACGAGGTGTCGGCAAAGGAAAGGGAAAAGGGCAAAAAAACTTTTTAAACCTCTCCATTCTCTCTATCATTTACCCTCTATCCTCTTTGATCATATGATTTAGTCAATAAATTGAATAAAAATCATATGAAGATGTTTATTGAGAAGAGGGCAAGGTGGGGGAAAAGATGAAAGGGAAGAGGGGAAGAGAGGGGGATGGGGAGAAGAGTGGGGAAGAGTGGGGAGGGTGAGAAGAGGGCGAAGAGTGGGGAGGCGATGTGGGGGGGGGGAGTTGAAGGGGAAGATGATGAAATAAGGGAGGGGAGGGTAAAGAGAGAGGAGGGGAGAAGGTGGGGGAAAAATGGGGATAAGGGGAGGGAAGATGAAAGGGAAGAGGGCAAAGAGAAGAGGAGGGGGAAAAGATTGGGTAGGGGAGGTTGGGGGAGTTGAAGGGGAAGATGATGAAATAAGGGAGGAGAGGGAAAGAGAGAGGAGAGAGAGGGGGTAAGGTGGAGAAACAAATTGGGGATAAGGGGATTATGAAATAAGGGAAGGATGGAGGGGATATGGCAATACCTCTCTGATCGCTCTAATCGATGTATATTGAATGGCATTTTTAAAATTAGACAGAAAAAAATGTTAGAGAAAAATAAAAAATAAATTAGAGAAAAAAATTGGGGACGTGGAGACGTGCGCGAGTGAAGGCCCTCCTCTTAAAATGCAAGGCCCTCCCCCCAAATCCTATAAGGCAACGTCTCCTTAAGTAATTAGACAATTCCCTACACATCTCCTCTTTCATTTTAAATTTTTTTAAAAAATTTGACTTAAAATTTAAAAACCCTAACAAGGCAAGTTTTAGACGTTGTTTTGATGAAGTCCAAGCTTGTAGCCATTCTAATGGCTTTAATGGCGCTTTATGCCGAAGGTAAATTATTAATAATAATAAAATATAATGTTAGGGGTATTTAATAAAATTATTAAAAATTAATTTTTATTTTTAGGGGGGGGGGTATTAATTATTTTTTATTTTAACCCCTTGTAGACCTAGGGGTCAATTCCAGCTGTAATCGTGGTAATTGCACTGAGATGGGGGCTGTAGGTGAAGAAAAATATTTTTAGAATTTAATAGGAGCGAAATTTAAAAAATAATATGGCCTACAGTAAACACCGAAAAATTGTCCGCAAAAGTTGTCTGCAAAATTTTTGCGGACATTGTTTGCGGACAGATTTTGTTGACAGTTTGTGGACAGATTTTGTCCGCAAACATTTAAAAATAATCTTTAGTTGTGTTTGGCAAAGCATTGCCAATTCGAGAAATTTATTCTGACTTGCCGCCAGAATGTAAAACTCTCAATCTCGAAACGGTGGAATCAATCCCAACCGTAATTACTGTGAATGGAAAGCAATACAACATTAAAGGGCAAATTCAACATGGAGCTACTAGCCGGGTTGAATTTTTTCTAAAAATTTTAAAATTTTTTAAAAGGTTTTCCACGCTTTCGAGCAACATGATAACAGCCCTAAGCGTTGTATGGCTTTAAAGGTGGTCGATCTAGAAAAGATTGAACACAAGCAACGCAACCAGGCAACGAATGAAGCTAAAATCTTGGGGGAGCTTAACCAGAAAAAAGTTGAGAGAATTCCAAAATTGTTTGAAATGTTTGTTTATTTTGATTGTTTAGAGTTTTAGGAGGTTGTAAATTAATTTTGAAAAATTTTAAAACCCATATTCCCCCAAAAAACAAAAAAAGTTGATAAGAGGGAGAAAAGGGGCGGGGCTTATTTAAAAACTTCAAAAAATCATATCTTGGTCTATATTAATGATAAAAAGTTAAAATTTTGTGGAAAAATACTACAAATATAAAACTATTAGTATGCAAAATTTCAGAATTTTAGAGACATTCTGTCCAAAGTTATAAATTTTTGAAATTTTCCCCTCTAGTGAGCAACACCCAACTAACAAAACAATCAGTATGGTTATGGAATTGGCACACCACGATCTTTTTGATGAAATCACCCCACATATGGGTCAGGGAAAGCATGAATGGGTGCGGAATACTTTCAAGGAGATTCTACAAGCAATTAATCCTCTTCATAAAATGGGTGGGTAAATTTATTGATGTTGGGGGTTGTTTGAGTCTCAGCCGTTAACGAAGAGACCAAGAAGCCCAAGACTCAAAAAGTCAATAATCTATGATAAGTTGAGACTCAAATGTCCACAATACTAAAATAAATGTTATATGAAACTCTATTGTCCCCTTTCAAAGGTTTCGTTCATGGCGACCTCAAGCCGGAGAATATGGCCTACTTCCGTGCTCCCCGAGTTATCAACGATCAACACTTCCCTACAAAAGATGATCCACTCGTTTTGAAAGTTATTGACTTTGGAGGAGTCATGAAAAAGCAGGACTTGCCTAAGGCTTGTGGAGAGATTGTGACTGGGACTGTGATGTATATGAGTCCTGAACAGGTTGCCTGGTGTGCAGCCCATGACGAGGAGGAATTTTTGGCTCGTCGTAAACAATTCCCGGTAATCTATTCTATAAACTGGGTTTTTTGTGTTTTAGTGTTTTTTGTATTTTTTGTATTTTTTGTGTTTTTTGTATTTTGTGTTTTTTTGTGTATTTTGTGTTTTTAGTGTTTTTTGTATTTTGTGTTTTTTTGTATTTTTGTGTTTCATATTTTTTGTATTATTAGTTGAGCACAAAATCCGATACATGGTCAGCTGGAGTAATTCTTTACCAAATGCTCCATGGAAAAAGCCCTTACCACTGGATAACTAAAAAATACGAGCATCTAGACGAGGAAGAACGTGGGGAAAAGGCAGATAGCGAGCTCAGACAGACAATTTTTGACGGTAAAAAGCCAATAGAATTTGATGAAAAATATCAAGATTTACCACTTTTAGAAATTGTTAAGGCAAGTATTTTTAGTTAGAGACATATTAGAGGGTTTCTTAGAATGGGGTATTTCTTGGATATTCCCTTCAGTGGCATCTGTACGATGTCCAACTTGAGAAAACGTATCTTAAATTGAGGCGTATCTAATATTGGTATCTCATAGTGAAGCTTGATAATGCTAAAGAATATTTTAAACTGGGAGGAGGCCGGATTGTTATCGTATCAAGACCAAAAACTAACATATTTTAGCGCTGTTTGGCCCGAAACCCTGACGATCGTCCAGAAATTGAGCAACTTTTACACGAAATGGATAAGTTAGGACATCGTGTGGAGCAATTGGAAGGTAAACTTGAAAAACTCGAAAAAGAGACGGAAGATTTGAGAGAAGAAAAGGAGGAGAGAGAGGAAGAGAAAGAGAGAGACGAGGAAGAGAAGAAGGATGATGAGGATGACGAGAAATATGAAGAGGAGGAAAGGGAAGAGGAAGAACATCGTTTAGCTGAGGAAAGGATGAAGAAACAGGCCGAAGAAAATGCCCGTTTACAACAAGAAGCCCGTTTCCGTTATGAACAAGAAATGGCTCGACGTCGCCAGGCACAACAGGCTAATTTGCAATTTTTCTGGAACAATTTTCTTGGAGGAATGAACAATGGATATGGATTCTTTCCATTGGTGTGGATAATTGTTATATTGTTTATTTTGATTTTAATAGTAAGAGAAAGAAAGAGGGGGTTTTAATGAGGAAGTTATGTTCTAGGGCGATTTTCTCTCAATTTACAGTATGCGCCCAACATCATTACAATTATGTATATTATAGTAGCCCTCTTTAGTAAAAGATAAGGTCTCGATTATGGAGGGATTTTATAAAGTCCTTTTATAACCGAGCACCTTTTAGAGTCAAGTCGAATATATAGGGGTTTGTTATATAGAGTGTCTCTTATAGAGGGTTTCGTAGTATATTGTAATATCGAGGGGTATCTTACAAGGGGAATGCATCTCTATTAGAGAGAGCCTTTCTATTAGAGTCTTATAGAGGCAGTGGGTAGAGATCGGACGAGCAGGATCTAGTTTGGGTCCCTATTAAAGAGAGTACCCTTATTTCAATCAAACTAAAAATCCTATATTTTAAGAGAAATCAATTTCAAAACAATCAGGTAGGCCAAAATTTTTACCCGAACAACATCAACAACAACAATTTCGCTCCTCCTCGTATGCCCCAACTGGCTATGCCTCCTCCTCTCAACGTTTTCCCCCCTCAAACGATGTCGCCTATTCCACCTCAAAAACCTGCGCAAACACCACAACAGGCATATCCTCAAACTCAAAAATTTATTTTTCCTGGATTGATGGAGCATTTGAAGGAAATCCATGCAATTCGTGCAAGTGAGAAGTAGAAGAAGAGAGAGTGTGTATATTGAAGAGAAGGTTAGAGAAAAAAAGAAAAAAGCGAGAGAGTAAAGAAAAATGAGAGAGACATTCTAAACGTAAAAAAAGTCGAAGCTCTCTATAAAAACCTCTATATAAGAAACACCTCTATTTAGTAAACACTGATCACTTTGAGTTTCTTATAGAGAGGTCGACTGTATATAGCATCTATTTGTCTATTATTTTAAAGTTTTATCCAAGTAGCTTTATTTAAGCTTGAAATGTGTGTTTTGGCCCTTGTCCAGATTATGCCGTCCCTTGAAATATTTTGGTGGTTAAGACTTATGACGTCCATAGGAGCTCCTTGAGGAGCCCGCAGGCTAGGGCTGTGCGCCAAATTTTTTTGAAAAAACTCCAAGAAACGCCAAATTCAATTGCTCACAGCCCTGCTGCTGACCATAGGCATGAAGCAAAAATCAGTTCCCAAACCCGTAAACCCCCTTCTATTATAACGAATCCAAAAGTATATGTAACATTTATTGGACGCATAATCAGGCTAAGGACCAATCCACATAAAATTTTTACCAGTCAAAAACATATGTCCAAACATACAAATATTTTTAACGAATTGTACATATTATTTTGTAGTCCTTTTTTTATAAAGTCCAGTAAAAGTAGTTTTAGTCAAAATACATATGATACATATTTGGAATTTTGAAAATTTATTTACAAGTAAAAATCGGAGGTAGACTAAACAAAAGTCAGTTTAGAATAGAAACTGGATCGAGACTAGATCTCGAACAAAAATCTCGGTTATCGAGAGATTGATGTTTCTCAAGATATCGATATCTCTCAAGAAACATTAATTCGCCGGTCTCTAGTGTTGAAGTATGACATTCCCAATCCGTTCTCTAGTTTGGAATGCATTGTGTTGAATAGAGATCGGACTGTGAGTGTCGTACGAGAATCGAGATCTCGAAAAATTCTCGATCTCTCGAAAACTGAGATTTCTGATCGAGATCTCGTCTCGATCCGGTCTCTAGAGTTGAAAGTTGGTATCGAAGTCAAAAATCGAATTTTCCGATGTGGATAGAATCCCTTCCCTCCCGTCTGTGTTATCTTCATTATGGATGTTCAATAATTTCTCTTCCCTTCCTTCCTTTCCTTCCCCCAATCAAAACCCTCCATTAGTAGCTTGAACAACTCGATTAGATCGAGCCATTCTTCCTCCAACAACCACCCTTCTCGTTCGACTTGAAGAAGCGTTTTGTTGGTTGTTTTGAAATGACGTGAATAACTTTTGATTTTTTATTAAAAATTTTTTTTTAAAATTTAAAAGCTACCATCGTAACAGTTTGAAATTTACTAACATTGGCTCTTCCAAACATTAATTTCATATAATGTTTAAAGTCTGTACGAATTGTTTTGTTTAAAATTAAATAAATAACTGGTGGAATTCCTTAAATTTAATTTTTTAATTTTCAAAGAGGAAATAGTATGGATATAAAGGAGAGACAAAATAGGTTAGAGAAATTCTCTCTTCTTTTTGTATAGTCTTATAGTTTTTTCTGAAGTGTGACAAAAGGGTACACGGTTAAAACGACAAAATGGTTCTGCAGCTAAAAACGACAAAAGGGTACAAAACGGTAAACGCGACACAAGGGTACCAGGAGTAGAAACGACAAAAAGGGTAAAACGTCTAAACGACAAAAAGGAAATACGTCAAAACGACAAAAGGGTACTTGATTAGAGACACAAAAGGTCCAGAAAAATTTCAATTAGCTAACCGTGCGCAAAAAGCCACGCATATGTTCCAGCAATAATAATAGCATCACTAATACGTACAGTTTGCATATAAATATAAATACCTGCAGCCATTGCATTAAAAAAACTAATAATTACAACTTGCATAAATGTCTATGAGAAAAATTTTTTTGGAAATTTTTTTTAAAAAACCATTTTTTGTGCTAAAGTGGGTTGATGAGTTGAAGAGCTATACGAATTTGTTCTGATTGTCAGCAAAACAGAAAATGTTATGTAAATCGCTGAGAGACCGAAAATCACAAAAGTATCGTGAATTGTATGTGCGTGGTTGTAGTACTGCAGGAGAAATTAGAAAATATTTTTAACCTCTATTTTATGGAAACTCTATCTATAGGGGACTTGGCTCAATTTTATGTACTGTAAGGAGTGTCGGATTGGGACCGTCAAGGAGTGTGGGTTGGGAAAAGTTGGGTCTGGTTTCTGGTCAGGTTTTAAAGATTCTCTTCGGCTCGGGGATTCGTTTAGACATCGGGTTTGGGTTATGGGTTTCGGGAATCAGTTTGGAGTTTGGATCGAGTCAGTTGCTCGGAGTGCCTGTTAGGGAAAAATTGGGTCGGGTTTCTGGTCATGTTTTCAAGATTCTCTTCGGCTCGGGGCTCGATTGGGTTTCGGAAATTGGGGTTTCGGAAATCAGGTCTGGGGTTTGGATCGGGTCAGTTGGGCGGAGTCTATCATCGACAAAATATGATAGGATATAGTATTACAACGGATGTAGTATCATCTAACGTACTTCTCTTGCATTGACCTTATAATGAGAGTCGCCTATATAGAGTGTCCACAAAATAGAGGGTAAATTTAAAAACTAATTTTCTCACAATTTTTCCAAAATCATCATTATATCCAACATAAGGATTAAAAAACCAGGAAAAATAAAGTCCAGTGAATAAAATAGGTGCAGTAAATAAGCTTAAAATAACAGCATAAATGGAAGGGACAACAGTTAACCACCTTTAGAAAAAAAATTTTCAAAAAAAATTTTTTTTTAAAAACCAAGTTCTGTTGCCTTTAAAGATGTCGTGTGCTAATTTTGGATTTAATAATTCAAGACAACGGTTGATGGCTAATAAAAGCTCTGCTGAGGTCTCCGCGAACCAGAGGGCTGAAATTTTGGGGGTGGAAAAATTTTCTTTTGAAAATTTTGAAAATTTTTTGAAATTTATTTTTTTTGGAAATTTTTATAAATTTTTAAATGTCTTAGAATTAATTCAAAATTATTTAAAATCAGTTACATAAGCCAATAGAGCCGCTAGTGTAAATTAAAGTTGGGTAGTCGCAAAACACAGCCCCCATTAGTCCAAGAATGCCTGTTTCTAGTCCGTTCATTAACATTACCAACTTTAATTTTTTTCAATGAAAGTTTTAATATTTTATTCGAATAGAGGTGGAATAAATTTAAATTAATAATTTTTTAATAAAAAATAAGGAGAAATTATAGTCGTAAAAGCAGACATTTTATCGAAAAATGTTAGGTTTTCTGACCACAACTTTTTTATGCATTTTCCAAAAATTTTGATTTTTGGCTATCTTATAGCCCTTTTAATTCTCTATCAAATGGTATATAAAGCTATTTTATAGCTTTCTCCAATCTACAGATATGGGTCCTAAACTGAGCTACATTTTCGTTTATGTGCGCAAATGTCGGGTGCGCAAATGTCGTTTAGCAAAGCCCCCTTAAATTTTAATTAAATTGTTACCATATCAGTAACTCCAATATAAAACAATAATTTATAGCAAGGATTGCTCAAGTGTTTGTACATGCTTAACATGCAGGGAATGTAGAGTAATTCAAAAATAACGAAGAGAAATATCAACATCCAACTGTGGAATTGATGAACTCGGTTTTCATATGGAACGAGATTAGCGTTAAAATTTGTGCAATTGTAGAGACGGGCATAACTGGAAATTTAAAATATTTTTTTTAATAAAAGGAACAAGTTTTGGGGGTTTGGGGGGTTTGCTTTAGGGGTCGTGTGCGCAGATGTCGGGTGCGCAAATGTCGGGTTCTATATGGGCCTATTACCGGAGGCAAATAAGGGTACCCAACTCATACCCCTTCCATTAATTCCAAAATATCCCCCCTCTCTAATAGTAAGCACTCTTGTATCTTTAATATTTTCCCCTCTCTAATAGAAGCCCACTCTCCAATAATAGAAACCCTGTCTCCAATAACAGCCCTACAAGTTTTAAAATCATGGGGCGTCTATTAGAAGTTATTTGATTTTTTATAAAACTTTTCGGAGCTTACTCGTTAGGCCGAAAAAGTAGCAACTCCATCTTTATACAGAATAAAATAAATTTTATTTAAAAAAATTAAAATTGTTTGCAATTATCCCTAGAGAAAATGTTATCTAAAATTAAATATTTAAATATTATTTATGATGAGGATCATTTAATATTAAAATTGCCAGCCTTTTTTCATTAATAAATTATCACATTTTAAGTCATGAAAAAGTTATAATTGTAGGCGTGAAAAAATTTTTTTCAGAAAATTTTTTTAATTATAAGAGGAGTATATGTGAATTATAGCCATGGAGGTGGGGATATTTAAAATTCATAAAATAATGACAGGTGAATTATTCTCGTTGATATTTATATCATCTGATAGAAAATTAAATTTGCAACAAAATGTACTTTGAAATAAAATTTTATTAGAACTAGAAATTTATTAAGGTTGAAAAATCAAGTTTTTAGTGCCTGTAGAGAGCAGAACAAGGGTAACGCTAACAGCCATAATTTTTTAACAAATAAACTTTTTTTGTAAATTTCTTCAATCATTCGATAGAGGATTTAATTTGCTACAAAATAAAGTTTAGATCAACATTCTAAGTCAACTAGGCAAAAAGTTATGGCCTATAAACCCCTAAAAGTAGGCAATTTTTATCGAAAATTACAGTTTTTTGAGCATAACTTTTTTACAGTATAATTAAAAATTTAAATGCCACTTAGTTTTATAGCTAGGGCTGTAAATTATATGGACGAAAAAATCGAAAATATGCACATGAAATATGGATGAAATTTTTCAAAATATGGATGAAAATATGGGAAAAATCCTGGAATATGGACGAAATATGGATAAAATTTTTAAATTTTCATTCACAATTCAATAACTTGGTCGCGAGCATTAACGGATTTTTAGTTTTAATGAGACAAAATGAGTATTTTTAGTCAATTGGACATTTTGAGATGTGGCGAATTGGATTGAGCCGAATTATGGTCGCGCCCAAATAAATGTCTAAAATTTTCAAAACGCCAAACATTTTTCATTTTTTTTGAAAAATGGCGAAATATGGATAAAGTATGGAAAATATGGACAGAATGTCGAAATATGGACACTTTTTCCTTGAAAAATGACGAAATATGGACAAAATATGGAAAATATGGACGAAATGCCAAAATATGGAAAAATATGGAAAATATGGAAACGAAAGTCCTCATTTTTGTAAGCAGACAGTGCGGAAAGTGTGTTTTTCGTGCGTTTCAGACCCTTAGCAATTCAGGAAAAAAATATGGATTTCCATATAATTTACAGCCCTATTTATAGCATTTTTAATTCTCTATAAACTCAAATAAATAAATAATTAAAATATTTACGTTTATAAATAGTTTAAAATTTAAAACTCACCTGAGGTATTTAATAATGTAAATAATTATTTTCTTCCCCTTAATTTCCCCTTAATTATATAGTTCAGTTTTAATTGACGTTTTTACACCTGTCTCTTCTTGGTAACACGAAAAAAAATTTTAAAAAAAATTCAAAATTGTATAAAGTAGCGGAATTGCGCATTTAACGGATTTTCGTAAATTTTTTGTTTTTTTTTAATTTAAATATAATTTTAAGGAAGAAAAAATTTTTTTAAATAAACAATAATTATTTTAATTTTGAGAATTAATTAATTCCAAAAATTGTAAAATTAAAAATTTTATTTTTTTTTTGTACTTTATGTTCAGCAATTATTAAAAAAAATTTTTTTTAACAATTACTTTTCCGCAAATATCCAAAAAAGTTGCTCAAAAGTTTTGAAAAATGCAAACTAGGCCGTTTCGCATTTAAAAAATTCCACCCATGGAGGTAACAAATCCCATATTTCAATTTCAGAGAACCACAATTCCCGGCGACACTCTAGTACCGCGTAAGATTACAGCAGAAAACTTGGTAGTAGATAACTAAAATATGAGGGCATTCCCTTTCGAGTATATAAAACAACACAACTCAAACAACAATTTATTTACACACATAAAAATACAATTAAATACAACAATTCAAATACAACACAAACAACAAGAAATATACAATACATACAATGAGAATATATGGGGGGGGGGGGGGGGAACAATGAGAACAATATATTGGGGGGACATAGCAAAGGAACAATATATAGATAATCACACATTTTTATATCTCGAGCGTCACCTCCACACAACTTCCGGGCCAACTCCTCCTCCCTATTCAGTTTCTGGAATCGACTCGTCAACGGCTCCGGGAAGATACGGCTTATCATATGGCTTCTTTCCCGCCCCATATTCAAGCGCAGTTGACGTTCCATCGATCACTTCGAACGGATAGATTTTCCTCATCTGAAATATATAAAAATGACTAGTTGACATTAAAAAATATTTTTTTCTCACCCTTTTCCAATACTGGAAGTTCCCAACGGCATCATATCCCTTTTTAGACTTTTCCGGTTCATATTCGCGGGCGTAGACCTCGTTGTCCCTGTGCTTCTCGAACTGGTCTACAATGAACTGCATCTTGGCTTTGGCGTGATCCTTCTCCACTCTCTTCCATATTATAGCGCACAAGTCGTCGACTGAACCCATCTCAAACGCAGTCGTTTCATCACTCTCCTTTCTCTGAAAAAATGGAAAAATATATGGTTGATACAATAGAATGTTTTAAACTCACATTCTTTTTCCATACATCAAATGTCCCGACGTTCTTTTTGCCTCTGATCTTCTGGTCAGCCTTGTACAGCGCAAGTAGACGTTTTTCTTCTGCGCGTTCGGCGTCCTGCTTCCACTTTTTCTTATCCTTTTCTGCCTTGTCCTTCATCCAGAGCCAGACCAAAACTGCAACGATGAGACCGACAAGGAGGCCAACAGCAAGAGCAATTGCGATGTAGAGACCTCCGCCACACTCCTGTTGTTCCGGGCGCCTTGTTGTTGCTCGAGATGTCGTTGTGATGGAAGAGAAGTCGGTCGTAGACGAAGTTGTCGTTGAAGAACCAGAGGGATCTGTTGTCGTTTCAGTCGGGTCTGATGTTTCCACTGGTGGATCCTCAGTGGTCGTTGAAGTGGTCGGTGGCGTTGTTGTTTGAGGGTTGACAATGAGCATCTTGTAGTAGTTTACATCCTAGGAAAAACAAAATTACTTGAAAGGTCACAAGAGTAATAGGGTTACAGAAAGGTCTTAAAATTGAAAAACTCACAAACTGAACGAAGAGTTCACACTCCGGTCCATTTGGAGGTACTGCCAACTTGCTGTCTTTGTAAGTATACGAAGCATTCTGCCGAAGCAGGCTGAAGACGAGCAGGTGTTTGTCCTTGAACTCCCCATCATTTGTGATCTTCCATGTTTTGGGTTCGAAGAGTGGAGTTGACCTGTGAACGCAGACAGCTTTAGTCGAAGCATCGAATCCCTCGTCGTTTGCATACTCCATCGTGAATCCGCTCGCAGTACTTATCACCAAGTCTAGGGTCATACTCTCACTCTCCGGCTTCTTGGACTGACTCAAGCCTTTGTTATTTTCACCAACTATAAAATGATTTAAAAAAATAAAAACACAAACAGGCCTCTTACTTAGATATGTGTGAGCATAGACCTCTCCATCCGACTGGCTCCATGAGACTTGAAGTGATGTATGACGCTTGCATTTTCCATCAATGATTTTGCAAGCAGCGTTTTTACAGTCTGCTCCTGAACCGTTGTATTGACGGTTGTTGAGATCTTCTATGCCCTTGTTATCGACGCTGTAGACGAAAGGCAGACTATAAAATTAGTGTAAATTAATTAACGTAAATTAACTATCAAATAGAATAAGGGAGTAAAAACTCACACGTTGTTAAAGCTTTGCGCTAATGAGTCACCCGCTTCAAGACAATCGTTGAGTTTTCCATCTGCATTCCCTCGCACTCCTGCTTTGAACTTGATCTTGTTGATGTTCGACGAGTCGGTGCTGAGCAGGTCCATAGTGCATCCTTTGCTGCCTTTGGTGTATCGAAGCTCGCTGAAATAAAATAAAATTTTAGTTACATTAGCTTCGAAAAAAAGCATAAAAAATGTCCTCACATGTAGCCTTTTTCGATTGTAACATCGCAGGCGTCCGGATACAGCTCCTTGAAGTTATGACTAGCAAGGTCGAGGCCCGCCTTGTCGGAAGTTACGGTGTTGGCGGTGAGCATCACATTTTCTCCATTCCTTATGTGATTGCCGAGTCCGACTTCTTCGCTGTTGACCTGTCCAGGAACTACAAGTGCGGCGATGGTGAGCAGCAGCAGCAGAGAGCACAGCGTTGACGACTTTCTGGTCCGGGGTCCGGTGTCGAGCTCCAATGGAAGAAGGCCGAGCATGAAGAGTTGTTGTTGTAGACGATGTAGATGTTTGAAGGGTTGTGATGATTTTTTTGTAGAGGTGTTGGGAACTGAATGAACGTTGAGGAGCTTTTATAGTATAAGAAACGTAGGGGAGGGGGGGGGATATAAAAGCAGTTTTATTGAACTGTTTAATATCGTCTTCTTTTGCCCCTCACCACGCCAGTCATCGACAGGAGTAAACTACAATGTCGTCTTCAACAAATGCTGTACCACGAGCAACAACGGACTGAAACTGGCGAAAGTCATGCATAAATGGTTATAATGATTTGTAGAGGTGTTGGGAGGTGTTTCTTCTCTGTAGAGGAGAAACAGAACGATGTACCGGTTCAGCCTGTCCAGGATGAGAAGAAAGAGGAGATAACGCTTTTTAAGAAGAGATAACTCTTTCCACTTCAGGAAGGAATGTCAAAAGGGTTTAGGAAGAAGGGGGAGACATCTTAGTCAGGGCTGTGCGCCAAAATTTTCGCGTGGCGCGCCAAACGCCAATTTTTCAAATTTTAAAAACACGCCAAACGCAAAACGCCAAAAATCGGCCTAGAGTGGACGCCATGACGCACAGCCCTGATCTTGGTTTTTCGTTTTTTCTACTCATCAAAATATTATTACTGAATATTATTCTAATAAATATTATTTTGATCCAATTTAATATTCTCTCTCCAGTTCAATCAACCAAACTTCCTTCAAATAATATTTTATTTTATTAAACTTAGCTTCCGTTTTCCCGCGTTTTTTTTCCAATTTTTTATTTTTCTACTTAATAAAAATATTTTTTAAAGTGTATTATTTATTTGTTGCTTCATTTACAAAAACAAAAAAAAATATAAAATTGAGTGTCAAAAAGAAAGGTCACAAATTTTGGGAGAGAAAAATGGGGGGAGAATTTAATCAAGTGTGAAAATAATCCTTTTATTTCTTCAATTTTCTTCGAAATAAAATTTTTTTTTCTTCTTTATTTATTTATCCGTTTATTCCCTAATTGTTTTGAGGATATTAGCTAGCAAATTGGCCATCAAATTTTAAGAAAATAAAAACAAAGTATGGACTAAATAAATTTTAAAAGCAATGCATGTGCGGTTTCACTTGGAGGATGGTTCAGTGGAGAGACGATAACTCTTGAAAGGATGAAGATTTCGAAAAAGTTTTTGTATTCATTCGATAGAGAATTAAATTTGCTACAAAATGAGTCTAAAATCAAAAAAAATAGGTAAAGAGAAAGAAAAGTTATGACCGAAAAACCGTCTTTTTAAGGGTAAAATAACCAGTATTTGGAGGTTTTTTTCTATATCTTTTTTCTTGAAAAATGATATTCGTAAAAGTTTGTAGTCATTCGATAGAGAATTAAATTTGCTACAAAATGAGTCTAAAATAAAAAATTTAGGTAAAGAGAAAAAAAAGTAATGACCAAAAAACCGTCTTTTTGAGGGTAAATAAGCCGTTTTTGAAGGTTTTTCGCCTTCAACTATTTCCCAAAAATTGATAAAATTCTTATTTAAATTGAAATGGATAGCCCATTCAATTCTCTATCGAATCATATCTAAATTATTTTCACAAGTTGATTTGTTCCAAAGTTATAGAGCTTAAACTAACCCCCTCCCTCTACTCAACCATTCCTAATAAAAACAAAAAGTATTACACAACAATGGCATTTTATTTGTTTATTAGACTTTTCCATTGTTCAAATCCTTTATATAAACTTGTATAAACTTTTAAATTTACCATATACCAATATTTTATTACAAATCCCTTAAATTTTCTCAAGTTGTGTTGGTGGGACCAAATGTCTTATTTATATTTTATCAAGTTTATTTATTTGGAATATTTATTATTTAATAAAAGACAATGGCAAAACTTGAAGGAAGCTCTCCTTTTCGAGACAATGCGAATTTAATAGGAAAAATAAGCAAAAAAATCCAAGGGGCAATAGGAAAGATATAAGTTACCAAATTATAGCCAAAGGCAATTCACAAGCCCGGAAGGGATTATTTTATTTTTATTTGCGCGAGTAATACAGTTAAATTAAATAATAAAATAAAAATAAAATTCGCAGCGGGTGAAGAAGAAAATTTTTTTGATAAACTATAGGTGGGGAGATGATCCTTCTGGAAGGGAGGGAGAGGGAGACATGCCTGGGGATTTGTTGCAACATATTTTTTTAATTTTATTAATTTGTCAATTACGGAAATTGGCCTTTAAGGAAGGTAAGGAATGGTAGAAAATTATGGGGGAAAATGCATTAATTAATTCAGGTTCCGTTTCTCAATTTTTTTCCTCCACAAAAAAGGGTGGTTATCTGTTATGCCTATTTCCTCCTCTTTTTCTCCCTCAATATAAAAATTTTTTTAAATCAAAAAATGTTTTCATATTTTTAAAATAAAAATAAAAAAAATAATTAGTTTGTCTGAAAATAATGTTTTTTAAAAGGTATTAGCAGCGATTTGTGTCACTAGAATAAGGCGAAAATCAAAATTAGAAATGTGCACGATTGTAATTGACGTTTTGGCGTTCTGTTTTTTCTTGAAAAATATTTTTGATATTTTTGCTAAATTTCGAGGAAATCTATTAAATTTTTTCAAAATTTAAACAAAAAGCCAAGGATTTAAAAAATAAAATTAAAAAAACGCCAAAAATTTTGCGCACACCCAAAATTGCGCACACCCAAAATTGCGCACACCAACTTTTGCGCACACCCAAAAAATTTTTTTAATTAAAAAAATTTTCAAAAAGTAATTTTTTGAAAATTACAAATTTTTTAAAAAATTCCAAAATTTAATCATAATGCCAAAAAAACTTCAAAAACACCCCAAAATAAAACGCAAAAATTTGCGCACACCAAGCATAAAAATAATTACCTATTCTTGTTTCCATTCTTTTAAATTCGTTTTGAATACAACAGATTAGTCTTTTGTATTTTTTATTTTTTGTATTTTTTATTTATTTTTAAAAACACTTTCCGACTCCTTGAAATTAACTCATTTTATTATTTATAAAAATGCCATTCACGTAATCGCCAGGATTTCTTTTCAAAAAATTTTTTTGATCAGTCTAAAGCAATTTTCCCGGATTAGAATACAAAAAAAACAGTCAAAAAATAAATGCCGACAATTCAAAAAGTGTAAAAGAAAGAAATTCGAGAAGCTAAAAGTTGTGAGGAAAAGTGGGATGAAATGTCGCTTTTTGTGTATTTTCTGCTAAAAACCGCGCCAATTATTTTTTTTTCTCGATTATTAAAAAAATAGAAGGAGTTTATAAAGTAATTTTTGTTATTTTTATTCTTGACAAGATGCCGATGAGGATGAAGATCAGATTTTAAAAAAAAAAATATAAAAGAATATATAATCGTCTATTTAATCCATAGAAATTGACTGTGTAGAAAAATAAATTTTTTGAATAAATATTTTTTGACCTTTGACGGTGTTTGGATTTGTTATGTATAGTTTCTCAATTAACGATAAATTTTTAAAAAATACAAAAAATACGAAAACACAGAAAAACACAAAAAATACAAAAACACAAAAATAAAAATGTCACAAACACAGAAAACACATTTAAACATATTTCTGATTTTATTTTAAAAATCAGAATAAAATAGAAAACACAACACAAATATTCTGATTGTTTTATTAAAATCAGGATATTATTGTATCTCAAACATAACTCTGATTATAATAAAATTCTGAAATACAATACAATAATATTCTGATTTTAATAAAACAAACAGAATATTATTTAATTCTGATTTTTTTAATTCTGATTTTTATTGATTCTGATTTTTTAATTCTGATTAATTTAAATTCTGATTTTTTAATTCTGATTAATTTAAATTCTGATTTTTTAATTCTGATTAATTTAAATTCTGATTTTTAAATTCTGATTTTTTAATTCTGATTTTTAAATTCTGATTTTTTAATTCTGATTTTTTTAATTCTGATTTTTATTGATTCTGATTTTTTAATTCTGATTAATTTAAATTCTGATTTTTTAATTCTGATTTTTAAATTCTGATTTTTTAATTCTGATTTTTTAAAATTCTGATTTTATTTAATTCTGATTTTATTTAATTCTGATTTCTTTAAATTCTGATTTTTTAATTCTGATTAATTTAAATTCTGATTTTTTAATTCTGATTTTTAAATTCTGATTTTTAAAATTCTGATATTTTTTAATTATGATTTTATTTAATTCTGATTTCTTTAAATTCTGATTTTTTAATTCTGATTAATTTAAATTCTGATTTTTTAATTCTGATTTTTTAATTCTGATTTTTAAAATTCTGATATTTTTTAATTATGATTTTATTTAATTCTGATTTCTTTAAATTCTGATTTACAAAACAAATAATTAAAATCAGAATACAAACAAAACAACATAAAATACAAAACCAGAACAAAATTTAAAACAAAAACACAAACAAACAAAAGAAACACAAAAATATTCTGATTTGTTCCCCAACAATTTAAACACAACAAATTAAATTTACCCCGCCTATTTTCTTTAAATAAAACATTGTTTAATAGACACGCCCCCATATTTTGCCCTCCAGTGCCCCTTGTTTTGTTTGTCCGTAAATTGCTTCTTATTATTTGCCCTCATATTTCTGACTTTAAAACAGGCAACAAACATTTTCCCCTTTTTTTTATTTAACGCCTGTTGACGCCTAGTTTTTTCCTTCCTTCAATACTGTATTTATTTTTTAGTGAAATATTTTTTACCTTAATATTTTTTAGTAATTTAAAAACTCGTTTTTAACTAATTTTTGTATTAATTAAAAATATTTTATTTATTTTATTTTTAAATTTTACCTTAGTTTTATAGTTGTTGATCATAGTTCGTTAGAGTCTGAGAGGCGTAACTCGCGAATGAATGAACCGATTTTTCTGATTTTCACACCATTCGATAGAGAATTAAATTTCCTACAAAATGATATGAAAAGTAAAAATATAGGCTCATAATTGAGAGAGTTATGGCCAAAAAACTGACAAAAACGCGCATTTTATTAACATTTTCGACTGCAACTTTTTTGCAAAATATGCAAAATTTTATTTAATTTTAATTTTTTGTAGCAAATTAAATTCTCTATTTAATTATATCAAAAGAATTTTAAATTATTCATTCTTCTATTAAATACAAATTTTAGTAATTTAAATATTACGTTATTTAAATAATTAGGCGTTTGATTTATTTTCGATTTTTTTGAAAAATTTAAAAATTTCCTTTCTTTCCTTTTTTCCTAATTTTCTTAGGCAACATTGGAATATTTAATATAATTTTATTTTTATTTAATCATCAGTTCCAGCCCCACAGCTGTTTTCTTCAAGTTCTATAAGGGACGTCTAGGCGCAGCAAGATTGCGGCGCATGCTTGTAAAATAGACAAATGAGTAGCTAGGGCTATGAAATTTTACAAAAATCTTTCTGATATTGTTAACTAATGATTCTGAAAATTTCAGAATTTTTGGTTGAAAATTTTCAAAGTTATGGTAAAAAATGTCAAACTTCCTTGATTTTTGCTGATTTTTCGCCTTCTTTTACCCATATCTTCTGATATTCTGAACCAAAAATTCTGAAATTTTCAGAATTGTTAGTTGTCAGTCTTAAGTACCTATATGCAAAATTTCACCTCTCTAAGTACTCATTTGCCCAATTTATGAACGTTCGCGCAGCCTCTATCAACGCCTTAATATTACCAACTTGCCCCCTCTTTATTTTAGTTTTCTCTTAAAATTTGTACTGATCAGCAATTTATTTTTATTTTTTAAATTGATAAATGATCACCAAAAAATTTTGAACAAAAAAATTTTGGTTGTTGACTAATATTTAAGGCAGAAATTTTTTTAGAAAAAAATTTTTTCCAAAAAATAAGGTAAAATATTGACATTGATAAATGACAAAATTAAAATTTTGGGAGCAAATATTATTATAAATTTAATGTTTTTATTAACAAGAATAAGGGGGAAAATTAATGGGAAAATAAAATGCAAGTTTTTTGGGCCAAAGAAAATGATGACGATTTTGAAAAAAATTTTTTTTAATTTTTACGTGTTTGTCAGGTTCTTAATTTTGTTGCGGCTCTTTTCTCTCTTCTATCAACTCCTAATTTTATTTATATAAATTTATTTTAAAGTTCCTTGTTTGTTATTTTAAATTATTATTTTGATTATTTTATTAAATTAAGGGTGGTAGGGTCGTTAAAGTTGACGAATCATAGAAACCTTAAAAGTGGACTTTGAGTCTTGAAATTTTCCATTGATGTCAGTAACACTGTTAGCTAACAGCTCCTAGATTTTTAGAATTTTTCATTTCGATATTGTTGAGTTATAGGGCAAAAAGCTACCAAAATGAGCGATTTTGCACCCAAAATGTCATAAAAACTAATAAAAAGTCATAAAAATTATTAAAATGGACTTTGAGTCGTGAAATTTTGTATTGATATCCTCAAGAAAGTTACCTAAAAATTCTGAAAATTTCAGAATTTTTGGTTCAGAATTTATTGAGTTATGGGGCAAAAGGCTCGCAAAATGCGCGATTTTGCACCCGAAATGTCGGTTTTTGGTCATAGCTTTTTTTGTATTTCATCAAAATTTAATAATTTTATGTCATTTTGTAGCTAATTCAATTCTCTTTCGAATAGTTTTTAAATTAAAAAAATCGGTTCACCCATTCGCGAGTTATGCCTATTAGAGTCAATTGAACTTTGTCTTTACAGACTAACTTGAATATTAACAAAAAATTTTTTTTAGAATTTTTTAAGAATTTATTTTTTTTTTCAGAAAATGTCTACAACAACTTCCTCTTCATTTTCTGCTTCTTCCAACAAAGGTTTCGGTATTCTTGATTTACTTAGTCAATCTCCAACTGCCGTCGCTTTTGCTGCTGCAGTTGTGGCTAAGGGGGAAGTTGGAGAAGCTAACGTTAAAATTGGTGGAGATGATGGTCTTGCTTTGAGGGAAGAAGAAGGTGAATTAATAAAAGTAACCTCTCGGAGCCGGAACCAACAAATGCTCAATACCCAGCACTCATAAGGACACAAGGACAAAAAAGCGTCATGAATTCAAGACAAATTAAAAAATAAGGGCACTAGAAGGACACTAGGAAAATCTAAGGACAATAAGAAAAACAAGGACAAAAATCTAAGAACACGCAAATCTAAGACAGAAATTTAAGGACATCACAGAAAAATAAGATCTGACAAAGATAAGACTAGAGTGCGGAAACGGGATCCCCGGATCCCGTAACGGGATTTTTTTAATTTTTTGCGGGACAAGATCCCGCGGGATTAATCCCGTAAATCCCGTTGCGGGATATCGGGACAGGATCCCGCAAATCCCGTTCGGATCCTGTCCCGTCCGCACTCTAGATAAGCCCAACTAATTCCCAGACTCTAATTCCCCCCTATTTTTTAGGAATATATAAGGGTTATGGTAGTGTTCATTAATTCCCTCCTTTCATTGAGAAGGAGGAAGTAAATTTATTTAATTTTATTAAAAACAGTTGTTTAAAGTCTTCCGGAATTTGTAATAAATATAAAAATTATTTTAGTGTTTAAAAATATTAATTTGCCGGTCATAAAAATGCCAAAATTATTTACCTATCGATCATTTTTATTTTTGCTATTTTTCCGTTCTCTTAATAAACCTTTCGGTCTTTTATTAAGTTTAGAGACCAATTAGCAATAAATTGGGAAGCTATTTATTGCTAGTATGTGTTTAATAGAGGGTATATTGGAGGAGGGTATATTAGAGTCTGAAATTAAATTTCAATGAGTTTCGGGTAAAGGGCATTTTTGGGAGATGGGGGGGGGGCAGTCTTTTTATAAGGAGTTGTTGAGGGGAGTTGTTGAGGGACCAATTTATCTTGGGAGACCCAATTTATTGCCAAGTGGTCTCTAACTTTTTAGAAGGTCGAAAGCTTTGTTGGAAGAAAAACTTAAGTTTCCACTGTATATCAATGGGGTATTTGTAGAGTGAAGAGCCCGACTCTATTCAAACCTGAATAGGAAGCGAATTCGAGATCCAGAAAAGTCTCAATTTTGAGACATTATATCCTAATTTTTGGAATTCTGTCGAATTTTGGCATTTTGTCTCAATTCCTGGCATTCTGTTGAATTTTGGACATTTTATTACAATTTTTGGCATTCTGTCAATTTTTGGACATTTTATCCCAATTTTTGGCATTCTGTCGAATTTTGGCATTTTGTCTCAATTCCTGGCATTCTGTTGAATTTTGGACATTTTATTCCAATTTTTGCCAATATTTTTCATCCCGTCTTAAATTCCAAGACTCTAATATGTCCATTAACACTTAATGCTTGTCGGTCCTGTACATTCCCCTTTTTTGTAATTTTTATATGTTTAACAAATTCCTTAATGAGTTATTTATGATGCGCCGCTTATTTTACTGTTAAGTGAGAGCAAGTTTTAATGGACAAAAGCAGACTTTATTTTTAATTTAAGATTGCCTGAGGCAAAATAAAAAATATGTCCATTAGAGGGTTGATTTTTCCTTCTTCTTTAAGTTTTTTATAAGAGATCCGGTGCTTTATTCATCCTATTTCCTACAATCTCCGATATCCCTCCCCTGTTTCCCCAACAAAATGAGACCCCCAAAAACCTTCTGTGGTCTACGGTAACTATAGAGGGGCTGATAGACCTTTTTCTATCATTATTCAAAACCAGGGCTGAGCGCCACACTTTGGCGTTGTTTTTGACCGATTTTGGCGTTATGTCGTTTGGCGTTTTTTTTTATTTTAAAAATTTTTTTAAAAACGCCAAAAATTTGGCGCTCGGCCATGTTTAACCCTACTATTTTATATTAGAGCCCGGCTCGGTACGATATTTTTTTCGACCGACCCCTCCGTTTGGGCTCTATTCAATATATATTTTCTAAACTTTTATTAATTCATTCAATCATATAGACCACAAAAATTTTAAAGAAGCGGAAAAATATTTGTAGAAAAAGGGGTCAACTTTAAAATATAAACCACTTTACGATGAGTGAATTGACGCGGATTGATGAGATATAAATAATAAATTTATTGGTAGTAAAAAGGGATAAAAGGGAGGGGAGTTTGATTGAATTTATTGGTGGAAGGAAAGGGAGAGAATGAACGGATGTTGGTATACTGTAGATTTTAAATAAAATTTGATTAAATTAAGTAATTAAGTTTGGCGTTTTGTTTTTTCGGATTTTTATGAATTTAGATAATTTTGGCGTTGTTTTTGGCGTTTTGTTAATTTTTGGCATTTTGTCCTTATTATTGGAATTTTTATTGATTTTTTGGCATTTTGTCCTTATTATTAGAATTTTTATGAATTTTAGCACTAATTTTGGCATTTTTATCGATTTTTTGGCATTTTGTCCTTACTATTAGAATAATTATTTATTTTCAAGTTTCCTCACCAATTTGTGACCAAAAACATCCTTTGCTACCATTCCTCGAAGACACAGCATTATCAACGTCTACAACAACCAATTTAATAATCCCAACATCCCCTCCCCCTCCCCCATGTTCTTCTTCTGCCTCTGCCTTTTCCCCTCCTCCAACCTCCCCAATAAATCGAAAACGTTCAACAACAAAAATTACAAAAATATCCAGCGCTACAGAAAAAGAATTAAATTTAGACGAAGAATTTGGTAGTGGGGAGGAAGATGAAGAAGAAGAAAATAATGAAGAGGAAGGGGAAAATAAATTGAAGGGGGGAGAGGGGAAAAGATTTGCAAAACCACGTTATTCCTATAATGCGTAAGCTTTTTGGGGTTCTTTTGGATAAAGGTCGGCAAAATCGCATTCCCGGAATTCCGGGACGGGATCCCGTAAAATCCCTACAGGGTCCCGTCCCGTGCCGAGCTCTACTTTTGATAACTTCCAGACTCTACAGCACCTTTCTCTTTACCCAGTCAAATCTTAATGTCACGTCTCGATCGGTCTATTATCGAGATTGAATATATTGAGGGAATTAGGGGGCCTTTATACTCTTCGATTCAAGGCCACTTCATTCCTCCAAAACGTGCCTGATCTGTCAGGATTTTCAAATCTTCACTAGCTAATAAATATACTTAACTCCAAAGAATTTTCTCTTCCAATAATCACCCCCCCCCATTTCTGTCTACCATAAAAAATATTTGTTTAGACTTATAACAATGGCACTTCGTCAAAGTCAAACAGGTCGTTTAACTCTCAATGGCATTTATGAATTTATTATGAGACGCTTCCCGTTCTACAAGTTTGTATTTTTCACTTAGCCATAGGTGTTAAGAAGGGTCAAATCTAATCAATCAAATTTGACCATTTTGGGCTTTTACCCTTTTTAAATTTGACAAAATGAAAAATTTTCAAAAAATTTTATTGTTTAAGGACAAATCGCCGCGGTTGGCAAAACAGCATTCGCCACAATCTCTCATTAAACAAATTCTTCGTTAAAGTTGCTAGATCCTATGATGATCCAGGGAAAGGTAAAAGAACCAATTGTTTCATTATTTAAAGCAAATTTTGGGTAAAAAGATTTTTTTGTTTGATGGATTCTGTAGTGACATTAAGTGTAAATATACGGCTGTCAGTTAAAAAATTTTATTTTTATTTTACATACCACAAAACTTGTCTTTCCTTAAATTTAGTTTGATTGATTGTTTGTAGAAAACAATGAAAAATTTTTAAAGAAAAAAATTTTTTAGAGGGAAAATTTTATGAGGATAAAAGTTTAAAGGGATCAGCCGTGCGATAAAAAGGACAAAAAATTAATTAAATTTTTGGGATTGTATTAATGAGGGATTCTAGATGATGGCAGGAATCAAATATCCATAGTAGATTTTAGGCGTAGGGTGTAGGGAACATTAGTGGTAGTCCGAAGGGAACATTAAAGGTAGGGTGTAGGGAACACTAGTCTGAAACTAGAGGTATTCTGTAGGGAACGATACGAGATAGGGTGAAGGTAACATTAAGGGTAGTCCGAAAGGAACCCTAGAGATAGTCCGAAAGAAACATTAAGGGTACTCCTTAGAGAACATTGGAGGTACTCCGAAAAGACATTTCAAAATAATTTCATTTATTCCCCAGGAAATTACTGGATGTTAGACACCTCATCAGAAAACGAAATCTATATAGGCGCCACAACAGGCAAATTGCGCAGACGACGACCTCCCCTCTGTTCCACATCAAAGGCAACAATTCAAAGACACCATCAAAACCCCCAACCATTTTTATCAACAAATTTATCATTTAATCAACAACAACTCCCCCATATAATGCTCCCACAGCACCCCTCAACTTCCCCTTCTTTTGGCGTTTGTTTGCCGTTACAAACATCACAACAACAATTTCCTTCGATTTTTTCCTTGCCTAATTATTCTAATAATTTTACTAGTAGATTTCCGTTTGAAATGAATTTTTTGGGGCTAAATAATCAACAAAAACAATTTATGGCCTGTTTGTTTCAACAGACACAATTAGAACTGATACAGAATGAGAATGGGGCGAAGGTGCAATAATGAGAATTTAATTTTGATTTTGTTCCCATCTATTCATTTTTGTGGACTATCAACTTTCATTAGTAGAGCCAACTCAATAAAAACAATTTATGGCTATCCAAGGGAGGAAAAGTCCAAAAGGATATTAGAGGTAGTCCGAAGGGAACAATAGTGGTAGGGTGAAGGAAACAGGGGTTAGTAATAGTATTATGGGTAGAGTGTAGTGATGTTCGAGACTCTCGGTCTCGGTTCCCGAGTCGGGAAATTTCCCGGGTTTTTTGAGCTCTCGGTCTCGGCTCTCGACTCTCGGCTTTTTTTCACTCTCGAACATCACTAGTAGAGTGAAGGGGGAGGACTCAGAAGGGAGACGTTCCTTTCGGACTACCTCTAATTAGGGGTATTCCGAAGGGAACGTCAGGGTTGTAGAGAATAAATTTCATTATTAGCGACCTCAACACTTAAGAATTACATTTCATCCCTTAGATTCTAATGTCTCAACTAACGAGAGTTGATTACATAAATATTAGACTCTAAACCAGCCAATTGTGTTCCTCTAAAAATTTTTTGTTTAAATTTTGGCGTTTTATAAAATCAAATTTTTGGCGCACGCCCTTAGAAAATAAGCAATTTCTTCGAATAATATTTTTAAATATTTTTTTTCATCATTATTTTGTATAAATAAAAATAGTTATTGTATAAAAAATTAATTAATGACTAAACTAACTAAAAATATTTTTCTGGAAACAAAAAAAAATAAATTGTCACTTTTGGGGACAAAAAAAATTTTTCTTAAAAATACCGACAAGAAACCCCTAAAAAAATAACCATGGAAAAATAAAGAAAATATAAAAACAATTAGGACACCTCATTTACACACATATGCAACAAAAAATAAATAAAACAATGTGTTGTTGCTTCTTTTAATTTTTCTTTTGTCGTATTCCGCGCTAGAAACAACCCTCAAGTATTTTTGTTTCTAATTACTATATTTTCATGTTATTTAAATTTTCCCAAAATGTTGACGTCCAAAAAGCATTAAAATCTTTTTAATTTTTGAAACTTTTAATTTTGCCAATTTTTGAGACTCAAAATTTTTTGGCGTTTTAAATAAAAATTGGCGCACAGGTAGCCGTTGATTTTTATTAGTTCTGTTTTCTGATTTTTCTTTTTTATTGGATTCTGATTTTCTGATTCTGATTTTCTAATAGTGTACTGGATTTTGGGTTTCTGATTTCACTCGGTGTTCTGATTTTTCTGATTTTTTTGATCATGTTCTGATTTCTTCTGATTTTTATTTCTGATTCTGATTTCTCGGATTCTGATTTTTCATATTCTGATTTCTTCTGATTTTTATTTCTGATTCTGATTTCTCGGATTCTGATTTTTCATATTCTGATTTCTTCTGATTTTTATTGATTCTGGTTCTGATTTTTCCCTTAATTTCTTCTGATTCCTTTCCATGTCGATCTTCTGTCTCCATCACTTATTAACTCTCTAATTCCCCCATGTTGCTCCTTTTACAAATAATATACTTAAATAACAATTAGAAGGAAATCTTAGGGGAAGGGAAATGGATGAGGACACAAAAGCGGGAAGAAAGAAGAAAAAAAAGCGATTAGCGGCTCTCATTAAAAAAAAAGGAAAAAAAGTGTGGAGAAAAAAATTTGGTTAAAAATAGGGGAACAATAGGGGGATGAAAAGGGTGTTTTATAAGAGAAAGGAAGAGGAGTTAAGTTGAAAATAAAAAATAATAAGAATATAAAAACGTTTGTTTAACACCGACCACTTGTAAATATTTAAATATAAATGCTGTGGATTTGAGTAGATTTTTTGAATTTTTTGGTTAATTAAAAGAAAGGGAAGAAAAAATTTCTGGTAGGATTTTAAATTTAATTTTTGGATTTACAACAAGGGGAAGGGTAGGATTTTGGGTAGAAAAGAGGTTCAAGTTTGGATTTAGGGTCGGAAAAAGTCAGTGTTTAGGTTTCGGATAACTTGACTTATCCCTTGTATAGTCAGTCTCTCAGCTTCGTGTTGTGTAGTGGTGACACTACTATAAAAGCCACGCTAGGCGTCAGTCTAAGGGGATCATACTAGCCCGGCTAGTCCCTGATCTCATTCGTCTGTTCCAACCTCAATCCCTTCGTCTACACATTGTTATTTCTACATTAGATAAATTGTTATTCTATTGCACGTCGACATTCGTACAACCCTCGGACATAACACTTCGCAGATATTTTAGTCAGCACCTAAGATTTACATATAAACCAGTGATGGGCCGGGTTGAGAAAAAAGTTGGGTCGGGTTTTCAAAATTTTCTTCAGATCGGGTTTCGGGTCGGTAAAAGTCCGGGTCTCGGGTCTTTGGTTTCGGGTAACCCGGCCCATCACTGATATAAACCCGAGGTCTGTCAGTTGGCTCACACTAGAGGTTGAATCCCTTCCGCTTCCGTCTTCTGTCGATTTCAATTTTTTTTTGATCTTCCGCTTTTTGTTATTACGTTTCCGTCTTCCGCTTTTAAAAATTACTTTAGGGCACATTTCTAGCCAACATCCACGCCATGCTTCTCCTCGTAATTTTATACTTAACAAATAATGAAGATTTAAAAATAAATTATATACATAAATTTTGATCACTTGATCTTATAAAATTTTTAAAAATGAGTGGGAAGGGCAAACAATATTTAACTAATTAATTGTTTGTTTAATTTTAAAAAATCACATCATTTTAAAATTATTCTCCCTAATCCACTTGAAAAAAATTTAATATTTTAAGCTTGATCTTTATAGTACGCTTTTTAAACAAAAAAGTGAACGTGATCTTTTAAAAAAATTTTTTTTAATTTTTTTCCGAGTTTAAAAAAAATTTAAAAGATTAGCTTGTTTAAAAATTATTTCAAGTATTTAAAAGTAAACAAAAGAGAAGAGAAAACAAAATACTATAAAAGCGCCTAGAAAAGAGCAGTTAAAAACATTCTCCAATTAAAACAAACTTTAAAACTTGAAAAAAAAAGTTTATTTCTTTAATACTCAACAAAAACATTCTTTTAAACATGCGATCAATTGTTTTGATGTTTTTATTGGCTGTTGTTGTTATTAGCTTCGAAAAGTCGATTGCACGTGATTCTGAGGGAGGGTTCCCTCGTGGTCCTCCTCGTGGTCCCCCTCCTTCTATGTTTGAAGATAATAAAGAGTTCGTTTTTCTTTTTAATTTCTTTTAACTTTAAAAAATTTTTAGCAGTAATAGAGGCGGTTTTCGTGCAAGACCGAATGGATTTGGAGGTGGAGATGGAGAAAATGGAGGACCTGGCGGACGAGGTGGATTTGGAGGCAGAGGTGGAGGACAAGGTGGTTTTGGAGGCTTCTAACTGAAAATAAAATGAATGGAATCATTAACAAGATATGTATAAAAATGAGGAGATGAATAAGAAAATAAATAAAAACATAGTGATTTAATAATACAACGAATCATATATAAATTTTGAAAATTTTGGCATAAATAAACTAAAGGTTGTTTTAAATTAGAATGAATGGCAAGGAATATTATAGTAAAACAAAGGGGGCAATGGCTAGGTAAGAACAAATTCTAATACCTCTATTTTCTCAAATTCTAATACCTCTATTAGATGAATGAATAATTCGAGGAAATATTTTTGAGAGTCATTCTCGTCGAAAAGCATTATTTCAAAATGCTCCTAAATTCTCATCATTCACCACTACACTACACGGCCACATTGAGCGGACGTTAGAAGGGAATCGGAATTTGATGGAACGACGCATTGAGAATTCCTACTCTACTTTATCATTGAATTGACAAAGAATTGTATTTAGTAAACTTAATACTCGTAAAAAACGCCTATAAAATCCAATTTCCAAACTAAAAGAGACCTCAAAATTAAGCAACAGAAGCTTTAATCACTTGATACAATAAAGCTGAACTGAGTTAGTTATTTCTTCTTTAACTAATGTAATAGTAAGTTAGGCGGCTGTCGGAATAAATTTAAATATTAAAATTAAAAAAGAGAAAAGAAGAGCAAACTACATACATTTTTAATTAATTAATTTTTATAAAAGACGTCATTTCCATTAATCCACTCGAAAAAAAATATTTTCAAAAAAAGTTATTTTTGTAGTGATCTTTCTAGTTAGTTCATTTTTGTACAGAATTATCAACGTGATCCTTTAAAAAATTTTTTAATTTCTTTCTGAGTTTGTTTAAAAATTGAAAGATTAGCTTGTTTAAAAATTATTTCAAGTGTTTAAAAGTAAACAAAAGAGAAGAAAAAACAAAATACTATAAAAGCGCCTAGAAAAGAGCAGTTAAAAACATTCCTTTAATTAAAACAAACATTAAAACTTGAAAAAAGTTTATTTCTTTATTATTCAACAAAAACATTCTTTTAAACATGCGATCAATTGTTTTGATGTTTTTATTGGCTGTTGTTGTTATTAGCTTCGAGAAATCAATTGCACGTCGTGAATCTTGGGATGGTGGTTTCCGTAGTCGTCCTATGTTAGAGTTTGTTTTTCTTTTGTTTCACTTTTAACTTACAAATAATTTTTAGCAGTAATCGAGGAGGTAAAGGTGGACCAGGAGGTGGAGGTGATAGATATGGCGGTGGAGGGAGAGGTGGATATGGCGGTGGAGGGAGGGGTGGGTATGGCGGTGAAGGCAGAGGCGGATATGGCGGTGGAGGTAGAGGTGGATATGGCGAAGGCAGAGGGAGAGGTGGTGGAGGTGGAGGGATAGGTGGATATGGAGGCGGAGGTGGTGACAGATATGGTGGTGGAGGTGGTGGCAAATTTGGAGGCGGAGGTGGTGGCAAATTTGGGGGCGGAGGTGGTGGCAAATTTGGAGGCGGAGGTGGTGGCAAATATGGAGGCGGGGGTGGAGGTGGAGGAGGAAAATAACTGAGATTGAATTTAATCATGTTAACATTAAGATGAGGAAAAGAATGGGAAAGCAAAAATGATTTAATAATACCATCAATATGTTTAACGGAAATTTTGCATAAATTAAAAATTGTTTTAAATGAATAGCAGGGTGTAGTCGGGGTCGCTTTAGTATAGGTCCACCGAGATCGGAACTCATACTATATACCATTCGATTCGTCTCGCCGAGCTGAGTTCAAATATGTAAGAATTTTCTGCGGGACGCGAAAACTCGCAGAGATACAGGCGATTGAAAATCGAAAAACCAAAGGGGGGACCAAGCACTTTTTTGGGGTGAAAAATTCGAAAATGCAAATTATACCTCATTCGAAAGAGCTCGTCGAGCTGAGTCGAATGACACCAAAATCAACGAAATCCGACTTCATATGGCCGAGTTACAGACCCCCGGAATTTGAAAATTTTTGGGGTCAAAAAATTCGAAAATGCAAATAATAGCTCATTCGAAAGGACTCGACGAGCTGAGTCGAATAACACCAAAATCAGCTCGATTGAACAATTCTGAACAAAGTTATGACCAACAGAATCTTCGCTGGAAAAACTGTTTTTGTGCTGCTACGGAGGGTAGGCCGGGCATGGTCTTCGCTACACGATGGCCGTGCTTCGCTGCGGTCGTGCTCGCTTCGCTCGCGGCGACCGTAGCGAAGCGGCGGCCGTCGTTCCGCTCGACATGCCCGGCTTCCTCCGCAGCGGCAAAAACTTTTTCCGCGAAAACCTTGTGGAAGGGGCTAAAACAAACGGTAATAACTTTGTCAAATCAAGTCGGATTTCGGTGATTTTGGTGTCATTCGACTCAGCTCGACGAGCTCTTTCGAATGAGTTATAATTTGCATTTTCGAATTTTTCACCCCAAAAAAGTGCTTGGTCCCCCCTTTGGTTTTTCGATTTTCAATCGCCTGTATCTCTGCGAGTTTTCGCGTCCCGCAGAAAATTCTTGCATATTTGAACTCAGCTCGGCGAGACGAATCGAATGGTATATAGTATGAGTTCCGATCTCGGTGGACCTATACTAAAGTACAGCCGTGTAGTCTAATCTAGGACTAACAGAATATCATAAAGACGTTAATGACTGCTTTTATACTAGACCAAAATAACTAAAAACTATAAAAGCATTGCCTTAAAATGCCCCAAAATTCTCCTTTCTTCACTTGTGTCGCACCACCAGTCATCGACAGGAACCTCTGCTATATGTCGTCTTCAACACCCAACCTCTACACGACTGCAGACGACAATTGTTCAGCTGACTATGAGCTTCTACCAAATTCGGTCTCTACGGCTATTGCAGAGATGCAGCGATTCGACAGACAAACTGGCTCGGGCGATCAGGCACATGATGGTAAGGACTTCGTCATTCCCTTAAGATTCTTCCATTTGATTACCTTACATTTTTAGTTGAACTGCTTGAACCGAAACGATCCCTTGTCAACATGGAAACTCGCCTAAAGGAATTCCAGCATCGCCAGACCAAATCCTGTGGGGACTTGTACAACTTGGAACACTTTCCCTTGGAATATGAGTGGAGCAGTCCATCGGTAGAAGCCTTGCAAGCGCCAAGAGAGGGGGAATCCAGTCTGGACTTCTTGTACAACTTGGAACACTTTCCTTTGGAATATGAGTGGAACAGTCCATCCGAGTGCGAAATGACTTCTGAGGGCAGCAGCTTCTCTGACAGCTCGTACAATGCCAGCTCCTTCTCCGACAGCACGTACGCTACTACAACGACTTCAACTGAATCAACAACTTGTTCATACACCATAAGCATGGAGTCATCCTACGACAGCCTTCCACCGACAGCCTCCAGTTATCACACCGACAGTTCTTGGGCAGGTGATCATTTTTGGGCTTTGAAGCCTATTTAACAGAGATTTTTTTCAGATGGCAGCAAAGACGACTCGGCTTACTGTCTTCCTCTCTACTCCAGCAGACCTCAGCGAAGTGACTTCTATACTGTGAGCCGCGACAGTTCTGATGCGGAAGAGGTGTTTGGTTCGGAATGGTCGTTTGGTTCGAAGCTGATAAAAGGCAAATTCATTCCTCCGTTCGATCCTGTGAAGGAAGTGCGCAAGTTGGCACTCAGAGCCGTCAATGTGGATGACTTCCTTGGACTGACGTGAGTTTAAAATCAGAATTTAATTCTGAAAAAATATTCTGACATGAATTTCTGATTCTGAAATGTACAAGAATTCTGATTTGGAAAAAACAGAAGACCAGAAACAAAAATTCTGATTTATCGAAAAAACTTCAGAACCAGAATTCTGATTTTTCTGAAAGTTCTGATTCTGAAAAATAACAGAATTCTGATTTTTCTGAAAAGTTCTGATTCTGAAAAATAACAGAATTCTGATTTTTCTGAAATGTTTTGATTCTGAAAAAATACCAGAATTCTGATTTTTCTGAAAAATTTCTGATTCTGAAAAAATACCAGAATTCTGATTTTCATAATTAATTTAAAATTTTCAGACCAGAATACTTGCTGAGCTACGTCTTCTTCGACTACCGTATGTTGTTGCGCCAGATGTTGAACAAAGGGAAGGAACTGAAGAAGACTTCACAACAAGTCAATAAATGTGATTGTGTGTTGATGTGAATTGATAAAAGAAATATATTTGTAGATTCTCTTTTCCCTCACAAAAATTCTGTTTGTGCCCTTACTTATTGCTCTATTTCTAAGTCACCCCCATTGTTCTGTTCAACATTTCTTGTGTGCTTAGGATAAATATTTAAATTAAATGTGCATCTTCTAATTTTCAATTGAGTTGTATTCGTTCTCTAATATTTTTTTCTAATATTTAAAAAAGATAATCTTTTCTGGTTATCCTCCCAAAAGTCCGCAACTTTATGTCGCTTGTCCGCAAGTCACATACCGTATTTTCTCTAATAGAGCGACATGTCGCTCTATTTTTCAACCTCCTCCCGAGGAGCCGCTCTATTGGAGACTGTCGTTCAAATGGAGACTGCCGCTCTATTTTTCATAGATGGAGACTGCCGCTCTATGGAGACTGCCGCTCTATTTTTCTCTTCATCTTGAATCAAATCAATCTCGTTTATTAAATCAATCATTTCTAAAAAATTATTTTCATTTCTCTCTTTTCTTAGAAATCACTCATTTCTTAAAAATAAGCTGTTAAACAGTGTTATTAGTGTAAAGAGTGAAAAAATTAACGGGTATTGTGACTTATAGGGGTTTTTTTTTGGCTGGACCGATTTCGACCAAAATCACCGAAATCCGAGATGATTTGACAAAGTTATGATCGTTTGTTTGAGCTCCCACCTATGGTCTATGTAAAGGTTTTCGCTGCTACGGAGGCCCCAAGTACGTCCAGAGCAAGGGAGATAGGAATAGGTTTACGTTACTGACCAAGACCCAGCGACCGCAAAACTCCCCGCGAGGCGCGGAGTTTTCCACAAGCGCCTCGCCGACGCGCTATAGGTTTACGTTGACCATTTTGAACCTGTTTATCTTGGCTCCGAATCAAGATATCGAGCTGATTTTGGTGTCAATCGACTCAGCTCGACGAGCTGAGTCGAATGAGCTATTATTTACATTTTCGAATTTTTCATCCCAAAATAAGCTACTCCCCCTTCTCTTTTTGAAACTTCAGGGGTCTGTATCTCGGTCCCTGATTGTGGGACAGACTTCTCTCTGTCCGCGATCGACTCAGCTCGGCGAGCTCTTTCAAATGACACATCATTTGTCGAAATCGGTCCAGCCAAAAAAACCCTATAAGTCACAACATTCAAATTAACAATAATAAATCGCAGTTATTGTAGTAGGTGTCGCTCAATTGGAGACCGTCGTTCAAATGGAGACTGCCGCTCTATTTTTCAACCCCCACACGAGGAGCCGCTCTATTGGAGACTGTCGTTCAACTAGAGACCGTCGCTCAATTAGAGAAAATACGGTATTTTATTCTTTCCCCAAGTTCAATTTTCTTATTTTTTTTCTTTCTCGAGTTAATCCACTCATCTTTTGTCTAATAATTTAAAAATAATCCTTTTATGCTCCCAACCTAATCCTTTTGAGAAAATAAAAAAGTAAGACTTGCGGACAAAACTTGCGGACTATATAAGAAAATTGAAAAACAAAGCATTCAAAAAAAATATTTTTTTTCCTAATAAATGCTCACTGTCCACATTTACTATTTAAGCAAACAAATACCTCTCCAAAAATAATTTTGTGTACTTTTATTATTTTTATCAGAAATAGACACCCCTCCTTTCTTTGACCGATTGATTTGTCCACAAATTGAGTTCCAATTATTTTTTCCTTTTTTACTTTAATTCCTTTTTATTTCAGTCTACTTCATTTTAGGATACACCCCCATGGGATAAAAAAATCGGACCTTATAAAAAATATTTTTTTGCGGACAAAAATTTTGTCCGCAAAAATGTTGCGGACTTTATTTTTTAAAAAACGTCTCTTAAATCGAGGTGTCTATCTTATAATTAGGGTTGCCGTTTTCGAGTCGGGCCGACGGTCGAGGCATTATTTTTCGGGCTTGTTTTTATCGAGTCGGGCCGGTACGAGTCTTTTTCGGGCCTAACTTTATCGAGTCGGGCCGATACGAGTCTTTTTCGGGCCCAAATTTATCGAGTCGGGCCGGTACGAGTCACTTTCGGGCCTGACTTTATCGAGTCGGGCACCGAGACATTTTCGAGTCTTTTTTTAAAAGATTTATTTAAAAATAATTAGTGGATTTGGAGGGATATCTGTGAATTAAAAGGTATATCGATGGATCAGGAGGGTAAAGGAAGGGCTGAAGAGAATTGAAATGGATATCAGTGGATTTGAGGGATTAAGGTGATTTAAATTATCGGAGGATTGGGGTGAGATATTGCTAGATTTGGTTTTATTAAAGGAGATCAGATGATTAAGGGGTTCAGGATCGTATATCAGATGATTAAGGTGATATATTGTAATGGGATTTAGAAGGAATGAGGAGATTTGAAGGGATATCGGGGATATCGTGCGTTAATCACCAAATCCCTTAATAAAATCCCGCTGTATGCTAAAATTCCTCGTATCCTTGATCCTCGTACACTTAATAAATTCCTCGTACACTTAATCCAAGGGCGTGTCCAGTGGGGCTGCTAGAACTGCGGAAAATTGTGGACTCTCAAAACTGATTGAGTTTCAAAAGTTCAAATTATGACGGGATCCCGCGGAATATATACCATAACTCCCAGTAATCCAGCTTATCAATTAAAGCCAGTAAGTTCGAGATGTGAAGCAAAGTATGGAGCTAAAAATCCTTCATTTCAGCGCCGCAGGCATAAATTTTGAGATATTCGGTAGGCTAAGGACCAAACTTCTTCCTTTTTCAGCGCCGCAGGCGAAAATTTTTCGAATTTTGGAAGGCCAAGGAGCCAGATTTCATCCATTTTTGTCCACAAATCTGGTAAAAATATTATCGAGTCTTGTTCGAGTCGGGCCGACTTTTTCCGAGACAATTTTTTTCGGGCCTGTTTTTATCGAGTCGGGCCGGTACGAGTCTTTTTTGGGCCTAACTTTATCGAGTCGGGCCGTTACGAGTCTTTTTCGGGCCCAAATTTATCGAGTCGGGCCGGTACGAGACTTTTTCGGGCCAAACATCGAGGCATGACTCGATCTTTCGGTCCGAGTCGGTCCATTTTGGCAACCCTACTTATAATGTAGTCTGAGTATATTCGAGGACCTCATTTTTAAATACACCCCTAGTGTAAAATAGTTTTTTTGCGGACTAAAAAAGTTGCGGAATAAAAAATTTGTCCGCAAAATATTTGCGGACAAATTTAAAAAAATTTTTTTAAGGCAAATTGTCTCAACAACAACAAAAACATTTCTAATGCCCATTAATACTAATAAAAATGAAAAACAACAACAAAAAAATTTATTTTTTTATTGGCTACCTAATATCACAAAAATGGGACAAAATGTCTTCGTTCATTCCATCAGATATTTAATTGTTATATCCTCGCTAATTTCTTTTACTTTGGTTAGTGCAAACACAACATCTTTCAGTTTAACTGTAATTTGTATGGTTGAGGGAAGTAATGGCAATATTACACAAGAAGAGCTTCAAGGAAAGAATACAGCGTGTGAGGGTTTTTAGACTTCAAACGACTTTTTTTTTTGAATTTTTTAAAATTTATTTTGGGGGGTTGGGAATGAGGTAAGGCTTGGGGACGTTCTAGGGACTTGAGAACTTCCCTTGAATTTTCGACGTTTGCAAAGGTTGAGAAAATTAAAAAAACTGCGGACTAAAAAATGTCCGCAAAAATTATCCCAAGGCTTATAATTTTCTTCTATTTAGACTTCAAACGACTCGCATACTCAACTACCGAAAGAAATTCGTTATTCTCGGCAGCAGCTTTGGGATCAATTATTAGTGGATTGGCTATTACTAGTTTGATTGGGCGCTTTGGACTTAGGTATTGATTTTTCAATTTTTTGCGGAAATCCGCAAATTTTTGCGGATTGTCCGCAAATTTTTTTTAAATTCTTCTATTCTAGAAATGTACTTTCGGCTTATGGATTTCTTTCTGGATTAACAGCATTAGCACTTCCATTAGCGGCCGCGATTGGTTTTATTCCCATGTTTATTATTCGAATGCTCCAAGGTAGTGCTGGGCCAGCTCAGTACGTAATGATTGGAACTGTTGCTAGAGATTGGGCTCCGAGGAAGTCGATTGGGAGTTATTTGATGTTACTCTCTTCACATTTTCAAGTATATTTTCAAGAATTAAAAAAATTATTTTTTTTGCGGATTTGTCCGCAACTCATTTGCGGACGTCCGCAAATTTTTTGCGGATTTTTTTGAAAATTTTTTTTTCAGTTTGGAAGAGTAGTAGGTTTGCCTTTGTCGTCAATCTTTTGTTCTCCAACATTGGGTTGGCCATTACTTTATATTTTGCTGGGTTCATTGACCATCATTTCTTTCATGTTCTTCTTTACTATATTTAGAGAACGACCGGAAATTCATCCGTATGTTTTTAAATAATTTTTAAAAAATTTTGGGGTTTTCTGATTATTTTAAAAAAAATTCTGTAACAAATTCTGATTTTTCTGACCATTTCTGATTTTATTCTGATCATTTTGAACAAAATTCTGACCATTTCTGATATTATTCTGATGATTTTTAATCTAAATTCTGATTTATTCTGACCTTTTTAACGAAAATTCTGATTTTATTCTGATCATTCTGAACAAAATTCTGATTGGTTCTGAACAGAATTCTGATTTATTCTGGTCCTTTTAATTTTATTCTGGTTTTATTCTGACTATTTCTAACCAGAATTCTGACCATTTTTAAAGAATTCTGATATTATTTTTTTCAGTTTAATTACCAGAGTAGAACTACAAAAACTTGGAATAAAACCTTTATCAGAAAAATTAGTAACAATAACAACGGACACAACAGAAGAAGAAACAAGCAAAAATTTGTCTATTCCTTACAAGTCAATTATTGGGGATTGTGTTGTTTGGCTAGTGCTTTTAACTTATTGGTCAGATGAAATTGGGTTTGAAATGCTTGGACAATTTGGGCCGACTTATTTAAATCGGGTAGGGGAGGATTTTTTTAAAAAATTAAAAAAAATTTTTTTTTTTCAAAGGTTCTAGGCATTGATATTCGCACAACGGGAATTATTAGTGCTACAACTTATCTTCTCTCTGTGGGTGTTAAAGTATTGGCTGGTTGGATATATACCCATTTACCGTTGAGAGGTGAACGTGCTCGTATTAATATATTTACGGCGCTTACTCAGGTGAGTAAAAATCAGAATAAAAATCAGAACAGAAAATCAGAACAAAATATCAGAACAAAAAATCAGAACAGAAAATCAGAATAAAAAATCAGAACAGAATTCAGAACAAAAAATCAGAATAAAAATCAGAACAGAAATATAAGAATAAAAAATCAGAATAAATACAAGAATTAAAATCAGAACTAAAAATCAGAACAGAAAAATCAGAACAGAATTCAGAACAAAAAATCAGAATAAAAATCAGAACAGAAATATAAGAATAAAAAATCAGAATAAATACAAGAATTAAAATCAGAACTAAAAATCAGAACAGAAAAATCAGAACAGAATTCAGAACAAAAAATCAGAATAAAAATCAGAACAGAAAAAAATAAAATAATTTCCTTTCCTCTAGATTGGCATGTCTTCCTGCTTTATATTATTAGCACTACTCCCACTAGCAAAATGGGTTCCCCTGTGGTCTGTGCAACTTGTCTACACGCTTATCAACCTTTTTTGTGGTCTAGATTTTCTTGGTGTTATTAGATGCTCACAAAGGGTATTTAATTAATAAAATTTAAAAATCCCCTTTCGGACTCAGCATGGTACCCGAGGGAAGAGTTGCTATAGGGGATGTTGTACTTTAAAAAAGCGATCTCTTAATGTTGGCTGGTTCCCAGGGTGTTACGTAAATAGGAGTGTCGCTTATACCGAAAGTCGCTTAAAATAAGGTCGCCAATACTGGGGTATTCACCATCTTTTCGGAACTCCGGGCATCAGAGGTGTAAAGAAGTCGCCAATAACGAGTAGGACCCGGTTGGGGGTGTCTCCTGTATAGAATGTCTTTAAAAAGGAGTCGCTTATATCGAATGTCTTTTAAAAAGGAGTCGCTTATACCGAGCGTCTTTTAAAAAAGTCTCCTATATCGAATGTCTAAAAAAGTCCTATAGCGAGCGTCTCTAAAAAACGAGTCGCTTATATCGAGCGTCTTTAAATTCGAGTCTAATTCCCTTCCTATTTTCAGATATCTCAACAATTCTCTCACGTCTTAATGGCCTGGAACAGCATGATTAGCTCAATTACAATACTTTTACTTCCCCTATTTGTCACATTAATAGCTCCATACAATTTAATTCATGAATGGAGTAGAATATACATAATTATAGGGATATTCCAATTAATAATGATGACATTCTTTTTTATTTTTTGTGATACAAAGCCTAGGGATTGGACAATTACAAGTAATAATATAACAACTAATAGTAGTGAAGAAGAAGAAGAAACGAGTGAATAATGAGAGAGTAACTAACAAATTTTAACAATTTTTTGGGTGTGTTTATTTTATTTTTATGTAAGATATTTTTCCTCATTTTTTTTTAATAAATTGAAAATTTGGAAAAAATGTTTTGTTGGATGGGGAGTAAAAATTAGTCAAGAAATTAATCCTTTTAAAATTCAGAATCAGAAAATATAGGAATAATAAGAGAAAGAAAAATTTAAATTAGAAAATCAGAATTTAATTAAATCAGAATTTCAAAATCAGAAAAAAAAATAGAATAAAATATCAGAATTCTAACAAAATCAGAAAAAGTAGGTTCTGAGAAATCAGAATTTAAAAACCAGAATAAAAAAATCAGAAAATTTCAGAATAATAAAGCTTAAAAAAATCAGAATTTTAGCAAAATCAGAATTTAATAACCAGAATATTTAACTGTTAACCTCCTTAACATTCTAAAGATCAGAATAGAAACATTGGAGCGTTTTAAAAGAATCAAACCCTACAACAGAATTTTTTATTCCTTCTTTCCCTATCCAAAAAATAAATTAATTAAATGTAATTGGAAAGTGGGAGTAAGCAATCATTTTATAAATTAAAAAGAATGAAAAAAACCTTAAAATATTCAAGTATGTGGCAATTTAAAAATATATCCAAAAAAACTTTTCACATAAAAAAATTAAACATCAACAATAGCATCTTCATCGTTAGTATTCGTTGACATTTGTTCGTTATTTTGCGAGTCCTCTGAAAATTTTAAAAGATTTTTCAAAAATTAAAAAAATTTTTTCGAGAAAATTTCAGAAATTTTTTGATAATTTCAAAAATTTTTCAAAAAAAAAAATTTTTTAATTTTTTAAAAATTAATAAATTTCTCAAAAATTTAAAAATTTCACAAAAAAATTTTTAGAAAATTTTAAAATTTCAAAAAAATTTTTTCGAAAAATTTAAAAAAATTTCCGAAGAATTTCAGAAAATTATTTTTTAATTTTAGGAATTTTTCAAAGAATTTTTTAAATTTTCAATTTCAAATAAGTTTCCAAAAATTTCAGAAAATTTTTTTGAAATTTTTTTCCCCTAAAAACCTTGTTGTAGTTGCTGTTGTAAATGTAAAGAATTAACAACTTCGTCAATATGTTTATTCCTCTCTTCATTATGAAAATTAATTTTTTGTTTATTCCCAACTTTATTTATTGTAAAATTTATTTCTTCTGTTGGGCTATTTGGTTGAGGTAAAATAAAGTCGTCGGTAAATGAATCTTTTCGAGGTCTACCTCTTTTTCTGGGGCCTTTAAAAAATTAAAAAATTTTCCAGGAAAAAAATTTTAGGGGTTGCGGACTAATTTTGCGGACTTTTCTCTTAAATTATAAGAGACATCCTCTTCGTTAAAATTTTTTTTGCGGATAAAAAATTTCTTGCGGACAAAAAAGTTTTGCGGACAAAATTTTTTGCGGACAGCATAATTTTTGCGGACAAATAAGTAGTTTTGCGGACAAAAAAATTTTTTTGCGGACAAAAAATTATTTGCGGACAAATAAGTATTTTTGCGGACAAAATTTTCTGATATAAAAATATGCGGACAATAAAAATAATTTTTTTGCGGACAAAAAATATTTTTGCGGACTTTTCTTGAAAAAACTCCAAAAACAACCCAAAAATTTTTTACAAAAAAAACCACCTTGCATTTGTTGATATCTATAACGTAAATAACTTGGAGGCATATCCTCAATAATCCCCCCACTATTAATCATCATCATTTGCCATTTTTCTTGTTGTTTAGCCATTACAGCCTGTTTTCTCAATCTGCAATATTGCTGTCTCAATTTCGGCCATTCAGGAAAACATTCTTCAACCGATAACCCCAATTGACGAGCTTCTAAATTCATTCGATCCAAAGCTTTTTTATAAGCATCTTGTGGTAATAAATATAAATCTTTAACTTGACGTCGAGATGTTCGGTCAACTTGTTGAACTAAAACTTGTTCTACTGGTTTGGCTATACATTCTGGGTGATGTTGGGGATACCTTTAAAAAAATTTTTTTAGACTTAAAACCCTCAATATTTTTGACACTCGATATCCCTCTTAATCCACCCAAATCCCATGATTTAAAAATATCAATTGATTTGACACCCGAAGCTTAGAGCCAACATAGAGTGGCTTCAAAACAGAGCTGTTTCAAAATTTCGATTTTCGAAATTACACAAAAATTCAACTTCTTGGTACGAAGAGGGAGAAATCTGGCTTCTGTGCCCTCAAAATTCTCATAATTTTCGCCTGCGGCACTGAACTTCGAAGAAATCTATCCCACAACTCCCTAAACACTTCTGCTATTCCTTGCTAAAGGCATCCTTCCTATTTATGAAGAAAGCCACGCTTTTTCTGCTCCTTCTGCACAGGCTGAACTGGCACATCGTCCAGTTTCGTTGGTTTGTCGAATCGTTGCCGCAATCCCTGCAAAACACACGCCCTTTCCCAGCTGTCGCTTGTAGTTGTTGTTGATTCCGGCAACAAGAGTCGTGTGATGGAGACGGCATTGTAAATGACTGGCGTAGTAAGAGGCAAAAGAAGATCTTGAACATTTCAATTAGGCTGCTTTTATATCCCTCCAAACTTCCTTCTTGAGAATATACTATAAAAGATCCCCAACATTCTTTTGTTTCCCAACACCCCCTACAAAACAATCATCACACCCCTTCAAACATCTACATCGTCTACACAAACAACTCTTCATGCTCGGCCTTCTTCCATTGGAGCTCGACACCGGACCCTGGACCAAGAAGTCGTCAACGCTGTGCTCGTTGCTGCTGCTCGCCATCGCACTTGCAGTTCCTGGACAGGTCAACAGCGAAAAAGTCGGATTCGGTAATCACACATTGGTTGACGAAAAAGTGACGCTCACCGACATCACCGTAACTTCCGACAAGTTGGACTTCGACCTTGGTAGTTGTAAATTCAAGGAGATGTATCCGGACGCCTGCGATGTTTCAATCAAAGACGGCTACATGTGAGGATTTTTTAAACCCTTTTTGAAGCTATCGTAACTCATTTTTTAATTTTATTTCAGTGAGCTTCGGTACAACTATGGCAGCAACGGATGCACTGTGGACCTGCTCAGCGAGAACGCGGAGAACAACAACAGGATCAAGTTCAAAACCGGAGTGCGGGGAGACGCAAAAGGAGGACTCAACAAATGCCTTGACGAAAGTGCCAGTTTCGATGGAAGTAATAACAATATGTAAGTTGTGAATTTTCTTTTCGATTAAGTGATTCAACTTAACTACTTAAAATTTTTATAGCTTGCCTTTCGTCTACAGCGTAGACAACACGGTCATCGAACATCTCAACAACAATGGCCCGGTCCCTGGTTCTGGCACAAATTGCAGTAATGAAGATATGTGTTCAACGAAGAATTGCATGCAGTGGACATTCCTTGAGGTCTCGTGGAGCAGGTCTGAGGAAGGGAAATACTACGCTTATACACATCCTGGTGAGGATTTTGTTCATTTTTTAATATCATTCTTAAAATAATTTTCAGTTGGGGAAGTAGTGAAGCAAAGCTTGCAGCAAGCCGGAGCTTCCACGACCTTCGAATTGACAATAGAATCTTCGAGCGCGTTCACGATGCACTTCTCGGGACCAGAGTTATTCAACGCGGAAAAGGCTGCTTGCGTTCCAAAGGACAAACAGACCGTAAAACCCGAAACATGGGAGATCACGAATGGAGAGCACGAGGGCAAACGACTGCTTGTCTTCAGCCTGCTTCGACAGAACGCAACTTTTAAGTACGTTAGTGGCCAACGCGCAGGACATCCAAACGGACCGATTTGTGAACTCTTCGTCCAATTTGTGAGTTTTTATCCATTTTTTAAAACCTTTCTAATCATTTCGTTTTTCCTAGGATGCAAACGACTACAAGCTGCTCCTTGTCACCCCTCCAACAACAACACCACCGCCGACTTCAACGACCACAGAAGCTCCATCAACGGGAACATCAGAGCCGCCTGAAACGACAACAGCTCCCTCTGGTTCTTCATCGACAACTCCGCCTGCGACCAACAACAGCTTCACCTCCATCCGAACGACATCTAGAGCAACGACAAAGTGCCCGGAACAACAGGAGTGTGGCGGAGTACCCTACATTGCAATTGGCATTGCTGCTGCTGGCCTCCTTGTCGGGATCATCATTGCAGTTTTGGTCTGGCTCTGGATGAAGGACAAGGCAGAAAAGGATAAGGGAGGGAAGCAGGACGCCGAACGTGCAGAAGAAGATCGACTGCTTGCGCTGTACAAGGCTGAGGAGAAGACCAAGGGCAAAAAGGCCGTCGGGACATTTGCTGCATGGAAAAAGAATGTGAGTTTAAAAATCGTTCATTTATTAATCAAGCTTTATCTTTTACATTTTTTTCAGAGAAAGAAGAGTGAAACGAAGACTGCGGTGGCGCTGCCTTCAATCGAGAACGAGCTCGACGCAATCTGGAAGAGAGTGGAGAAGAAAAAGGCCATGGACAAGATGCAGTACCTTGTGGATCAGTTCGAGAAGCGGAAGGACAAAGAACTCCTAGAGCGGGGATACAAGCCGGAACTGAAAAAGAAGGGACTTGCAGCTGTTGGGTCTTTCGAGGAGTGGAAAAAGGTGAAATTTTAAACATTTTTTCTCTGAATCTCAACTAATCCCCAATTTTTTTTATTTTTCAGAAAAAGAACATTGCGGCGACGTTCACCTTGAACAACGGGACAAGGACGGCGATTGAATACGAGCAGCCAAAGGTCATCGAGAAGATCGTCGAGGTCGAGAGGATCATCATTGAGAAGCCTGACGAGTGGACAATCGAGGAGAACCCGACACTTGAGGAGCAGGAGAGATTGGCGGAGATAAAGGCGGCGAATAGAGGCGCTGTGGACGGTGTTGAGGTTCCAATGTCTGAGGAGGAGCCGGAGCCGGTTGATGAGAGGTGGATTCCGCCGTCGGAACCGGATAATAATAATAACCCGAGAGAGGAGTTGTGATAAATTTG